GCACCAAGTGTAGTGGTGTTATGGATACAAGGTCAGGCACCGAGTGTAGTGGTGTTGTGGAGACAGGCTCAGGCACTGAGTGTAGTGGTGTTGTGGAGACAGGCTCTCTTGCGCTGTTAGCGAGATGGTGGTGTTATGTGCCGCTTTAAGGATGGATTGCCATTGTGGGCGCGTGATATCTACTTTGAGTTCATCTGACCACTTAGTTGTATATCCTGGAAGATTAGTTGCTTGTGACTCCCTAATTAGTATGTACATGGTAGATAAAACTTTCCTAGAGAACGGATGGGAGGAACACAGTTGCTCAACTTTTGTCAGGGGCCTGTCCCCCACGGGTAATAGGTTGTGAGTCTTGATGAAGTGTTTCAGTTGGTGGTAATGTAATTGTTGTATTACCGTCGGAGTGTAAGTCAGTAAGATTTGGGTCAGAGTTTTAACTTTACCGTCCTGGATGACATCGCGCAATCGTAGTGTCGTGCTATTGTGATAGAGCTCGAACGATTTGCCTGAGTCCCCTTGTTGGAAGTGGGGATTGTGCGTAATTGGGTATAGCGGGGATGGGACTGGAGAGAGGTCTAAAGTTTGTCTGAGTCTGTGCCACATTTTAAGGGTTGTGTCAACTGTCGGGTGGTAGTAATGGAGTCCCTTTAGTGAATATATAGGGTCAGGGTGAGACCAGGCGCAAATGGGTAGTGGGGTTCTGGAGAGAGCGTTCTCAAGGATAACCCACTGTTGGGTTTGTGTGTTTCTTGTCCATTTGTAAACCCTCTGTAGGTGTATTGCCTGGTGATAAAGCTCAAAATCGGGGAGGTTCACTCCTCCTCTTTCCTTACTTCTAGTCAGGGTAGCGTGGGCCAAACGTGGTGATGAGTGTGCCCACAAAAATCTTGTGAACATGGATCTGGTCGTGTTGAAGAATGTGCGTGGGATAGCAATAGGAAGGGTCTGTAGGAGATATAGAATTCGAGGTAGGATGTTCATTTTAATTATATTGATCCTACACAGCCAACCGAAGCAGGGTTTATGCCATGTCTGGAGATCCTTAGTAATGACTGCCAATAGGGGGGGAAAGTTTAGTGCATAGATCGACTCCAATTTGTTCGGGATGTGAACACCTAAGTACTTAATTGACCGTGGCGCCCAGTTGAAATTAAATTTAGACTGTAGTAGTGTGTCCATGGTTCTCGCGGTGTGAATTGGTAGAAGGTCGCATTTAGTAAGGTTTGCCTGAAAGTTGAAGACTTTACCATATGTTTCCATCTCTGCTATTAAATAGGGTAACGTCGAGAGCGGATTTGTAATTGTGAACAAAAGGTCTGCCGTCACATTCTATGTTTCTATAATGGAGTCCATGGAGGAGCTCCGCTACCCTTTGAAATCCTAAATTGTTAAACTACAATCCCAAAGCTTCTAACAATCAAGAAAAGGCTAGCAATTGTGGGATGCTGTTTTTATAATTGGAGGCTGGGGACACTACTCTGTCCACTTCAAGAGTCCACTTTGTGCTGCAGCGGTTAGTTAATTAGACTGACCTGGTGACCCTACAATGTAAGTAGTCAAACTACCAGGCTCTTGTTCCTCCCTCCACTCTTACGGTATGAAAAGCTCTCCTGAACTAAGCCTTGCAGGGCCAGCTCACTGCCTGAGAACATCAGCCATTTGCCAATATATTAAACATAGAAACATAGAATGTGACGGCAGATAAGAACCGTTCAGCCCATCTAGTCTGCCCAATTTTCTAAATACTTTCATTACTCCCTAGTCTTATCTTATAGTTAGGATAGCCTTATGCCTATCCCACGCATGCTTAAACTCCTTTACTGTGTTAACCTCTACCACTTCAGCTGGAAGGCTATTCCATGCATCCACTACCCTCTCAGTAAAGTAATACTTCCTGATATTATTTTTAAACCTTTGTCCCTCTAATTTAAGACTATGTCCTCTTGTTGTGGTAGTTTTTCTTCTTTTAAATATAGTCTCCTCCTTTACTGTGTTGATTCCCTTTATATATTTAAATGTTTCTATCATATCCCCCCTGTCTCGTCTTTCCTCCAAGCTATACATGTTAAGATCCTTTAACCTTTCCTGGTAAGTTTTATCCCGCAATCCATGAACCAGTTTAGTAGCCCTTCTCTGAACCCTCTCTAAGGTATCAATATCCTTCTGAAGATACGGTCTCCAGTATTGTGTACAATACTCCAAGTGAGGTCTCACCAGTGTTCTGTACAATGGCATAAGCACTTCCCTCTTTCTACTGCTAATACCTCTCCCTATACAACCAAGCATTCTGCTAGCATTTCCTGCTGCTCTATTACATTGTCTGCCTACCTTTAAGTCATCAGAAATAATCACCCCTAAATCCCTTTCCTCATATGTTGAGGTTAGAACTCTATCAAATATTCTGTACTCTGCCCTTTAAGCCCATTAAGCAGAGAGTTTCAGGGAATGGCAGATTGAGGGACTGGTGGGCCACGGTTTGACTTCTTACACTAAGCGGTTGCCTGGTACCATAATCACTATAAAATACTGTAGTGGTTATGTGCTCTTAAGTGATACTTTAAAACGCATTATAGTGTCAGAAACACAAACGTATTCCTGACACCATAGTGATAAAACCCACTATTTAGGTCCCAGGTCCCCCTGTCAGAGCAGTAAAAAGGTAGTTAAATTCAGCTTCTCTTCCATTACGCGCCAGTCTTGCCTTGGCAGGTCCCACCACCATGTCTGAGATTATCCGACTTGATGATTTCAGCAAATCTAGTGCTAACCCGGAGATTATTGCGCATGCGTGGCAAAGCTCGACACAGCACAAATTAGCATCTCCACATAGAGATGCGTTAAATCAATTCAGCTCTATGGGGAATGTTCAGTGCCTCCATGCAGATCGTAGAGACACCCAATGCCAGTCCTGCACACTGTACAGCAGTGAGACAGGAAACCCCTCTAGTGGCAGTCTGTTACTAGGCAGTAATGTAGACGTTACCTTTTTTCTTAAAGGCCAGCGTTTACATTAAAAAGTCTGCAGGGACAGACTATAGACACCAGAAACACTACATTAACCCCTTAAGGACACAGCTGCAGAAGCATGTCTTATGCTTAAGGACACCAGCCATTTTTGCATTTTTTGCTGTTTGTGTTCAAACGCAATTTGCATCTCTGTCATTTAATGCACCAACACATATTATATATTGTTTTTTAGAGTTCAATCAGGGCTTTAATTTGATGTCACATATACATAGATACATTTTCATTAATTATAAAAAAAAATGCAAAAGAATTGAAAGAAATATTTAATTTTTTTTCACAGTTTTGCTAATAATAGTGTGTGTATAATATGTCCAGCTTAGAAAAAGTAATTTAAAAAATTCATTTATGTGTCTTGATTTATAGAGTACATCATATGTATAGGATTTCAGCTTGTTTTGAAAGTTACAGGTCACAAGGACTAAAATAAAATTTCAATTTGCAACAAGTATATATTTATATGAAAAAACTGCAATAATTACACTTGCAGGGTTAAGGGTAGTGGAAGTTGGCACCCAGACCACTCCAATGGGCAGAAGTGGTCTGGGCGCCTGGAGTGTCCCTTTAAGTTTTAATGCTAAATAGGAGTCTACAGCAGCTAATCCTCACTGTCCTGCTTGAGGAAACATTAGCTTGAGCAGCAGTGTGAAGTTGTTATTGGCTGAGAATATCAGCCTATCACAGTGCACCCTGCTGGTAAGCATTGGTATGGCTAAAAGACAGTATGAAATTTTTGCCTTAGCACAACTCCACAAGGAACTGGGTTGTTAGTGGTTGAACACTGAATGGAAGGACAGTGCTTGAGGATTCTATGCAGTATAAGCAATTCAATTAGATAAGCAATAGTAATTTTGTTTTAAACTAACCTGTAATACTTCCATATTATAATTATTTATAAAGCACCTTATTATAAAGCATCTTATTTTCACATACACCCATCTCAATTATTTGCTCATATCCATACTGTTTTATTTTGTGTAAATCGCTACATTTTGAGATTCCATTAGAGAAGTTTAACATTTGTGATAGAATGAGTTCTATGAGCTCAACTCATTTAGACTCTCTAGCCCCTGGTGTCCGCATTCACTGATTAATCAAAATGCATAGTTTGAAGCATGTCTGTCCTTCTGATCTTAGACAGTTGCTATAAGCCTGAAGGAATATGAGTATTTTGAGAATTAAAGGACCACTATAGTGTCAGGAAAACAAAGCGGTTTTCCTGAAACTATAGTGCCCCTCCCGTGGCACTGAAGGGGTTAAAACCCCTTCAGCCACTTACCTTAATCCAGCGCCGGGCTCCCTCGCCGTCAGCGGAACCGAATGTGCATGCGTGGCAAGTGCCGCGCGCGCATTCAAAGTGTCCGTAGGAAAGCATTTCTCAATGCTTTCCTATGGACGCTCTGCGTGATGGAGGTTAAATGTGCCTCCAGCGTCGCACATGCACCACTAGTGGCTGTCTGGAAGACAGCCACTAGAGGCTGGATTAACCCCAAATGTAAACAGCAGGTTCTCTGAAACTGCTATGTTTGCATCTGAAGGGTTAAAACCTGCGGGACCTGGCACCCAGACCACTTCATTGAGCTGAAGTGGTCTGGGTGACTATAGTGTCCCTTTAATATTAGCAAAGTGAAATGTAATAAGTTAAAGCATACACAATGTACATTGGCTTGGATAAACAACGTGCACAGGGATATTGCATAAAAGTTTAGACAGTTATAAAACTATGTTCCCATTTATCCAATTAAAGATGAAACTCTTCCTAAGAAGAATACCAAAACATAACAACCAATGCTCTTGCCGTTTTACTTCCGCCATCACTAAATATGGCTGACAGTCGCTTGTCAATTATTCCAGCTAGTGATTGGTTCACGTCTGTTCACTTCTCCGGATATGTCCGGTGGGAAACAAGCCGTTGGCACCCGAAGGTTCCGTGAATGGAACATTCCGCCGGCGATTTCCCTGCATTTTAGCCCGCAATGATCCCGATACCGCTGGTTGTTGTGGTGCTGGGAGGATGGTGTGCTCTTTACCTGGCCGACACCTTTCTCATGGTAAGAGAGCCAAAAACCTAGCCTGTGTGCTGTCTGACTGTCAAGAATAGGTAGACACACGTGAGTGCACTTTGATTAGAGGAGCTGAGAATTGATCAATCCTGCAGCACTGGGTTTTAAACCAGCATTTCATGATGTACTTGGGCATGTCTCAAGTACAATTCCTGTATCTATAAATGAACCACATTTAACACACTCAGTCATGCTTTCATACCTCTAATTATCTTAATACCAGGTAGTGCTCTGATTCTGGATTTTACTGCAGTTTCCTGTCCTCTAAAAGCATGCACCAAAAATAAAAAAAAACAAAGCCCCCTAGACCCCAACAAATAAAATAAAGCCTTCCTCATTTCTTGCCATATTACTAAATACATGTCACACTAGCCAGGTATAGCAAGTCTATATATGTTATCATGTTGGTATTCGGCAAATACTTATATACCTTCCTAATGAACACTTCCTATTGGCATTTACAATATAGCTGGAAATATCATACTGTTTTATACGGTACAGAATGATCTGCTACTTTCCCACCTCCTCTAGACTGTAAGCTCGTTTGAGCATTGTCCTCCTCAACCTATTGACCCTGTAACATTTTGTAACTGTCTAATTTATTCCTAAATTTCCCTCTTTCAGAATATTGTAAAGCGCTGCGGAATAAGTTGGCGCTATATAAATGCAGATAATAATAATAAGTAAACACAGACTGAGCCTGTCTGGCAGATAGTGAAATGTTTCTCACTTACATTATAGGAACTATAAACATACAGAACTACTTCACTTTAATATCCATAGTATATACACCTTGTATGTACTGTGCAAGTAAACGGATAACATTGCACGTATAAATTAATTTACACACTCGGATGCAAACTGCCAATGGATATTCAGTAAATTGTAATATCCTCTGCTTCAAAACCCAAAATATGCCTGGATATACTTGATAGAGATGGTGTAAACAAGCTTAGAAAAGGTATGATATCTTAAGAAATGCCCTTATTATTCCTTAACTGATCAAATTAAATTGGTCTACTGATGCAGCCAGTAGGACATCAGTTTAAATAAATTAAATAGTTTTTTAAAATGCAAAACACTTCTCCAGGATACCCTAGTCATAGGGCTGGCCCAGTTTTAATAACCCACACAAGGGCAGTTGTCTGAGGGGTCCAGAACCAATAAACCTGTTCGTTCTCTTTTGCTTGGTAATCGGGCTAAATAATAATATAGAAAATCCAGTTTAAACCTATAACCAAGGGTAACTTGCTCAATGGTCCTCTCTGTTATGTCTAGCAGGTGAAGGTATAAACATTTGTGGGAGTCCAGTATACCAGCATCATACATGATTTAATAGTACAGTACCAAGTGTTGTGTTTTTGTGGGGTTTTTTTTGTGGTTTTTTTTTTTTTACAATAAAGTAAGAGGTTTATTAAGAAATAGTAACAATGGGAATGATAAGGGATACATAACTTAGAAATAGTGAAAGTTGTTTTCAAAGTAAATATTTGTTGGTATTCTTATTACAAACTTTTTGTATGTTATTACGTAATCCTTTAAGCTAAATGTAATTATTTTTGCTCTCATTTTTAGTCCTCAAAATCTTTGAAGACCTCTTATGAAAATTGGCTCTCTGAGCGAGGATTAAGCATATCACCATTTCACATACGTTGGCAAACAACAATTTTTAATCGACTATTTTATAAGTGGGGACGATGGAAGCCACGATTCTTGTATTTATGGTAAGAGTAATACCGGTAAATAAAATGTGCATGTTTTGTGTGTTGATAATACTGCAAATTACCACCTGTCTGTATTGGCAAACAAAATGTACAGTCATGGGGAAAAAGAAAGTACGCCCCCTGGGAATTCCATCAGGACATAACAATCATCTGTTCCTTAGCAGGTCTGAAAATTAAAATACAACAACTCATGACACCGTATCATGATTTATTTAGCAAAAATGAAATAGCTATGTGCGAAAAACGAAGTACAACTTATGATTCCATAGAATGTAGAACCACCTTTAGCAGCAATAACTTAAAATAATCATTTTCTGTAAGACTTTATCAGTCTCTCACATGGTTGTGAAATAATTTTTGCCCACGTTGCTTCAGTTCTATGAAGTTTGCTAGCATTTGTTTATACATTACTCTTTTAAGGTCCCGCCACAGCATTTCAATCGGGTTGAGGTCTGGACTTTGACTTGGTCATTACAACATTTTGATTCTTTTCCTTTTCAGCCTTTCTGTTGTAGATTTGCTCGTGTGGTTGGATCATTGTCCTGTTGCAGGACCCAATTTTGGCCAAGCTTTAACGGTCGGAAAGAGGGCCTTACATTTGACTTTGTTTATGTATACAGAGGAGTTTATAGTCGACTCTATTGACTGCAAGGTTCCTAGGTCCTGTTGTTGCAAAACAAGCCCAAATCACCACCCCTCCACCGCCGTGCTTGACAGTTGGCATGAGGTGTTTGTGCTGATATGCTGTGTTTGGTTTTTGCCAAACTTGACACTGTGCATTATGGCCAATCATCTCAACTTTGGTCTTGTCAGTCAAAAGGACATTGTGTCTGAAGTCTTGTGGTTTGTTCAGATGCAAATTTACAAACCTAAGCCGTGCTGCCATGCTCTTTTTAGAGAGAAGAGTTTTTTTTCTGTAAACCCTTCCAAACAAACCATACTTGTTCGGCCTTTTTCTAATTGTACTGTCATGAACTGTAACATTGAACATGCTAACTAAGGAATGTGGAGTCTGAGATGTAAATCTTGGGTTTTTTGCATTCTCTCTGAGCTTTGCATGGTTTGACCTTGGGGTGAATTTGTTTGGACATCCACTCCTGGGAAGATTGTCTTGAATGTTTTCCACTTTTGAATCATCTTTCTCACTGTCAAATGATGAACTTTGAATGGTTTGGAAATTGCCTTTATAAGCCTTTCCAGTTTGATGGACAGCAACAATTGTTTCTGGGATGGCGAGGACGTTCTATGTCGCCCAACTGTGTTTTTAAGCATTAAAAATGCAAACACTAACAAATACTAATGCTATAGTGTTCTGCTAGCATCAGTCGTGATCATCTTGGCTAATCCAATGTTTCCCACAGGGATTCAATGCATCTCCATGGGGAGCATTCAGGACAGTGTCCAGAAAGCCCATCTTGTGACTGCCACTAGAGATTGATTTAGGCAGCTATGTAAACTCTGCTTTTGCTCTGAAATGGCAGTGTCTATAATGCTAAGCCTGCAAAGACAGACTCTATGCCCCATAGTCTGCTACATTAAGCTGTAGTGGTTTTTGTGACTATTGTGTCCTATTAAATTGTTTCATTTCGGTAGGGCAAAGATAGATCCTAATGTTTTAATTAAACTGACATAGCATTTCCTAGAGGGACACTCTAAGCACCAATACCACTACAGCATAATTTAATGCCCTTGGTGCCTAGATGCTGTCTCTTCACTGTGACAAATGTAAGCATTATCATATGTGAGAAAATCAGTGTTTACGTTCATCAGTCACTGAGCCTATAGTGACTGTCAATTCCTAATGAAAACTTTTTAAAAAATTACCGACTTCACATTTTGCTGCATGACAATGGTGAATGCAGTTATGTTTCCCCATAGAGTGGCATTGAAATGCTTCTCCATGAGCAAAATCCTACTGGCTGAGTGTGAATTCACATAAAGGAGAAGGTGCGGTGAGACCGGGACACCCCTGGATGAAAGGGGAGTATAACTTTATTATTTTACTTTCTACAGGGAACTCTGAATATAACATGCACCAGGATCATTATGTTCTTTTAACATAAAGCCATAAAACATAATATAAATCTAAACCAAAAGAGAGATGTGCAAAAACAAAACAATAAAGTGCATAAAACAATTCACAAAAACACAAAATATAAACTTACAAAAGGTTTATATAGGAGTTCTCAACTAGTCATCAGATTGGATTGTTTTCCGATATATAATCTTTTTTTTTTCACCTTCCATCTCCGTGTTACATGACAGGAGAAGCTCAACTTGTCCAGGTTATATATTATTTTCAGAGAAAGAGGCAGTAAAATAGTGACTCTAGGAGAGTGACACTGTCCACCTACCAGAACCGATGGGCATAAACCCTAATTTCTTGCCAGAATTTAAGAAAATGTTTATTTTTCAAGTTCATGTTTTATGAAAACACCTGTCCTAGCCTGGGACTACTTTTCCTTAAAATATAGAAAACTCTGCAAGCTGGCAAGGAATCAAATGCAAGACTAATATTTTCACTACAGTGATTATGGTATTTAGAGTGCCCCTCTAATTATTTAGAGTAATGTTACCCATTTTCCAGTTGCTTTGCCAGAGATAATCTGATTTCACGTTGACTTCTGCTTTCTCTTTAATAAACCCATATACATCAATAGAATTTTCAAGGGAACTCACTCTAGATTGTATGATCTTTTGAGCATGGTCTTCATCAAACTATTGTTCCTGTAACATTTTGTAATTGTCTCATTTATTACAAAATGTCCCTCTTTATAATATTGTAAAGCGCTATGGAATATGTTGGTGCTATGTAATTTCTATTAATAATAATAATAATAATAATAATATAACAGAAAACAGAAAAGTAGTGTTTCTAACTATAATATAATGGTCTGTAGGACTGAATCCCTGTTATTTGAGCATATGCATCTTTCTACATTAGTCATGTGATGTTTGAATGTCTTGTCTTGGTATTTTACATGTAGCATGCATTGAGGTAAATACATGTTTTGCCAGGTTCACCTTGGGAATGTTTTTCGGAATCATTGCAATGTTTGGCTCCATGATCCTGTTGGGGAAAACACTCCATCAAACTCTAAATCAGATGATGGCTGAGAGCCCAGCGTCCCAGAATGAACGAATCCTGCAAGTTGTGGTCAGTCCTTTTTACTAAATTAATCCCATGAGAATTTACTAGTGATGATGTAATTTTTTTTACTTATAGCCCAATTTAGTTATGTGTTATGATGAACCTAGGCTTTATGGAGGCACATAAAATGTGGGGGGGGGGGGACGACAAAAATATTATATAATTTCACAGGATTATTCTCTAAAGACCAAACGCCTGGAATTAGCAGAATAATACAGGAGCATTTGGACTACAAAAGCTACATATTGTTCACAAGATTTATCAAGGTCCTGATTTTGCATAACCCCTTATTTGGCAGTGCAAGGGTTGAGTATGTGGTGGTTCTCATCTTGGTTGCTCAGTCTACCTAAAGTTGCTAATGGTACTCCTCCCTTGTCTCCTTGTTTTCAATTTTAAACAATCAGAATTTTACTCAAAATTCTTAATGGGCGCAAAACTAACACTGCTACTTTGCACCCAGGCCTTGGCGCTGTGAGGGGTCTTGAACTGTATCGGTCAGGGTCGAGTTGCCATGTTCTTTCCTTTATATTCTTGATTTACAAAGCAATGTGAGTTGCTCTGCTGGGAATGTGCCCTCTCATTATGCACGACATGTCATATTTGTAATTTGTATACCCTCTGCATAGCACTTTGGTATACGTCCGACTCCTTTATAGAAAACCAAATACTTAACAGGCAGATTCTCGGGATAAATGCACAAATTGTGTTTGTGGAAATGTCAATTTCTGTGACCTTGTCTAAGTGAAAGCTGCATTAGCAATGACTGTTTCAATGCTGTTTTACTCCGAAATCACCAGTGAGGATAGGAAGGGCAACGCACCATAAAATAGAAAAGGGTTGACAGTTAAGTATATTAAAAATATTTATATGCCAATCCCAACCCTCTGAAGAGTTTTTACCTACAGCCCAGCTGCCATACATAGATGCTCCTAAAGTTAATGGCATAACACTTTAACTAACTAATGGAAGAGGGCCTAGAATGGTGAACAAAGTCTCTGTGCAAATTAATTTAGTGTAACTTTTGAAAAAAAATTTTAGAGCATGGTAGTACAATGTATATTACTGCAAATATAGCTTACATGATGTTTAAAATGGTTCCATGCATCGAAAGTTAATAGCTTGAGACCATTTTATTTTTTTTCATTCTTTACAAAGTGTAACTGGATCATCCCCTTCCCCCAGTTCAGTTAGTTTGTCTAAACAGCTTCAACAATCGGTATGTATCATGTGAGAGTTTATAGACTGAAGGATACTTCTGACTTAAAGGTAGAGAAATAACAAAATAGAACTTTTCCCTAAATAGAAGGAGGGTGAGTATGATTTTTTTTTTTGTTTTGTTTTGTTTTGTTTAGGATGCATCATAGATTATGCTTTATTAGTGATGTAGAGCAAGCATGTCAAACTCAAAGTCTAGCAAGGGCCATATAAACAAGGTTTCTGTGAGCCTGAACAAAAACCCAAAACATAACATTTTCATAGAAATGTGGGTTTATTTTGAAAAGTACAGTATTAAAAAACAAAAACAAAAACCACAGCACCCCCCTCTAGCCAACAAGCAGACTCCACTGACAGACACAAAGACACTCGCTGACAGACATTCACTCACACAGACACACTCTCACTTACAGACACACACACTAACTCACTTACAGACACACACACTAACTCACTGACAGACACACACATTCCTGTAATTATTCCTGCGGTCCAGTGGGGATCTTCTGTCTGTAGATCTCCTTCCTGCTCCCTCACACGCAGTTTAGTGATGCCAGGCGCCGGAATATGACGTCATATCCTAGCGCCGGGAATCACTACAGGCGGTGAACAGGGAGCAGTGAGGAGCAGGAACACTGAGCTCCCTCGCTGCATCCACCGTCCCCTCCTGCCCGACCGGGTAAATTATAGCAGAGTAGGCATCTTCAATGTGGGGAAAGCAGGTGCCTACTCTGCTTGGAACACTAGACAATTAGGCGTTTACCTGCGGCTCGTCGTGCCGCAAAGCTGTCCATTGTGGGCAGCATGTGGCCTGGGCCACGAGTTTGACATGCTTGAGGTAGAGTGTTACCCCAGGGTGTAAATATGTTCAGCAGCTGGTTTTTTTTCTTTTTTGCTTTGTTTTTTTTTAACTGATTTGCATGATTTTATGGTAGAATATAGTAATGGGTTTGTCTTAATACCAGATGGAAGTAGCTAACGGAGTACAATGTTCGGGGAAAACTGATGATCTAGTTCAGTATTTATGAATCTATCAGTAATTGTTAACTGATTAAACCCATGAGAATTTATCATGTGTCTGTCTGCAGTGAACTGCTAAGTTGAGATACAAGAGGTGCATTGATGAAACCTAGATCCAACATGGGCTGCTGTAATTTAGCTAGGGAAGTTTAGGGACATTAACCCTTTATAAAGCAGGGGAGAGAAGCCTTGGGTATAATTATTTTCAGAATGTAGGACCAAACATTGGCAGTGTAAGCTTGTTCCAGCCTTTCCAAGTGGTGTTCAATGGCTCCTGTAGAGTTTGTCATGCTAAGTTGAATCTGACACTTCAGGTTCACCGAATGCTCTTACATCTCCCAAATCGTTAAATATACCATTTGATTATAGTGATATATGATATATTTAGTTATTTTAATAGATGTTTTAGCAATTCTTACCTTCAGCCCCTGATCCAATGCATCCATTCTCAGAGACCCAGTGGCAAGACACTTAACCAAATCCTCATAGATTATAAGCTTCTTTGAACAGGGCCTTCTTTACCTCTAAATACCCCATTTCTATAATTGTAAAACACTACTGAATATATTGGTGCTTTATTAAAACTAACCATAATTATAACTACCAATAGTGCAGGTTCTTTATCTTGATGAAGCTGCAGACATTGCTATCTTGGTGGTCATCTCTCATTTGATCATTTCAGCAGAATACCCAGCAAAGGGTAAAAAGATACAGTTCTGCACTTCTTACAAGTCAATAACATTCATCAAATGCACAACGAATAAATCATGTATGACCTAATGACCGCTGAGCAACAGTCTATTTGTCTCATTAAATTTTTTTATTTTTTTTTTAATAAGTAAGCATGCAAGCTTCCGGATATCCACAAAATCAAATTTTCTAAGTCCGGCTACTATTAATTTTCGATTAAAATGTTTTAAATAACTTTGGATGAGAAGCACAAGTATAAAAAATGAGTTATCAAAGAAAGCAGATTACAAATTAGTAAAATGTATTTTCCGAAAACTTTCTTCAGGGTGGATTGTTGTTGAGAGATTTGTGCACTGCAGCTGGCTTCCAGCCCTGTTTAGTGTGTCTGCCTGTGTTTATGGTGAACCCTTTTCTCTTCTGTAATGTTTTGTTGCTATGCCGACCTCTAACAGGTGCCGGGTGTAAATCTACCCATCAGCCAGCTGACATATTTCTTCTCTGCAATCTTCATCAGTGGTGTCATACATGAAATCGGGCATGGAGTGGCAGCCGTAAGGTAATGTGACTCCCTTCTTTCTATCAACAGCAAAGTTAATGTAGCATGTTGTGTTCACATCAATATTTCATACACGGAGACAGCTAATAATGTACGGGGTCTGAAATACCGATGACAGTGGCAGGCGCTATTAAGATAGATTTGGAATTAATGCTAAACTCCCAAGCTCATGGCAGATACCTGCATTCACTCAGAGGCAGATGCATTAGGAGGCTAAAGTCTGTTTTGTATGATTAACATCTTTTTTTGTAGTAATTAATTTTTTCGGTAAGAATTTAGACTTTTTCTTTCAGTTTTTGCAATAGTTTTGTTTATGTTCGTAGACTGTTGGAAGTGGCATCTTTTCTTATTAATTACCTGAGCTTTATTACTCTCTTCTTTTTGAGTGCTCTTTGTATTGAGTATTATGACCCAGTGAAAACCTAGTGAACAGTTTAGTTCTGTTGATTTATTGTCATCCAGTATGCGCAGGGTGACGACAAGGTTACTTTTATCCATTAAAGGACCACTATAGTGCCAGGAAAATATACTCGTTTTCCTGGCACTATAGTGACTTGAGGGTGCCCCCACCCTCAGGGACCCCTCCCGCCGGGCTCTGGGGAGAGGAAAGGGGTTAAAATCTTACCTTTCTCCAGCGCCGGACAGGGAGCTCTCCTCCTCTTCTCCTCCCCTGCGCGCGCATTCAGCCAGTCTCATAGGAAAGCATTCATGATGCTTTCCTATGGACGCTTGTGTGTTCTCACTGTGATTTTCACAGTGAGAAGCACGCAAACGCCTCTAGCAGCTGTCAATGAGACAGCCACTAGAGGCTTTAGAGGCTGGATTAACCTATTTCTCTGAAACTGCTATGTTTAGAAAAAAATGGGTTAACCCTAGCTGGACCTGGCACCCAGACCACTTCATTAAGCTGAAGTGGTCTGGGTGCCTAGTGTGGTCCTTTTTTTAAAACAAATTGTGAATGTTTGAAAAGCTTATTAAAAATATGAAATCAAGGCCTAAATGAGTTGTATGAGATTTTAAGAAAAAATACCTACCATGCTAATTTCACTATTAATTATATATTATTATAATAATAATAATTAATAACTAGTACTTGTATAGCGCCTTTCTCCAAGTGGGACTCAAAGCGCGCTCTCGGAATTAACCAAATCGGCAGGTAAATAGTAATAGATGTTATTATTACCCAATTGATGGTACTCATTTTATTGACCTCGGAAGGATGAAGGGCTGAGTTGATTTGAACCTGTGACCTTGCATTTTTAACAGGCTTTGTAGTCAGGGAATTTACCAACTGAGCTACCTCACCGTGACATGCGTGACAACACAGGACACAAAGTCACCTGATGTTACGTAACATCTTAGGAGTTCCATAACATTTCCCCTTTAAATGGGAAAATTTCCTAAACTGTGTGTATAGTAGCATGTGCATACCAGTGTGTCGTTTTCTAAGTTTTTGTATGAGTGTGTTTGACTGTGTATGCATGTGTGTTGTTGAGGGCTGTTTTTTCTTCCCCCGGGGATCCTAACAGTTGCAGTCCATACAGGAATTCCAATCAGCACAACACTCCTACAGGCCTGCAGAATTCATTCAGACACAACACCACTGTGAGGTCCAAATGAACTCTAAGTTGTTTGGTATTACTTAATCAGATTATATAGGCATCTGATCATGTCACATTACATCACATTATACAGAAGCAGCAATAATTTTGGACAGCTGTCAAAGATAGTCTCAAGACATAGTTCATTGATAGTTCATTGCCTAAATACAGACACTTGGCAAAATTAGCAAAAAGGTCAGAAAGAGTTGCGGTTTGGTAAATTCCTCATTTTTAAAGTATTAATATTCTATAGAAATTAATATAAGATTATGTTTAGTCAAAAGGTTATACATGTTTTATATGAATAATATTTCTCATATGGATAATATTTGTAAGTAGTTATGAGCAATAAATCTCAATATGGAGAGTTAACATAGAATGAAGGATTGGATACATGATTTTATCCTATGCATGTGTGTGTATATAGCAATATGTGTACTTTCCATGTATAATAGAAGTGGATAATGTTGCCCTATCTCTCTTACCACTCTCCCAGAGCCATGCCAGAGAAAAATACCAGCCTTTGCATTGCTAGTATTTTTGCAATACTGGCATCTGCCAGAAAGCCTCAAATACCGGCCAGGTGGCAACCTTAAAGGGACACTATTGTCACCAGAACAACTACAGCTTATTTTATTTGTTCTGGTGAGTATAATAATTCCCTTCAGTCTTTTTGCAATAAACACTGTCCTTTTAGAGAAAATTCAGTGTGTACATTTCCACTGGCCACTCCTCAGAGGTGCTTCCTGTGGCAGTGCAGCACAGTGAGCAGCACTGCCATTCAATGTCTCCTCCCTCTGTATGAAGACACTGAACTGTCCTCACAGAGATGCATTGATTCAACACCTCTCTATGAGGAGATGCTGATTGGCCAGGGCTGTGTTTGGCTAGTGCTGGTTCTGCCTACTGGACAGTGTCAGTCAATCCTATGGAAAAGCATTGTGATTGGCTCAGAACAACACTTCTGATGATGTCAGCCAAGCAGGCAGATATGGGGCAGAGCTAGCAGATCAGACTTGAATACAAGTAAATGTTTACTATATTTAGAGGGGCAGGGAGACTAGATGATGGTTTTTACACTGTAGGGTCAAGAATACATGTTTGTGTTCTTGACCCTATAATGTTCCTTTAAATGTATGATCAGATAAATTAAATTCTGTACATATTTGAATCTTGTTCCTGATCTTTACACTGAGCATTGTATTATGTAATGGTTAGTGAGCACAATAAACTACGCTGGCATAATTTACCTGTCTATTAATGTATATAGTACATTAATAAAGCAAGCACTGTCATAACTGTGTAGTTTATTCATCCTCGTCTGTGAAATGAACGATAAATTGAAATTTTCAACTTCAGTCAAAGTTTCCCATTTGCCAAGTGGTTGTGGACAGTTTAGTAGATTAGGTGACAATATCCAGTTTTGTTTTTATTTGTCTTTTCCTTAACTTTCCTTTTTTTTTTTTTTACTTCAGCTGTCCATCTCTCTAATCCTGTAAACCAGATAATTTGTCCTCCTCCCCATTTGCTTCCTGTGTAATGCCCACAATTTCTGAAAAGGTATACACCGGGATTACACAGATGTGTCTCACTATAACTTCCACCTATGAGCTGTGCTACTCCACTGTGACTTTCCTGCAGCTCATTTGTAATTTGAATATGTACTGTTATGTGTGTTAATGCATATGCTTTGGTGTGAGTGAATGCATTTGATTGATATTACAGTGGAACTTTGGCGCTCGAACTTAATCCATTCCAGAAGGCTGTTTGAGAACCGATTTGTTCAAAAACCGAATCAACATTTTCCATAAGAATTAATGTAAATTTAGATGAATCTGTTTCAGACCCCCAAAATTACAGAATTTACAGTTTAATATTACCTTACATGCATAAAATCATACAGAAAAACAATAAACCGAGTGTAAATGAAATGAAAATGTAACTTGTCAGCTGTTTGATGACAGAATGGATCTCAGTTCGCTTTGTCTTGTGGCCGAGGCCGGTGCGTCATAGCAACAAGGTACCAATGAGGTTAATGCCATGTGATTTTGTTCTAATACAGAGTTTTGTTTGGGTATCAAGAAGTTTTTTTCTCAAATTCTTTTTTTTTTGTTTGAATACCGAATTGTTCGGGTAAGGGAGTGCTCCAGTTCCGAGGCTTTAACTGTATTAGATTTGTAAAGTGCCAACGTTATTCAGAGAAACATTAATTGGATGAAATAGGCAAGAGTTGAAGGCGGTGCAATATAAGACAAACTGGTAGGACACTGAATATTTAGCATTTAGTAAATGTATCACTTTTATATAATGTGCAAAACATGGCTAATGAGCTTACAATCTAACTGAGATAATGGGGAGTGTGATAGAATCTAGGTGATCTTAATTAAAATATGCAGGATGTGAATGGCAGGCAACAACCATTAACTGCTATCAGGTCTGTATGTTTGTTTTTTGTTTGTTTTTGTTGTGTTTTTAATGTGTATATTTATATACGTGTGTGTGTGTTTATAATAAAATGAAAATGTTCGGCTTTATCTGATCCTGTGTTCATGTTTTTCTAGGTAATCCTTTTAAAAGCATTTTATTTTTATTTTTCTTTATTAGAGAAACTGTGCGATTCAATGGCTTTGGGATGTTCATCTTCATTGTGTATCCTGGGGCTTTTGTTGATCTGTTGACATCTCATCTCCAAATGGTTTCTCCAGTTCAGCAGTTGCGGATATTTTGTGCAGGTAGATGATATATACACACATGTACTTTTTTTTTTTTTTTTTAATTCTGGATCACTTCTTTATTTACACTAGTCGTGCAAGATTACAGCATGGCAGTTTAGAAACAATAGCATTTCACAAATGAATTGTGCAAGTCAGATTGCTGACAAATGTCTAGATTAATACAGAGGTGTAACTCCTGTAATCGTGGGCAGATCTGGTCATGTATTGTTTGATGCTGCTCTAAAATTAAAGGAATCCTCACCCAGAAAAAACAAAATAATGTAACAAAATGTATACATAACCGTAAGCTATGCTTTAATAGATAGAGTTATTCCATCCCAATGTCCTGGAGACAATTGTAAAGCACTCGACATTCATCCTCATTTCATTTTGAGGTCTCCAGAACCCCATCAATTGCATAGTTTTTCCATAATGCACATTTTTTCACTTTTGTATAAAATAAATAAACCAATAGCATTGTAACAAAACAAATTAAACTGCAGCTAAAATTAGCTATACATTTGCAGAAAAATTCCGCTCCAGACTTTAACACCGTTCTATAAATGATACCTTTTATGATTCAGAGCTAGGTTTTGAAGTCTGTCAGAAGGACCTTGTTTATTTTCGTATAAAGATGTCCTAATGCATAATGTAGGTGATTGCTATTTTCTTTAGTATGCAGTCACATTACACCAATTTTATACACAGCGTTTGTACTGGATACGTCTGTTTATCTGCTTAATAACACAGGTGTTAATAAATCTGTGCCACACCGTTATTTAGAATAAATGCCAAAGTGGACTTGTCACCAAAGGGATAGGAGTGCCCAGGACAAAGGACATTCCCACTCTTTAAAGGAGACTGTGTTTATGTGCTGAAGGACATTTGTATCTGTAAATATTGTTAAAGAGACAATTCAATGCCCAAATAGGCAAAAAGAATTCACTGTTTAGTTGATATAACCCCAGTGAATATATGCATGCATTTTTTCATACATGGATTCATTGAGGGTATATCTTAAAAGAGCTTGCAGAATATGAACAGTAGCCTTTCAAAGCACTCCCGTTTCTTCAAGAGGAAATAGCCAACCAAAGGCTTCTGATTTAGACGCTTTTAAAGCTTTCCTACATTCTGATCTGAGTTCTGACAATCCGGTATGCAGGGGGAGGCTCTGGTGATCTAACAGAAGTAGCAAGCAAACTTACCTGGCTGTTTGACAACCAGAGAGTGTTTCATTAATTAATTATAAAAGTGCAGATTTCTAATGGAAATTGCCACTTTTATAAACTGCCATTATAATGGGACACTCCTCACCCATTAAGCACTTCAGCAAGCATTAGGGGTGTAAAGTGTTTTTTTAAGAACAAGATGGACTTGCAGCAAGGCTTGTATAGCTTAGAATAAGGACAAGTGCTGAGGCAGATGAAAATCCAAAACCAAGGATATCTTCCGTTTTCTGACAGTACGCCTGTTTATTTGATAGAATACTTTGGTGCTGGTTATCAACGTCCCATATCTTGTTAAAAATAATGAGCAACCTGGGTTTAATTGGGCATCTGGACTTGAACTGGACCGTAGCATACAGGCAGACTCCATATGGTCAGTATAGCCATCAACAGCACGCTTTTTCTTTGAACGCTATCACAGGGCATATAAGACTTGTCTAGAATGCTCACCAGTAAACCTTCTAAATGTGACCTATTGGTTATAAGGAAGTTCCATCCTAAGTAACAGAAGTAACTGAAATAATTTAAAACCTCCATATTTGTACAGAAAAACATAAGATGTTTAAACTAGAGGCTTCGTTATGCAGCACACGTGCCATTGTCATCTCTTCCAAGAGAGAGTTTAGGTCAGACCCCGTTAACTATAAGGGCTACACCCAGGCAGTCACCCTTTTAACAGGGCTACATGTACTGGGCCTCCAGGAGAAGAGAAGCTGAACTACCCTGGCTGTGCCTTTTCAAAAAGCAAGTAACCCTTGAAAAAGGATTAAAAAAAACATCCACAGGAAAGTGACTGAATAATCTATCTGGCAGCAGGGGTATTTATAGCTTTAATTGACTGTCCTAAACAGCCAAGTGAGTGGAGCTAATCCTGTTGTGATTAGCTCCACCCACTGCCATGGAATGTTTTCATTTTTGCATATTTTTAATATTTTTTTATTAGCTTTTATTTATTTTGATTGCTGTGTATAATAATAATTCCTCGCAGTTTACCTTAGAAATGTAAAGTTCAATTTTAAATGATGGCATGTGACCCAAATTAGCAAAAGGAATTTAAAATTTTTTTTTTTTAAATCCTTTGATTGAGTTGGGACCTGAAAGGAACAATGCAATTAACATGATTTATTATACATTAGCAGCAGCTTCAAGAGACATTGCTAAATTAATAGGCATTACAGCACGGCGGGGTGTACGTGACTGTAGAATCTAAAACTGTTTCTTTTTCTGCAATTATAGGTTTGTGAAAATTGTTCTGAAAGCTGAATAATAACCACTTTTATGCCTAGGGCTTGGTCTTTTGCTCCATTCTCCATTCTTGGATTCCACCTGTTCTCCTTATCTATAGGTTATCTGCCCCAGGCCTTGCAATACCTGAATTGTGCACATTTTGCAAATGACACTATCACCGTCTCAAAGAAACCAAAAATACCACAATTTGACGTTGTGCTGCAGAAGCATTTGTCAAAGGTAGACCAGATAACAACAAAAAAATAAAACACAGATCTTAAAAAAAAAAAATTATATATATATATATATATATATATATATATATATACTGATACATGAACGTTAAGTAATTGTAAAGCTTTGTACATGGGTTTACCTTAGTCCTTTGGAGTTAAATGGCTGCTCCAAGCATATTTTGATGTGGTCTTGTCTGTATGTGCAACAACAAGAGTTCTGGGCTGGCAAATGTCTGCTGTCTTCTCTTGTCTCCCAAATGCTGCCCCAATTTGTCCACTGAGCCTGTCCTCGTAGCAACGTCACCAAACAAGGATTAGGCTTCCTGGGGGACTTGGCCTTTTTAAAAAATGTTTCACCCCAACATTTCTTTTTTGGGGTGGGGAGGGGCTGGGGGACCTGCATATTAAAGCAGCTCTGTCACTGTCTGGTGACATGGCCGCTGGGAGTCTGCTAGCCATGGGAGACCGGGAGCAGTGAGATTTACTTATCTCAACCTGCCCCTAACCAGCGCCTCCCATCACCTCTTTTTCAGCTTCTGGTGCTTTAGCTGTAAGGAGCAGACATTAGCGCTGTACTCTCATGCAAAGGTGTGAGTACAGCATTGATGTGTATGGAGTATTCAGTGGTATCCTTCATTGAAAGAGCTTTTTTCCCTATTTCCCTATAGATGTCACTGGTGCTGGCTGGGGGAAATGACAAACTTGACAACAGGTAATGCTGCCTTTTTGTCAAACTTAGGAAACATACTTAGGCAAATTAGTTCCTACTTTGTCGTAGTATATCTCTTGACTTGGTTTGAATTCCAGTGAAATTCCAACACATTCAATCTGAGTATTTCATAAAGATTCAATATTTATGAAATACTTATTTTTGATATGGGTATGACTGAGCCGCTTTAAGGGTTAGTCTGACCAAAATTAGTCTTTTATTAAAACTGTGTTTTTGGTTAGAGTAACCCTGTATTATTGTTGTTAAACTGCCATAAATATTTATCCTAAAATAACGGATATATTTAATAATCTGTCCTGTTTTAAATAAAGTGCTAATGAATGATAAGGTGCTGGCAAAAAAGGAATTGGAGAGACACACCTAGTATATGCTAGGTGATTAATAGTGATGCTCTAAATGCTAAAATATGCACATTATGGGAATAGCAGCACACACAAAAGTCTACTTAAAGTCACCTGTCTTAATGCAACACTCCTAGCACCATACCCACTGTCATAACCCCACATTGTTATTATTATTATGTTATGATTGATATAGCACCAACAAATTCCGCAGTGCTTTTACATGTTTAGAAACATTTTGGGCTTTATAAGCGATAATCTATTAAAAAGAAATGTGTCCAACGTGTCCTGCAAACAAGCATCTACACTAGCCTAAATATATGACAGTATAGAAGAAAGGAGGCAGTGGTATGAAAATGTGTTGAATGTGACAGTGAATATAGATAAATGTAAAAGACAAGGGAGTGTAAATTAAGTGGGTGAGAACACATAGGCAAAGAAGGTGACAAAGAGTGCAGTAAGAAAATTAGGTGATATGTTCAAAGTGTAGAAAAAATAGTGTGTATGGTGACAAAGGTATTGTCATTAAAATGCTAAAGTGAGGGGGATGGTTGCAATATAAAAAAAAAAAAGGAAATTAAAGAAATACAGTCTGGGAATGCAGTAGTGAAGTGGGAAACAGAAAAATTAAAATGGACAGATTGGATAGAGAATAATCTAGACTAGAGCACACATACAGATATAGACAGGGATATCTTGTTAGTGTTAGTATTGGTGAATGTGAGTGTTCATGACAGGTAATGTAATGTTTTGGAATGTTGTGTGAGTGATGACTGAATAATGGGTGATTAGTTCTGTGTGTCTGGTATGTGAGGAGTGCTGTGTTTTTATATAGTATTTTTATTTTTAATCAAATTACATAACAACCAGTTCAGAACAGATACGGAAAAGGCACACTTGCAAATGAAGAGGACAGATAGAAACATGGTTTCATTTAATGTCTTCTTTTTTGCTTTTTTTATGCTAGTGGTCAGGTGCCAAGGAAACATAGAAACATAGAATGTGACGGCAGATGAGAACCATTCGGCCCATCTAGTCTGCCCAATTTTCTAAATACTTTCATTAGTCCCTGGCCTTATCTTATAGTTAGGATAGCCTTATGCCTATCCCACGCATGCTTAAACTCCTTTACTGTGTTAACCTCTACCACTTCAGCTTGAAGGCTATTCCATGCATCCACTACCCTCTCAGTAAAGTAATACTTCCTGAAATTATGTTTAAACCTTTGCCCCTCTAATTCAAGACTATGTTGTGGTAGTTGTGGTAGTTTTTCTTCTTTTAAATATAGTCTCTTCTTTTACTGTATTTAAATGTTTCTATCATATCCCCCCCCCTGTCTCATATTTCCTCCAAGCTATACATGTTAAGATCCTTTAACCTTTCCTGGTAAGTTTTTTTTTGACAATCTTTATTTTCAAGTTTTATCATTTTTTCAAGGAAAGATGTAGTAACGGTATAACGTCAATTTTAACATCAGTGTTCTGAATAGTTTAACAACATTCGTCACCATTGTTTTAACATTCTCAAAACAGATTTCTCAGACAATATTTCTATAGTTTCCATCACATGCATTAGGTAGGATTATTTAAGGTCAAGTTTCTAGTCTCGCATCCCCACTGGTCTACAATGCGCAGTTTATTGCACCTATGGTGTGCGCTTTACGTGTAGGGTATGTATCGGTATCTAGTCTGGGTGCTGTGGGGGGTAAGTTTTCTGACACGCTACATTTCTCATTTCACGTTTCATACCAATAGTGTCAGGAGCCTTTTTGTCGCTTGACATGTATATATATATATTGTTGGGCATGGTATAGGGCCACGCTAGCGAGAGAAGATATTTTGAGTGCCTTAACTCCTCCCCAGACTACTCAGCACTTATTAACATTCAAGGCCATCTTGTTGCCTGGTTGAGAGCAAAGTGTGATGGTTTTGGTTAAGTTCCCCACTATTGTGGGTTGGCAGCTAGTGTATATTTTTGTATGCCTATCGCTATAGCTTGTCATATGGGAGGATACTCTGGGTATCAGTCTAGGAGGCCAGGAGGGGATATTTTCATGCCGGTATCAGCTCTAGGTTGGGTCTCGGTTTCCTGTGTGTTTTACACCTGTGATTACAGTGGGTGTGCGTATTGATAAGCCCCATTTACGAGCTCGTCAGAGTCGGTCGTTGGGGTTCTGTCCAATGTCCAGTCTCGGGAAAGGGTCAGGAGGTAGGGGACCTTGGAGGGAGGGGTAGCCGGGTGGCTTAGCTCTGTATGAGTCGGTCAACTGCGGGCCTCTGGGGGGCCGTGTTTGGGTTTGCTAATCTGTTGGCTAGGTATGTTTCCCAAGGGTACCAGGTCAGTGCACATTGCTCCTGTCTACCGTGTAGGTCTGCAGTTAAGGACTCCATTGAGTGGATTTCTTCCACCCTTGTCACCCATTGCTGGAGGGTAGGCGCCCCCCTCTGTTTCCACATCACTGGAATAAGGGCCTTTGCCGCGTTGAGTAGTGGCAGCAAGAGGGATTTCTTATATGTCTTAACGGGTGTGGGGGTGTGGTGTAATAGCATCGTTAGGGGTTCTAGGGTTAGCTCCGCACCTGTGATTTTGTTTATCTCTACCCTGATCCTCTCCCAGAATGTGGTAATCTCGGGGCACTGCCACCAGATGTGGAAGTACGTGCCGGTGTGCAAGCCGCATCTCCAGCAGGTGTCCGGGGCACCTACGTTCATGCGATTGAGTACGTCAGGGGTTCTGTACCAGCGTGTTAAAATTTTGTAGTTCAGCTCCTGGTACTTGGAGCTGATAGAGCATTTGTGTGTGAGAGTGTAAATCTTGTCCCAGTCTTGCACAGTAAGGACTTCCCCCGAGTCTCTCTCCCAATGATCTTTAAATTTGAGCACCACATCTTCGTTAGTTTGGGTCTTGAGTATGGTATGTATAGTGGAGATACCTCTGTGTACGTGTGTTCGGTGTACGCACAGGTGTTCAAAGCTGGTGAGGGGTCTAGTCAGGTGTCCTCGACCATGTAAGGACATGAAGTACGTCTTAACTTGGTGGTATCTGAATTGTTCGAGTATCGTCGGTGGTCTATCTGGGCAGAGGTTTCTGAGTGGTTTAAGTCCCTGAGTGTTGAGCCATTGGTGCAGGTACATCCAGTCTGCCTGCTGGAGGCCGGCTAGGTCTTGTGGGGTTAGAGCATCGGCCAGGTCTGGGTTATGTGTGATGGGTGTCAAGGGGCTAGGAGAACTTGTGAGTTGCAGTCGGTAGCGTATAGCTATCCACACTCGGAGCGTGGCGTCGATTAGTGGGTTCTCGGTGTGCAGGTCAGTGTATGTGGCTGTATGTAGCCAAAGCCTAGAGGGTATTTTTCTATCAGTTTGTTCTAGCTCAATGGTCACCCATTGTTTTAATGGGTGTTGTGCGTGCCAGTCCGTCAGTCTGTGCAGGTGAGCGGCGCGGTAATATGTCTCTATGGAGGGCAGTCCCGTGCCCCCCATCAGTTTTGGTAGTTCCAGGGTTGATTTTTTTATTCGGGTTGGGCGAGAGTTCCAGACGAATCTGCGGATGGCAGTCGTCATAGAGCTAAAAAAGGCTCTGGGGAGAGTAATTGGCACTGTTTGGAATAGGTAGAGTATCCTGGGTAATACGTTCATTTTAATCGCATTGATACGTCCGAACCAGGAGATGTAATATGGGGTCCATTTCTTAAGGTCCGTCTGAAGTGAGAGTAGGAGGGGGAGATAGTTATGGTGGTATAATTGGGACGGGTCTTTGGTCAGCCATATGCCCAAATATTTTAATTTAGTTTCGCACCATTTAAACTTGTATTGGGTGTGAAGGTGTGTTGGGGGGCCTGTAGGGGGTGGGAGGTGGAGAGCCTCGGACTTATCCGTATTAAGTTTAAGATTAGAGAGTGCCCCAAACTCTCGGAAAGATGCTAGGAGGTTGGGCAGCGAGATCAATGGCTGTGTAAGAAAGAACAGCATATCGTCTGCATATGCGGCTACCCGGTATTCGTGACGACCAAGGTCAAATCCAGAGATTCCCCCATTCCGTCTGACCGCCCCCAGAAATGGTTCCAGGGAGAGGGCAAACAGGAGGGGGGAGAGCGGGCATCCCTGGCGGGTGCCATTCCTGATAGGGAAAGGGGTTGAAAGTGCCCCGTTAATGCGGATCCTCGCAGTGGGGCACGTGTACAGTGAGAGCACCCAGGCCAGCATGTTGGGGCCGAATCCCATGTGTGTAAGGGTACTCCTCAGATACGCCCAGCTCACCCTGTCAAAAGCCTTTTCGGCATCGGTGGAAAGTAGTAGAAGTTCTCTACGGCGCGCTCGTGCTATGTGTAGGATGTTCAAGGCCTTAATCGTGTTGTCTCTCCCTTCCCTACCCGGGATAAACCCCACTTGATCCGAATGTACCAAGTGGGGGAGGTGTTTTGCGACTCTCAGGGCAATGGCTTTTGCGAATAGTTTCAGGTCTGCGTTTAGTAGCGATATGGGGCGGTAGCTCGCGCAATTCGTCGGGTCCTTGCCCTCTTTTGGTATTACAGTAACTATGGCTGCTAACGTGTCTGGGGGAAAGCGCCCCCCCTCCAGTATGGAGTTGAGGCCCAGTAAGAGATTTGGTAATAAGATGTCCCTGAACGTACGTAAGTACATCAGGGGCAGTCCGTCAGGTCCAGGGGCCTTATGGGATTTGGAGATTTTTAGGGCTGCCGCCAGCTCCTCCATGGTGAGGGGTTGGTCTAGGTCGTCCCGCATTTCCGCGGTCAGCTTGTTATCTATATTTTGTTCCAGGAATTCAGTAATTTGGCGGGTCTGTCGTGCGCGGGCAGCGTCAGTGTTAGGTTGGGGGATATTGTATAGGTCCGTGTAGTAGTCTACGAACGCACGCTGAATTCCATCCGGCATTCGGGTTTCAGCTTTGTCACTGGGCTTAATTTTGTGTATGTGGCTCGCCATCCGACGGTCACGGAGCTGGCGGGCTAGCAGTCTGCCACTTTTGTCCGAGTGCTCAAAAAAGAACCGGGCCGATTTTCTAAGGGTGCGTAGGAGACCCTGAGCTAATATGTCCCTTCTCTGTCTCCGGAGCGCTGTTAGATGGAGGAACGTGTCTTCGTCCTGACTTTGTTTATGAGCTTGCTCTAGGTTGGCTATTTGAGTGTTTAATGTTATCAGCTTTCGTGTATGTTCTTTCTTCCGTTGTGTACAGACCTTAATATAGTGTCCCCGTACTACACACTTATGTGCTTCCCATACCGTCAAGGGCGAGACATCGGGGGTTGTGTTAGTGTCGAAGTATTGTGTTAGAGTTTGCCTAACCGGGTCAGTGTCACCCAGGTTAAGCAGCATATTCTCATTTAGCTTCCAGTGCCTTTCCGCTGGTTTGTGTAGTGGGGATTGGATCTGGGCTGAGACCGGGGCATGATCGGACTCCGCAATCAGGCCTATGCTAGCCTTGCGGAGTAGTGTCAGGGCTTCCTGTGCCATAAAGATATAGTCAATCCGACTGTATCTCTGGTGTACAGCTGAGAAATAGGAATAGTCCCTGCCATCAGGATGCGCCGCCCTCCAGCAATCCACTAGTCCACTCCTTGTCAGAGCTCTCCCGACTGCGCGTATGCAATGACCTGGTATTGAGCTTTCTCCCCTTGAGGTGTCTAATCTGGCATCTAACGGAGTGTTAAGATCTCCTGCCATAATTAGTAAGCCCTCTCTGAACTTGTTGAGCAAAGTGAGTGTTTTATTTAGGAAGACATGTTGGTTACGGTTCGGTGTATAGAGGCATGCGAATGTGTAGGGATGTTGTGCTATGGTTCCTTTAATGAATAAGTATCTACCGCCTGGATCTATTCGTTGCTCTGTGCATACGAACGGGACAGTATATGAAAAGAGGATCGCCACCCCCGCTTTTTTTTGGTCGGCATGGTTGGAGTAATAACCTGTGGGGAACCTTCTGTTTTTCAGGGTGGGGGCCTCCACTCCTTTAAGATGCGTTTCCTGCAAAAACGCCACCGAGATGCGTTCCGCCCAAAGAGTACTGAGTAGCTGAGACCGCTTCTCGGGTACGTTTAGACCTCTAACGTTGTTCGACCACAGGTTAAGCGGTGCCGGCACATAGTTAGTGCCCATCCCTAGCTGTGCGTGGGAAGGGGTATGGGTATGTCAGAGTATCACGGGGTAAGGTTCGGGGGGGGGAAGTAGGGTAGTCCAGTCAAAGTCAGGGCAGGTTAGTGGGTCGGGATCTAGGTGACTACGACTCGCCTCGGGGTCAGTCGCTTCCCAGTGTCTATTCCCTTCGGGGTATGTCACCAGAGTAGCCCCCGAGGGTTTGTACAGTGTGAGTCTGTCACGTGAGGTACGTGGGTCGTCCGTTCTTGGGTGAACCGTCGTCTGGATCGCGCTGCTCTCACGGCACCCAGCCCACTGTATTTGTTTAATTGGAATTTTCCCCTGTGGGTATGGTGAAGTAGTACGAGGGTACCCCCTCCCATTATCCCTTTTCCTCTCTGTTCTTGAGGGTCTGAGTATTGCGTGTCTAGTCGGTAATCGGGCCCTGTAGTTACCTAACGGGTCCGGCCTCCCAGGGTGTACCCGCCCCGGCCTAGCCCCCTTGGCTTCGTGGGTTCAGGCGTGTTACCTGCCCCCTTGTGTAGGTGTGTGCCCCCCTAGGAGTGGTATAAAGCATGTGAACTTATTCAATAACAATAACAAGTACAACTGTAAAGACCAGACCACCGCCTCTGGCGTTCCCCGTTCCCCCCTCCCAAGGAACCATACCCCCCTCCTCTGCTCCCTATTCCAGCTGGGGGAAGTGGAGTCCTCTCCTGCCTGTTGGCTTGCTAGTCCCTTCTGGGGATGGGCGGAGCTTGGGTCTCGGGGCCCTCTGGGTCATCATGGGACTGTCCAGACTTTATCCTGGGGTGCCATTCAAGTAGTTGGAGTCCGCCAATGCCTCCCCTCTACCCCAACCACCTAAAAGGGGGGATTCTATGGGCCAGAGCCCGAGTCTGTATAAATCTGGGGGGGATCCCCTCCATGTCATCATCGTCCCCGGGTGGTACCCGATCCCCATAAATCCCGCCACCCCAAGAAATATGTGGCCCTCCATAGTCTCAAGTCCCTGCCACTCTGACTTGTGCGTAACTGCTACGGGCCCAGGGTAGGGGTGTAAGTACATACCCAGCGTTGTGTCAGCTTCTGCTTACGGAGGTTGTTTCTTCGCATCAACCTTGGGGGGAGCGGTCCGGTGGTCCGTCTCACTGCGGCGTGGTTTCTGGGGTTGAATGGGGGTGTGAAAACTGGGGTATTCCTCCGTCGGTGGGTGCGCCGGTCGCTGCCCCCTAGGGCTCTTGAATCTGCTATTCTTCATGGCTATCCGGGCCACCTCTGCGGTACCCAGTTCCTGTAAGGCCCGTACCCGGCCTGATATTTGGAGCGTTTGGGCGTTGCGGCTGTCTCTCCAGGACCCAATTTGGGACTGCCACCGCTGGGAGGTTCGCGGCTCGGAGGAAGCGTGGCACATCAGCTGGCCAGCGTATGATATGCCATATGTTGCTCACCTTTGCCTGTAAGCTAAAGGGGAATCCCCATTTGTATTGTATCCGCCGTTCTCTAAGCAGGGTGGTTAGCGGTCTCAGTGCCCTTCTCGCTTCCAGGGTGAGTACTGAGAGATCCTGATATAGGGAAATCTGGGCGTCCATGTAGGTGAGGTTTTGTTGGTTTCTTGCTTCCCTCATGATCTCGTCCTTTAACGAGTAGGAGAGCAGGTAGCAGATTACGTCTCTAGGCGGTCCCTCAGCGGACACGGGGCGCAGGGCTCTGTGTGCACGTTCTATTCCAAAGTCTGCAGGGGCCCTGTCCCCTAGTATGTGTGTGAACAGACCCAGCAGGAGCTCTGGTAGTGCTTCCCCAGCTGTTTCAGGGAGTCCCCTGACGCGAATGTTGTTCCTCCGTCCGCGGTTGTCCAAATCTTCCAGATTCCTTCTTAACTCCAGCAGGACATTGCCTTGTCTAGTAGTGGCTGTGTCTGTGGCTTGGCGGTGTTGTATTATTTGGGCACGTTCTGCCTCTAGTTCCTCCACCCTGCGTTCCAGTGCTGTCAGGTCTCTCCTCACCTCCATGACCTCCTCTCTGATTACTGCCCTAATTTCAGCCAGCAGGTCGGTCTTATCTGCCTTGGACATCATGTTTGCAGATATTGTGGCCAGGTCTGCTGCAATTTGGGTCAGTGACTCCTCTCTGGCTGGGCCTGTTGCTGGGCTGTCTGAGCTGCTGGCGTCTGGTGAGGGAGGCGCCATTTTGGCCGCGGCCTGGTGCGCCCGCATGTCTCGCGGCGTTCCGAGGTACCCGTCCATGGGACCCGCTATGCGGCTCGGTGAGCCCGTTTGTGAGGGGCCAGGGGTGAGTAGCCTCTTTGTCTTACCCATCTCGGGTCTATTCGTGCTCGTTTATCGGTGCGGTAGTGAGCTGGGGCCTAGGAGCTGCAGGGAGATGCGTCTCACTCCATTCCCGGTCAGGCCACGCCCCCCCTCCTGGTAAGTTTTATCCTGCAATCCATGAACCAGTTTAGTAGCCCTTCTTTGAACTCTCTAAGGTATCAATATCCTTCTGAAGATACGGTCTCCAGTACTGCGTACAATACTCCAAGTGAGGTCTCACCAGTGTTCTGTACAATGGCATTAGCACTTCCCTCTTTCTACTGCTAATACCTCTCCCTTTACAACCAAGCATTCTGCTAGCATTTCCTGTTGCTCTATTACATTGTCTGCCTACCTTTAAGTCATCAGAAATAATCACCCCTAAATCCCTTTCCTCAGATGTTGAGGTTAGGACTCTATCAAATATTCTGTACTCTGCCCTTGGGTTTTTACATCCAAGATGCATTATCTTGCACTTATCCACATTAAATGTCAGTTGCCACAACTCTGACCATTTTTCTAGTTTACCTAAATCATTTGCCATATGGCTTATCCCTCCTGGAACATCAACCCTTTTACATATCTTAGTATCATCAGCAAAAAGACATACTTTACCATCAAGACCTTCTGCAATATCACTAATAAAAATATTAGAGGTACCCACTGGTGACAAGTCCAAGCTTCCAAGGACAGCACTTACAGCAAAGACTGACAGCTAAGATGGAGGTGCCCAGTTGCAGGGAAATAAAATGTAGAGTTCATTATATTTTATTTTTCACACCTTTTAATTGCGTCTTTTGTTAAGTACAGGGATATGTAATTATGATGTTTAAAATTATTGAAGTGATAGCTCGCGTATAATCAGTGCAATACAATGACCACTAGATGGCAGGGTAATACTGTTTTTAGTGTGCAATTTTTTTGTCAATCGTTCTTTTAATGATGGTTTGAGTAAAGCAAGTTGTAGTATAACAGGAGTAATATCGCATAAGATGATTAAACCTATTTTTTTTGTTATAGTATAGCACTGACATGATGGCATATTACAAAAACAGAACTGACACGTATAAAGACAACTCTTATAAGATAAAGATTATAAGTTGCTTAGCACTATGCTGGAACATGTGATGGTGTGTGTTCTTGTATAAAACAGTCCCAAAAATAGCAGGATTTCTTGGGTTATATGGGTAATATTAAAGATAAGCTGAGGAGCTGCTTGTTTAGAAGTCAGGCCTTACCCCTCAGTGTAATGTAACAATAAAAATGTAAATGTTAAATATTGTTGTTATTATTGGTCATATACAGGTATAATCAAAATTATTCAACCCCCATTGAAAATCAGGTTTATTGTCAAAATGTACAGACTTTGTTGTTTGCCATGAACAAATCAAACAAAAGCAATTGAAATAGCTCCACACAATGAATGTTTTAAGTGGTTTCCCCAAATTCAACTGAAAACGCTGCTGTAATGACTTCTCCAGTCTCAGAATTATTCAACCCCCTGAATAGAATCCCTCAAAAGAGCACAGATATGTAAAACAGGTGTTGTCTCAAGCACACCTAATGCAACTAATCAAAGGGCTTCATTAGTTGCACCAGGTGTACTTGAGCTGGAACAGGTGAAATATATGAACTGGCTAGCGGTTTGTTGAGTGTCACATTTGACTGCATGTTAGAAATAAGTAAAAAGAATTTTCCACAAAGTTAAGAGACAAGATCATCGCCCTTCACAAACAAATAGCAGGATACAAAAAGATAGCGAAGGCACTGAATGTAGCTAGAGACACTGTTGGAGACACAGTTTTCAAGTTGAAGGAGTCAAAGTTGAAGGAACAGCAGTTACACTACCTGGCATGGCCATGTTTTTGTTTCTTTGCTCCCTTCCCCAAACAGTTTTGACAGTCGGGAGACTTCTGTGTGGACTCTTTGCATCACAGTCAGTCCACTGAGCTTTATGTTGTGTTGCCTTACATGGAGGTTAAATGGACATTTCACTGCCCAAATACAAAAAAACAATTATGGTTTAGTAGTTATACCCCCACTTCGCAGGAGCTGATCAGAATGGTGTATTGTCAGCATCTGTACTAGGCTCCACCCCTGTAAAAAAAAAAAAAAAAAAAATTGCTTCACGGCCCCAGATACGGTCTTATAAATCTTTCCAATTTTTTTAATTGTATGATTACAGGTTGAATAACAATTGCCTATGTCTTATAATGCCTGTTGGCTCAATGTGCACCTATTCTATCATTCAATAAAACTTTACATTTCTGCATGTGTTATAACAAAACAAATTATAGCTTTTTGAGACTGCCATCTTAAAGCAAAGTTATGTGGCCACTTCCATTTTGTGCAGACCTGTTAATCATATATGACCAATTTCCTTATAGCCCCTTCACTACCAAGCACGTCTGTTAAAAATAAAATAAAATGAGTGTGTGTGTGTGTGTGTGTATATATATATATATATATATATATATATATATATATATATATATATATATATATATATATATGTATATCTTCCTATAGTGTTTATTTGAAATACCCATACATGTAGGTTAAATTACCATACCCATACATGTAGGATGTGCAAAGTTGAGAGATGCATAATTACTAGTGTTGTTGGGTGTAGCTTGTGTTTTCTATTAACAGGTATGTTAAGGAGGAGGATGACCTTTAGAAATTCTATGCCTAAAATTGCTGTGTGAGGGGGAAAAAAGATGAAAGTACTGAAGTATTCTGCCTATCTGTGACATTTGTAAAAATGCAGCATCATTAAAATACCAATGACATTTACAACTGAAACAAAACACAATACTTTAATATAAATAAAAATACCAACAGACTGCAAGAAAGTGTACATGATGCCTATATACGGTACTGACTGCAATTACATTAAACCATGTACTAGAAGACCGAGAAGTCTGTCTTCTCTACATTGTGTTATATTCCTTATTCCCTGACTGTTAGGATGCTGAATGAATCCATTTTTAAATTTAAACTTGTTTACAATATATGAGGACTTAAAAGGGTGTATTAATTGTAGGTCAGTAAAGGGCCCAGAATGGAGTATTGCTTGGGGGGAAAAAAATGTTTATCGGATGGCAAGTGAAAATGTGTATATTTGAGTTTCGTGGTGAAAAGCTTGAGAAATTTGTGAAAAAAGTAACAAATGGCCAAGCACAAAGAAGCAATCTAGGCACCAACATGACTACAGCTCAGTGTAGTGGTTATGGTGCTGAAATTCCATGGGTGTCCATAGACTGTCCTACATCAGACACACTGGTAATTCAGAACCTTCTAAACAGAAGGATAGGCAGATTGTGCTGAGCTAGTCTGTTCCTACTGCATTTATTTACAAAGTGATTCTTCAATGTGTTCCATTTAACATTACCTCGTTTTTGTTATTTATTGTGTCTAATTACCATCACTCTCTGAATATGTCTTCTGCCACTGTAATTGCAGGAGTCTGGCATAATTTCATCCTTGGAGTGATTGGCATCTTGATAATATTTTTGCTTCCTGCCTTGCTGTTTCCATTTTACTATACAGGAGTTGGTGCCCTAATCACAGAGGTTGTAGAGGTAAGGAATTGTGTGTAATTCCATCTCTTTCTGCTTTTCTGTAATTTTTCTAACAGAGTTTTAGCAAGGAACATAATTACCTGCACATTTTTATCTACAGTCATTGGGAAAATAAAGTACACCCTATTTGAATTCTGTAGTTTTACATATCAGGACATAACAATCACCTGTTCCCTAGCAGGTCTTAACCCCTTAAGGACGGAGCCAAATGTACACGTTGTGAACGAAACAAAATGTAAACAAAACCTGGCATTTGCGCCACATGTCTGTCCAACCGTAATTCACCTCTTTCATATTAAATGCACACACCCTTATTATATATCATTTTATTCAGGGGAAACAGGGCTTTCATTTAATATCAAATATTTAGCTATGAAACATAATTTAATATGGAAAAAAATGGGAGAAAATAAGATTTTTTTAATTTTTTTTTTAGTTCTACATGACATTTTAACGGTCAATGTCATAATACTGTTTGCTTTTACTGCAGTAAAATTCAGCAAAGTCTCACGTGAAAAACAGTACCCCCTATGTACAGGTTCTATGGCGTTTTGGGAAGTTACAGGGTCAAATATAGCATGTTACATTTGAAATTGAAATTCGCCAGATTGGTTACGTTGTCTTTGGGACTTTATAGTAGCCCAGGAATGAAATTTACACCCACAATGGCATACCATTTGCAATAGTAGACAACCCAAGGTATTGCAAATGGGGTATGTCCAGTCTTTTTTAGTAGTCATTTGGTCACAAACACTGGCCAAAGTTAGCGTTAGTATTTGTTTGTGTGTGAAAAATGCAAAAAACGCCAATTTTGGCCAGTGTTTGTGACTAAGTGGCTACTAAAAAAGACTGGACATACCTTGGGTTGTCTACTATTGCAAATGGTATGCCATCATAGGGGTAATTTTCATTCTTGGGCTACCATAGGGTCTCAAAGGCACCGTAACCAATCTGGCGAATTTTAATGTGAAAAAAATGAAACGCAAGCCTTATATTTGACACTGTAACTTTTGAAAACACCATAAAACCTGTACATGAGGGGTACTGTTGTACTCGGGAGACTTAGCTGAACACAAATATTTGTGTTTCAAAACAGTAAAAAGTATCGCAGCAATAATATCGTCCGTGTAAGTGCTGTTTGTGCATGAAAAATGCAAAAAATTTCACTTTTACTGGCGATATCATCGTTGTAATACACTTTACTGTTTTGAAACACTAATATTTGTGTTCAGCGAAGTCTCCCGAATAGAACAGTACCCCCCCATGTACAGGTTTTATGGTGTCTTGGAAAGTTATAGGGTTAAATATAGTGCTAGCAAATTAAATTCCCTTTACTTTTGGCATGGGTTGTCAGGCAGGTCCCGCTAATTGTAATTAATTAAGATACCCAATTATGTAAAAATATTACATAAATATATATGTAGAATTAATATATATGTGTGTGTGTACCGTAACCAATCTGGCGAATATATATATATATACACATATATATGTATGTGTATATATATGTGTGTGTGTGTGTGTGTGTGTGTATATATATATATATATATATATATATATATATATATATATATATATATATATATATATTTTATTTTTTTCAAATATTTTTATTTATATATATATATAGATATATACGTATATATTTATGTATGTAGATATATATATTATTTCGTTCTACGTGTGTTTAAAAAAAAAAAATATATATATATATATATATATATATATATATATATAATCACAATACAGTTAGAACGAAATAACACACATCTATATATTTTTTATTTTTTTTTATTTTTTAACGTATTTACATATTTAATTTTTTTATATTATCTATAAATATATATATATATAATCAGTATCAGTCTACGTGTAATTTAATATTAATATATATATATATATATATATATATTAATAGTAAAATACACCTAGACAGTGTACGTGTGTGTATGTATATGTGTGTATATATACTTAGATCATATATATATATATATATATATATATATATATATAATATATATATATATGATCTAAGTATATATTATTATTTTTTTACACTATTTAATTTATTTTAATTTTATTTCTAGCCAGCAGGGGGACCACCTGTCATTACAGGCAGCCCCCCTGCTGGCAATGCTGCAGCCAGCTATCCCGGCCATGTGATTGTGAGGTCCTCGCAAGGACCTCACTCTCACATGGCCGGGGGGGCTGCAGGAGGAAGATCTGCTGCGGGGGGGCTCCCCCCAACCGCGATCACCGGCGCACAGAAAGACCGGAGGACGTACTATTACGTCCGGCGGCGTTTAGAGCCGCCTATAATAGGGCATAATAGTACGCCCTCCGGTCTTAAGGGGTTAAAATAGGGTAAATACAACCTCAGATGAACAACAACACATGACATATTAATTAAACTGTGTTATGATGTCTTCAACAAAAATGAAGTCAAAATGGAGAAGCCATGTATAAAAAAAAAACGAAGTAGACATTACTGCTTGCATAGGAAGGGACACTATATAGTCACCCAGACCACTTCAGCTCAATGAAGTGGTCTGGGTGCCAGGTCCATCAGGTTTTAACCCTTCAGATACAAACATAGCAGTTTCAGAGAAACTGCTGTGTTTACATTTGGGGTTAAGCCAGCCTCTAGTGGCTGTCTTCCAGACAGCCACTAGTGGCACATCTGCGACGCTGGAGGCATGTTATGCCTCCATCGCACAGAGCGTCCATAGGAAAGCATTGAGAAATGCTTTCCTGTGGACACTTTGAATGCGCGCGCGGCACTTTCCACGCATGCGCATTCGGCTCCTGTAACGTCGGCCGGGGGAGCTGACGTCAGAGTGGGAGGAGAGTTCACCAGCGCCAAGGGACCACGGCACACGGCACTGGCACTGCTGAAGGGGAGGGGGACCCTGAGGGTGGGGGCACCCTCAGGGCATTATAGTGTCAGGAAAACCGCTTTGTTTTCCTGACACTATAGTGATCCTTTAAGAAGTAGCAGACAGGGAGTGTTAACACAATACCAAGGATGGAATACATCAGCAATGGTCTTAGAAAAGCAATTGTTGCTGCCCATCAACCTGGAAAACGTAATAAGGCAATTTCCAAACAATTTAAAGTCCATCATTCCTCGGTGGGAAAGGTTAATGAAAAGTGGAAAACATTTAAGACCGTTGCCAATCTTCCCAGGCGTGGACGTCCCAGCAAATTCACCCAAAGGTGAGACCATGCAATGCTCTGAGAAATTATGAAAGAGTTGTATATCAGACTCTCCAAGCCCCAGTTAGCATGTGAAATGTTAAGACTGAACAAGTAGGGCAGGGTTCGACAAATCCTGGCTAAGAATTTTTCTCTGGCACCTTGGTGTTTGTCAGCCTGTTCGACAGCTGCGGAATTAGCAACCCTCGCACCTTCCCGGTTGCCGGCTAAGGGAGAGTGGTGGCAGACAGAGAGGGAGCTTTAATCTTTCTGTTCTGCTCCTTTGCGTGTTCTGCAGTGATGTCAGCAGCCCGAATATGATATTACTTGAGCGCCGTCATCACTAAACATTTTGCGAGGGAGCGGAGCAGGAAGAACTTGAAGTTTTCAGCCCACCATTACACTGGAACTCTGAGAGAGAATCCACTCCAGCTCTCCTAAAACTAGGGAAGCTTGGTGGACTTAAAGAAAAAAAAAACTATTTGTGAGTGTTTCAGTGAGTGTGTCAGTGAGAGTGTTTCTGTCTGTCATTGAGTGTGTCTGTTTAGGTGATCAGCTCTCTCTGATCGCATGGGAAAGGCGTTTTTACTCACCTTTTCTCCCACTCCTTGTTGGTCTCAATATGGCTGGCCCTGCTTCCATAGCTGAGATCATCAATTTTGATGATCTCCGCCAAACCAATGCTTTCCCATATGGCTGATGATTTGGGCTTGTTTTGTAGCCACAGAACCTGGGAACCTTGCAGCCATTGAGTCGACCATGAACTCCTCTGTGTACCAAAGTATTCTAGAGTCCAATGTGAGGCCATGTGTTTAACAGCTAAAGCTTGGCTGAAATTGGCTCTTGCAACAGGACAATGATCCCGAGCACACCAGCAAATCTACAACAGAATGACAGAAAAATAAAAAAAGAATCAAGGTTGCAATGGCCCTGTCAATGTCCAGACTCAACCTGATTGAAATGCTGTGGTGGGACCTTAAAGCGGCACTGTCATGCCGAATCCTGTTGTTTTTTTTTAACCCCCCTCCGGCCTTCACTATAGCTAACTGACACCCTAGTCACCCCCAAATGCCCCTAAGCCCCCCACATTACCTATTTTTTATTCCTTATTTTCTGCCCCGATCTTTATTCAGGGCGCCGCCATCTTTGTGTGGGTAGATGAAGTCCCTGTGGGACACGTCATCAGCCCACACTAGATAGCCTGTGAGATTCCCGCAAATGCCCAGTGAAACACTTGGACATGCGAACGGGAATTTCATCTATTCATTCATTCATCAGACCACCAAATTAATGATTAGAAATATCAGACACACAAACAAACACTGTGTATCAGTGTTCGTTTGTTTGTTCAGTTTATTACAAGGAGGGAGCTACCAGCACTCAGCTCCCTCCTTGTAATATGTAACTATAGAAGCGGCAGGGAGCAGTGCTCCCCACCACTTCATAAACCCCCCAGGTCCCCCCTCACTCTATGGGGGTCAATATGACCCCCATAATAGCATAAGGGAGTTTAAAATCTCCCAAATGCCCCTACTCGCGGTATAGTCTAGTAAACACAGTGCTCTGTGTCATTTTACATAGCATGGGAAAATTATTTAGAATTTTCCCACGCTGTGTAAAATGACAAAGAGCACTCTGATTGGCTTCAACCCACCAATCAGAGTGTTTTTAGCCTAATTGCAGGGCGGGGCAGGGCTTTATAAGCCTTCCCCCGCCCTGGGAGCTCAGTCTGCGCAGAGCCCTCCATGGGTGAAGATGGATTTTTTTTTTGCGCTCTGGTTTTTTCTTTTTCGTCTGTTTTTCTTTTTTTTTTTATACTGATTTTTTTTAAGTTCGACGGTTATGATGGTTTTTTATTTGCCCTTTTTTGGGGCTGAAAAATGAAGAAATTGAATGGTAAGTTTAATTTTATTTTACAGGTTAGTTATTTAATTCCCCCCTCACTATTTTTTAGGGTGAGAGGGGTAGGTAGGGACTTTTTATTTGGGTGGGGGTGTAGGTGACAAGGGGCTTGGGGACCCCTAGTCACCTTGTGGGGGGGGGGGAATTGACTTAGGCCCCTGCCGGGACAGTAGGTCCCCCCCTCACATCTTTATGGCCTCCACCGGGCTGCCCAGGGTGTATGTAGGGGTCGGGAGGGGTATTGTGTAGGTCCCCCCATTATCATTATGGCCCCCCCCCGCCGCCCAGGGGTGGGGGCGGGCAGTAGGTGTCCCCCCCCCCCATTATCATTATGACCCCCACCCACCACGCAGGGGTGGGGGTGGGGGGGGACTTTAGGTCTCCCCCTTTATTTTACTTTAGGGCCCCCACCCACCGTGGGAATTAGGGAGTTATCTACTAAGCGGCTGCAAGATGCAGCCACAGCACGAATAGGATCAGAGTTTCATTCATTCGAATGAAATTCCGATCCGAATATAATGCCGAATTGCGTTCTAAACCAAACGAACATACTGTTCTCATTCAGTTAGAACGCAATTCGGCAGTTTCATGTAAAATGACAGGAAGCATCGCGAGATCACAGAGGAAAGCTAAGGATCATGGGAAAATTGCTCTGACCAGCGGAAATGAAGCACACTTTGCTCCTCCGCTGGTCAGAGCTGGTCAAGCGGAGGAATCCTCCATAAGGCAAAGAGTCCCTACTTTGTCTTATGATTTTAAAGAAAACTAAAGAAGACATGAAGAAAAGAACAGATCCTGAGAGAGGGGGAGAAGAGGAAGAGATTGAGGAAAGGTAAGTTCGGCATGACAGTGCCGCTTTAAGATTTATGCTGTGCATAAACAAATAGCAGCAAACCTTAATGAATTGAAGCAACGTTGTAAAGAAGAGTGGGCCAAAATGACTCCACAATGATGTGAGATACTGTCATACAGAAAACGATTACTTTATTTATAATATATTTAAAGACCTGCTAAGACAAAACAGAGAAAAGGTCAAGAGGGGTTTAAAGGGTTACTCCAAGCAGTGATTGGTGATAAAGTGGTGGCATTTGAAGCATGTATGTGCATCATTTTTAGTTTTAAAGTTTCACATTTAGGGTTAAAGGGATAGTATAGGTATCAAAACAACTTTAGCTTAATGAGCCTGTCTTGGTGTATAGATCATGTCCCTGTAGTCCCACTGCTTATTTTTCTGCCGTTTAGGAGTTAAATCAATTTTGTTTCTGTTAATGCAACTGTGACGAAGTGCCCTTCGCCACTTGTGCCTGGAGAGGACTGCTTGCCCGCCTCTTGCCCTGTGACTATGGCCCCTGGGATGTATGATGATTTGGGCATAGTGGATTTGTGTTGTGCTGCTGCTGGCCCTTTAAGAACCATCTGGGGACATACTGTGGAGTTACTGGGTGGCCACCATTTCCTGTATCAGAAGCACATGGTGAGAACAATGGATGGCGGCCATTTTAACTCACAGACACTGTTTGGACTTTTCAACCAACTCCGCAGGGATGCCAGGAGGAGGAGGTAAGTGAAACTTCCCCTCCCCAGCTACATCCCAACCGGGTCCTGGGGGCAGTGGATGAGCCTGCGATACCCACTGACCCCCTCCCAGCAGAAGAGCTGGCATCTGGGCAGAGCTCTGTTAGCCTCTGCCCCCCCATTTCCCCTGTATCAGAGCCTGACTTACCACGGGTTACCCCAGTGGAAGAGCTGGCAGCAGGGCAGAGCGCCGCTGGCCTCTGCCCCCCAAGCAACACCAGCAGTTTGCCTAGCTGCACCAGGGAGACCGAGAGTGCTGCGCTGTCCCACTACAAACTTGAACCTACAGGCCAGTACCATTTATTGTGGGGGGGTTACTCTGCGTATTTTTCTTTGTGGGTGGGCTGCCCGACTAATCTAGGTACTGACCGGCAGAAGGTCAGGTACCTGTTTAGTCTTCCCCCCAAAGGGAAGATGTGTGACGAAGTGCCCTTCGCCACTTGTGCCTGGAGAGGACTGCTTGCCCGCCTCTTGCCCTGTGACTATGGCCCCTGGGATGTATTGCCCTTTAAAGACATGATTTGGGCATAATGGATTTGTGTTGTGCTGCTGCTGGCCCTTTAAGAACCATCTGGGGACATACTGTGGAGTTACTGGGTGGCCACCATTTCCTGTATCAGAAGCACATGGTGAGAACAATGGATGGCGGCCATTTTAACTCACAGACACTGTTTGGACTTTTCAACACGGTGCCATCTTGCCAGTATTTGGTGCACAGAGACATCGTGCAGTGGTTTTGGACTATACAGCAGGGGACACATTATAAAGTGATTGTTTTTCATTTAGCCTGTATATGTTCTGCAGAATCTGCATTAAACTGTATTTTCCAAAGTACTGAACGGATCTGGGTGAATTTTGGATATGTGGTTCACCCAGATCCCCCGGTTCCAAGGATATACTTTATGGGGTTATTGCATGTTTTGGGGTCCCTGTGTGTTTTATGAAACTGTATTATTTCTGGCCAGCAGATAATTGAGCTTTGTGTATTGTAGAAACTCAATTATCTAGCCTGGCCCAGAGGAGGAGTTTTGTGTTGCATAAATTGTGAGTTCTGTGTGCCAGTAAATCAGTCTTGTTCCAGCATTAAGCCTTGGCTCATGTTTGGGGGAAGGGATACCTACACTCTGGGGATTGCTATAATCACTTACTCCCCAGAGGAAGCTCTTGCAATAGCTTGATTTGTTCCTGTTCCTGCTCTCTGGGGAAAGAGAGGTTCACCCACTGGAAGCTGGATCCTGGCCTTGGGTCCAGGGTGGGTGGAAACAGCAGAGACCCCGGCGCAGTTGCATCGCTGGAAGTGGGGTCTGCAGTGCTGATGGTGTCGGTTGGAGTGCTTGGAGTCCTCAGCGAGCACTAGGAGCATCGATTGGCGGAGGTACTCAGTCGGAGTGCCAGCGTTCCGTCACAGCAACCCTAGGCACACCTCTCCTGGCTGTGACTGGCATAGCTTGCATGAAAAAAAGACTTAATTTTCAATCAGATATTCACTTACCTCTTACTTTATAAGTTTTTAACTCCTGCTTTGTGAATTAAACATTAATGACAGAGAGGTTAGCAGGCTATTAACAGAGCAGGCGCTAAGGAATTGTAAATTAAACAGACTGTGCAATAAAGGAATTCTAAATATTGGATCTCTCTTTACAGAAGTGTTTAGGAAGTCTGTGTATGTCACATTCGGGTGGGTGTGACTAGGGTTGTATAAACGAGTGACTGAACTACTAAATGGCAGAGGATTGAGCAGTGAGACTGCAGGGGCATGATCTATACACAAAACTGCTTCAATAAGCTAAAGTTGTTTTGACTATATTGTCCCTTTAAAGAACTTTGTTGCCGAAGGTGTTACTCCACCTCAGGCAGCATCATTGGGCAGCCTGTAACGAGCATTCCGGGCTGGCTAATGTCAATTCTGTGTACATATGGCATCTGTAGTCTGTCGTCAGCATGCATACCATTCTGGCGATAGACGACAAAAAGAGGCATGACTTCCCTCTCCATATTGCTCACATCATCCTCTGGGATGTCCCTCCCACTGCAGTGAAGGGGAGTGACGGCACCAGAGGAGGATCAGACTGCCAGGAAAATGTGGCCTCGCCATAGGATCGTAGGTAAAGTTTTAACTTTTTATCTTATTAAGTGGTTTCTTATTTTTGTGCACATCATTCTAGGACAGGGGTAGGCAACCTACGGCACTAGTGCCATGCACGGCACTCGAGGTGTCTTTGCACGGCACTCAGGGCTGCTAGAGCCAAACAGGCTCTGGCCTATCAGGAGTCCCAGTGAAACTTCAGATATCTGCTAATGCAAAAAGAAGGGAAATCCTTAATTTATGCACTGCAGCACGTAGAGGAAGTTATCTCAGATCACTTCATTCCAGCACTTGTGAATGGGAATCCACACTGGAGTAGAGCAGCCCGCAACTGCTGTTGCAGCTCCTGTCCTTGAGCTGTATCTGTCCGCCCTGGTCCCCACTGGAACCCAGGGAAGCCACCCACACTGCTAGATATACACAGAGCTGCAGAATAACCCTCCCTTCATACAAATAATATGAACAGCCCACACACAAACACAACACACAATCCGCATAAACTTAACACCACTGACAATCCACATACATGCACACAACCCCACATGCAGCCTCTCACATGCAATACCCCAAACAGCCCCACAATACCACAAACTACTCATAAACATATACAATATATTAGCTCATATACGCACAAATACAACGATACAAAGCAACTACAGTATACATAACAAGCAGAATACAGCAACATACACACCTCAATTTAAAAAAATAGGACCGGCACGCTACAGGACATCACAATCCTATTTCGGCACAGTGCTGCTTAAAGGTTGCCTACCCCTGTTCTAGGATATTTTCATAACCGGCATTGTTGACCCCTGACAGATGCTTCAGGAGTCTTCTGCATTATCTGTCATGGCTTTGCCAAATTTATGGGATTAACTCTATAAGGTTGGCATGTCTACTTGTGAATCCCTGATTATGTTTTTTAAAAAGAGAAATAAAATCAAAACCTAACCAGTCCCCTTAGACCACAAGCTATCCAGTTTGAGATAATGTTTCATTGGTGAAGTTCATAAAACTTTAACTAATAGTGTTTGATTGTGGTCATCTTATCTGCATGGGAAAAAAATCTAATTGTTTTGTGCAACAGCATCTGGTAGCTTATCCTTGTAGTGATCTCAAACCAGATCAGCTATTCTCATTCTAGGCTCCTTGGAGTCTAACCGACACCACATAACTTAATAGACCAAATTTTATTAAATTAATTAACTGAAAGTTTAGGGCTGAAAAAAATGAAAAATTAAAAAAAGCTTATTCTATTTTTGCTCTCATTTCCTTGATTGTAAACTGTGTCCTGTTTATGAATAGAGCCATGCCTGTGAATTTGTTTCCAGTAGCTATTTTTTGTTTTGTTTTTAATTGTATCTATTTTAGGAAAGCGCTTGCTGCTTTCAAACTACCTCCTGTCTGGCTCCCTATGTCTGATTTCAGTCAATGATAGTCCATATAGTTGGGCAGGATTTTTAAAGCACTAGTGCACATTTTATATTTGATTACATTACAAAGGGGCTTAAAGGGACTGGCAAAGAAGCTTCTGAAGGCAGCAACACTAAAAAGAATCACTTGAAGGCTAGGGTGGCATCAACACCGAGCACCAATAAAACAGTGCTTTGCAGATAGGATTTATAAAATGGAATAGCAATGAACAAAACAAATCATTACTTGGTGACAAATAAATAACATTAGGCTTGTTATCAAAGGGAAAACAAGAATGTCCAAAATTATTAATTTCTTTTTAAATGTGTACAAATAGGGGACCTGTCTCTTCCCAAGCTTTTTATTATGTTTACTAATGTCTACATTTAACAAATATGTATGTTAAAGATGTGAAAATTAAAATTAAATGTAGAAATTCACACCTATTTATCCTGCAGTTGGCTGCCTCCGTCTTGGCTTTCCGTTGATAATTGTGATAAGCTCTTTACTGTGCTTCTGGTAGTCCGCATACAGAAATGAAACCAGGAGGAGGATACATTAAAGGGACACTGTAGGCACCCAGACCACTTCAGCTAACTAAAGTGGTCTTGGTGCACTATCACTTTTGCACTTAGTGCTGCAATGTTTAAATTGCAACTCTGTCTGCCCTCAGTGGTTGTCTACAAGACAGCCACTAGAGGGCTTCCTGAATTGAAACGGACCTTTGGTCTGGTATCTAAAGCTCTGCATGAGGACCTCCAGCGTCAGATTTTTCCCCATAGGAAAGCATTGATTCATTGCTTTCCTATGGGGAGGTCTAATGCGCGCCCGGCATTTTCTGCGAATGCGCGATAGACCCCGCTCATAGCGGGGCGGAGCGACACCACAGCCCGGAGGGACATCGGCGCTGGGATCAGGTAAGTAAATAAAGGGGTTTTAACCCTTTATTTACCAGGGAGGGTGTAGGCAGGGGGAGCGCAAGTGCCAGGAATGCAGCTTTGTATTCCTGGCACTACAGTATCCCTTTAAACAATGTTTCTATTTCTTGACTTCATTTGTAATGATATTCCCTATTTTAGGGCTGTATTAGTTCCAGTGCCATTTCTGAGAATTCATTTATATGTGCCCATTTAAATGGTAACTTGCTGTATAAAGCTATTGTGGGCTAGAATTCAGGCTCAGCCAAACACAGGATGAGGTGGATTTGAGTTATTTTTCACATAAGCAGTTTAGCAGTTGCTTGCCCTACAATTCCATTACATAAGATGGATATTTCAGTTTCCACCAACTTCAGAGAAAATGTCAGTAAACTGGAGCAGGCACCAAGTTTGGTGGGACATAAATTTCCAGTAGAGTGGTTGAAATGATCTGGGGTTGCTGTATCTCTCAAATAGAGTGAGCATGTTTTCTCTTTAATGGCACAAGATCAGTTAAAACCAGCTTGAGGAATGAGCAGGGACTCTCTGAAGAGCATGCTATTGGAGTTGTTGTGCGTTCTCAGTATTCTCTTGCGCCCTTGCCTTGTTTGTTTGTTATCACAATCCCATTACATCAGATTCATATTTTAATTCCCATCAGACTCAGCCAGAATCTCACTGAGCAGGGGCAGGCAACTTCTGGCACCCTGTTTGGTGGGAAATAAACTCCCTACACACTGGCTTGTGTGTTTTTGTTTAGTTTTTTTCTCTTTTACTTTATCAGGAGATAGAGTTAAATTGCCCAAAAGCAGGAGCTTTAACACTGTTGGTATAACTCATACAACCATGGGCTGCTTGTCCAAGGAGACTGGTTTAAGCTTGATGTGAGATAGGTATTTATCATATTGCATAAAAAAATTATTTGAACCATTACCACTTCAGTGGGATGAAGTGGTTAAGGTGCTTAGTGACCCTTTATATTCATCTGCATATAAAGCATTCTTTGTTTTAAAGATGCATGACAGTAAAGTTTGTCCTTTTCAAGTAATACGAATTGTGTGTGATTTAATAAGCAAGCTAGATATTCAGGATAAATGAAGGAGTATTAGTCATAAAGTGCTGGTGCTACGCTTTTCAGTTTATGTTGGCTCTTTGACCAGTTAATCCATGGCTTCTCACAAGTATCAATAGAAAAGCCCAACCCAATGCTATTGCAGGAGAGGCCCTGAAGATACGATGTTCCTGCCAAGAAAAGCCTTAGTCACGTAACGATTCGTAAAACCAAAACACACAGTCGGGCATGCAATTAAATCCTATTGTAACCAGGAACAGGGAGCTCACAGCACCAGTAAACCTACACATCAGTGTATACGCCATTTGTGCCGAAATTATTTGCTCCTACCTATTTAACTAGGGTCTTTCTTGTTTATCAATGTTATTTACTATTGTGGGCTTGTGTTGACCCATTGGAACAGAGCACCAGACACTACATGCTGACTCATCTATATGATCTCCATTTTATTGTGAAATTTCCACTGCATACATTCTGCATGTTGGCCCGGGCTGCATGCGTGCACAGAAAAAGCATTGTTTGCTATTACAAACTGCACGCATTATTGCAGACTGTACATGACTTTCAATCGTGTTGCCTAGCAACTCCCTTGTGCAAAATGGCTATGGGAATACAATAATTAGCCCACAGAGGATGTGAATCAAAAATGCAAAAGGTCGAGGGTTGTAAAAAGGCTACCAGATTAGCAGGACAGACAGCCTCACGGCTCATTAGGTCAATTTATGGGAAGAGGAATGCTTTTCATTAAGCCAGGTGGCAAGTAATGCCAATATTATGTGACTACCATTTTAATAAACCTGTAACTAACACTGAATAGTAATTTGGAGTACCAGGGAAACTGTGAAAACTTTTTAAGGATCGTTTTCTCATTCCATCAATGCTATCCAGGCAAAATCTAATGTTTCACAATCATAGCTGGGTCTCATAGTTCTATTTATTGATCTGCGTAGATTACTAAAGATTTTTTTAATTAATGCTACAATCCAGCCATGTGCTGTAACCCTAGGTTACGAATTACTGTAATTGTGCAGATTGCAGGTGGCAGCCTGTGATTTGATGCCCTGAAATAGCTTTCTCAATTGTACAATAAAACTAATTGGCTTTGGCATTCAACAATGAGCTCATGCTTCATGTTAGGAGGGTACATGCATTTCCTTCATTTTATTTGTAATAAGCACTGTATTTTTCCTACATTACTTCACATTATTCAAGGTCTTTTAAGCTGATAGTTTTTGCTTTAAAGGAACATTACAGTGCTGGGAAAACAAAACTGTATTCCAAACGATATTGTATGCACCTGTCCAAGTTTTAAGTACTCCCGACCACAAGCACAAAAGGATTAAAAGCCCTTTTAACATTCCTCCCCCTCCTGTGACATCATGCCAATGGAGGACCTAATGCGCACGTTTCCCCGTAGGAAAGCATTGAATTGGTGCCTTCCTATGGGGATTTTGAAAATGCTAGTCCTCCTACAAAGCATGAGGACATCCAATGTAATTTCACTGAGTTAAAGAAGCCAGGAAGACAGCCACTAGAGGTTGACTTAAAGGTACTCTATAGGGTCAGAAACACAAACATGTATTCCTGTCCCTATAGTCTTAAATGCCAAAACCACCAATACAGGAGAAGGTCGTGGTGGTGAAAAGGAGGAGAGTGTGAGTGGAAAGAACAGAGTAGAAGAGAGGAGAGAAGACATTGAACGGGGTGTTAAGGCGCAAGGGAGGAACCCGGGGGCTAAACATATGTTTTATTGCAAGCACTCCCTTTTAACTAAGGGGCACTTCTGTGAATTGTTTTATTAAACATTTTAAGATGTATTAATTTCATTAACAATATATAAAATATATATATATATATATATATATACCAAAACTAGCGAGGCAATTGTAATTTTTCTGAGAGGCAATCTCTTCTCTATCCCATATGTAGTCCGCAGAGCACACCCATCTGCTGGTTAAGTCTAAAAACCATAGCAAGTGGCAGTCGTAGCAGTGAGAGAAATTAACCTATTGACCTCTGAGCAACATCAGCTTCCATTGATTGGTAACGTCATACTCCAGAACAACAACAGCGTAATGTAGTTGTTCTAGACAGCCCCTGCAAGTATTTTCATGTACCCACTGTGCCAGGCACCAGTTCATTGAGATGAAGTTGTTAAGGTGTCATGAGTGTCTTTTTATATTCTTTTAAGTGAACACTTCAAGCACCATAGCTACTACAGTATGTGGTAGTGGTTATGGTTCATGGAATGTCCTGTTGCCTCCAGTTGTAAGGAGCCAAACTGTTTTAGAACTGTTTGAATTTATACATGCTGGGTACCTGCTCTTGGGCTCACTGACAACCGGAACTGTTCTGAAGTGAGTTGACTCCTTACAAGGGCACTCTAAGCACCATTACCACTACAGTGAATTAGTGGTTATGGTGCTTGGAGTGTTCCCTTACAACAAAGTACCTGTAAATCAATCATACAGCTTCAGGGAAACGCTAATTCATGCATCACTTTGTTGCTGTCCTTTTCATGGAAAGTGTTTATTATTAATGAAGAGTCATTAGACTGAGTCAGAAAACACAAGATGAGAATGACAGGATGCTGAATTACTAGATATTTATTAGCTATTCCTCAGCCATTACTCAACTTAAAAATTTTTTTTTAAACAGTTTAATTATATGTATATTAAAATCTATTGGCTTTTGTTGGCACATTAACGAGTATCTCACAATAAGTTCTTAATTTACATAATGTGATTGAAGTCAGCCATTAATGGTGAATACAGCAGTGTTGCCAAGTCTAAATTAGAGCTTGTTATAAATGTATGATTTAGGCCACAATATCCTGTAACTTTTGTCGATATAGATTTAGTGACTGCTTAAAGTGGCTGTCACCTCAAACTCTCCTTTATCTTATAGTCTCTTCCACTTTCATAATATGTTCCTTTCTTCAGTTCTGATCTAGTGGGACTGCTTTTGTCCTTTTTACTACACTTGACAATTGTAACAGAAGGGTGTAGCTAACGGTAAGCTCCACCTCCTTTGTTAAGCTTACAAAGGGTAATCTATATATATATATATATATATATATGAAACCAGTGGGCTGCACCCACCTTTAACACGCATAAATTTGGTGCTGCTGTGGCCAATTCGTACAATACACAAGATCCAGCACACTCCCTCATCCACTAAACAGCAACTTCAAAGCTCACATGTTTTATTTGTTTTTTTAAGTTTTTTTTTTAACACCTTGTGAGGGACTGCCGTCAGTGAGTACCATGCCAACTTGCTTGCCCGCATTGTTTCAGATCCTCATGTCGGGAATCTCCCCATCTAAGAGGCAATGTATTGGTTGTGAGGTCCCCTTGTTCGCAAATCATGTTTGGGCTGGATTGGAAGATTGTACTTGTCCCATTCTGGATATGATCTTGAAACACAAGGGGTTGTTTGTTCCTGAAGCTGATGAGCATTAACATGTTATAGGACTTCCTATCTAAGAGGCAAACCAGGCTTCCAGGGCATTTTGGTGTGACTTCTCACACCTTAGCGAATAGCTCTGTCCCCTGCTTCAAGGAGTAACTCTGGTTGTAAGCTCTGTCCTTTCATACAATCAATTACCCCCTTTTGTAATGTTAAAATGTGTGTGTGGGGGGGGGGAGGGAGGGAGTTTGGAACTAATTGTAGACTTTTCTGGACCCGAGAGGGAACTTTATTATCTCTTAGGCACAGAGGATCATGGGAGGGTTTACCCTTGGGACCTGAGAGGGAACTTGATTATCTCCCAGATACAGCGACGCCGGGGGATCTGTGCATAAAAGCTGTGTGTTTCAAATCAAGATTGTCAGAGTTGTACCTCCAGAACTGTGTCTCCTCCAGTTACTGGGGGGAAATGGGTCTCTTTGTAATGGTTCCTGATCGGCTGAAGGAAGGGAATTAGCAGAGGTAATCTAAGCAAAAATAATGCGGGGTGGTTTAGTTACAGTATATACTTGTACACTGCATAAGCCTACCACAACATGGCACATTGGGATACACCGAGGTTGTGGCAGGCTTATTCAGTGTATGATCAAATACTGTAACTAAACCTACCTGAACTATTTTTGCCTAGATTAGGTTTTTTGTTTTGTTTTTTTAAACTAATAAAATCTGTGAGCTTTGAAGTTCGTGTTTAGTAGTTGGTTAAGTGAATGCGCTGGATCTTGTGTATTGTACAAATTGGCGCCAGCAGGACCGAATTTATGCATGTTAAGGTGAGTGCAGCCCCCTGGTTTCATATATATATATATCATGTGTTTTCATTTTCAATTACTATTACTATTTGACTACTGGCTTACTCTTTCACCATGGTAATCCCATCTTTAGTGCAAATTTACATTGGCAGTGTCTTTTTGATGTAAGGTTTTATGTGATGCACCTGTGAACTTTCTAACTGCATAATTTTATTGGTAAGGTAACCTTTTTTATTCACTGGAAACCATAAATGTTTCATAGGCCACAATGAATTGACAGGTCATTTTAACTTGCAGGGTCATTGAATACTTTTAGATGCCATAGCAACAGCATGATCTAATTTCACACCCTTCTCTTTTTAGCAGACATTATAAAGAAACCTACACATAGGATTAGAGCTTTCTGCTCTGCTATCATTGAATTCTGGAAAAATAGTGACCACATTTTACTTTAACTCTGATATATATATATATATATATAGGCGTGCGCAGTCTATTGTATAAGGGTGTGCACCCTAAAGCAGAAACACACACGCCGCATATATATATAGGTTATATACATACATACACAGGTGCTGTGTGTAAGGGTGCTGTTAGTGTGTGCTGTGTGTGTGTGTGTGTGTGTGTATATGTAAGGGTGCTGTTAGTGTGTGCTGTGTGTGTGAGGGTGCTGCTAGTGTGTGTGTGTTTAAGGGTGTTGTGTGAGGGTGCTGTGTGTAAGGGTGCTGTTAGTGTATGCTGTGTGTGTATGTGTAAGGGTCCTGTATGTGTAAGGGTGTTAGTGTGAGGGTGCTGTGTGTGTAAGGGTGCTGTTAGTGTGTGCTGTGTATGTGTGAGGGTGCTGTGTGTGTGTGGGTGTTGTTAGTGTAAGGGTGATGTGTGTGTGCGCTGTTAGTGTGTAATGTGTGGGGTGTGGGGGCCATTTAGTGAATATCCCCCCTCCCTTCTTACGTTATGTAGGGAGGGGGGACCGTGCTGCTGCCATCCCTGGTGGTCCACTGGAGAGTGAACTCTAGCCCCCTGTGGAGCTAGAGTTCACTCTCGCAAGATCTGAGCGTTGCCGCAGTAATCGCGTCAACGCTCCGACCGCGCGAGAGGAACCCGGCGGAGCTGCTGGCAAGAGTTCGCGGGGTCCTCTCCTGCCTCCCTCACTTCCTGTGGGTCGGTGATGGAGATCTTTGATCTTTGATCTCCCTCACCGGCCCACGGAGGAAGGCACATAGCGCCTGTGTGTGTGTGCCTCCCCGTGCGCATGCCTGTGTGTGTGTGTGTGTGTGTATATATATATATAATATACACACACACACACACACACACAGGCATGCGCACGGGGAGGCACACACACAGTAGTTATGTATGTATATGTGTGTGTGTATGTATGTATATATGTGTGTGTGTGTGTGTGTATATATATATATATATATATGTATATATATATATATATATATATATATATATATATATATATATATATAGAGAGGAGTTAAGAGAAAATATCATAGAGAGATTCTGGAGAAAGCTGGCATTATTTAGCAGCTCTCCTAACATATTGGTAGAGGGAAAAATACAGAATTAACTAATGAAGTCCAGAAATTTGACTCCTATCAATATTCATTTGCCCACTGTGCAATTCTGATTTGCCTTCCTCCGAAGTCCCATTCAGATTGTGAAATTTATATAAAATTATAATATATATATATATATATATATATATATATATATATATATATATATATATATATATATACATATACAGTAAAATCCAATGTTAAAATGTATACTTGGAATAGACCAAAACTAGCGAGGCAAGTGTCGTTTTTCTCAGAGGCAATCTCTTCTCTATCCCATGTGTAGTCCGCAGAGCACACACATCTGCTGGTTAAGTCTAAAAATCATAGCAAGTGGCAGTCGTAGCAGTGAGAGAAATTAACCTATTGACCCCTGAGCTTCCATTGATTGGTAATGTCATACACTGATGCTGTAAATGTTTGCCTTCCTGTAGTTTTAGCTGTAGTACCGCACTATATGTAAAACTGGTTCTGTCATGAAGAATGTGTACTGGCATTAATCCATGAAGGCGGCAAAATGAAAATAACTTTGGCTTCTTGTAAAAAAAACAAAAAAGTGCCACTATTGTTTAATTGCTAAGCTAATAACAGTCCATTGTTTAAAGCAGGATAGGCAACCTTCGGCACTCCAGATATTGTGGACTACATCTCCTTTAATGCTTGTACAGCCATAATGTTGGCAAAAGCATCAATGGAGATGTAGTCCATAAAATCTGAGGGCTGACAGACGCCTACCCCTGCTCTGCGCTCCTAAAGCCTCCATCCCAATTCATAAAAGAGGCGATTTTTTTCACACAAATTTAGCACTTTAATAAATTAATTTAGGAAGACACCCTGACAGTAAGCTGACAGCCAGGAGGACTTTCTGGTATACTCAATCAAGGGAAGTAAGCGTCCCTGTGAGAATCATTTTATTGGGCGATTGTCAAACTCATGGCAATGGCCACACAATTATAATGCCAATTATAATGCTAATTTAATTTGTAAGGGGAGGGGAGACAGTCGTCTCTGCCTGTCTCCCAGGGGTGGAGCAGAGCAGCGGCAAGAGGAGAGTACTCATCACTGAAGGAAACGGTGAGTTAACTTTATTTGGTGCATGAGGAGAGTGTCTGGCATTGATAGGGCCAATGGCACACTCCAGATATAAAAACCGAAGAACAGCTTTTAAAATTTTACTGTTCCTTCAAGTAAAAATTACTACAGTGGTATTCATTTTGTAATCTTAATATTTTATTTTTTTCAAGTTTCCATCTTCTGTACGGACATGAACATCTCGGCATAGGGTTTTAATTTACGTAAATTATGAAACGTATGGTCCTTATTCAGTTTTATTGACATCTGCTGGTTGAGACATTTTTGTTTTCATTTTGGATAGAGCTGGAATGAATAATATAAGTCTGATGGACAGAACACACAATCCACACTTCAGTTTATAACACTAGCATTATTTCAGGGCTATGTGAAATATATGCAATAGGATTTGGGCATGAATTGGGCCAAGAACCATTTGGAAGTATCTCAAAAAGTGTCCAGATTACATTAATTAATATAAATAAATATATATATAAACAAAAATTAAAAAAAATAATATATATATATATATTTTTTTATATATATCATTACACCTTACAATTTGCGGTTTTAGTAAATGTTGTTGTGTCAAGAATACATGTATGCTGTGTATCTGTAAATATACGAATTTCCCCCCCATAGGATTCTCCTGCCAGTGGACAAAGGGGACTGTTTGTCCGAGATATTGTCACTTATGTTCAGGACTGCTCTGTGACTAGTGTAGAGGACTGGCATACATGCCTGGCAGACATATCACAGAAACCTCAAATCGGCTACTGCATTAACTCTGCAACCCTTCAACAACTTCACTTCCCAAGCAGAGGTACTAGTGTATAGAGAAAATAGTATATAAATGTATATGGGCGACTATTATTATTATTATTCTATTATTTATATAGCACCATTACATTCCGTAGCGCTGTACAATGGGACTATTGCACTCATTTGATTTTATATTTGGTGGTGTGAACTTTTAGTGTGTTTTCTAATCATCAATAAGAAGTATACTATTACTACATTTTACAAGGTTTAAAATATGTTGTTCAAGCTGTATTAAAGGGGAAATGTTACTTTCCACAATTTTAATATTTTTACTTTTGCCCAATAATTAATAAAATATCTATGTGAAAAATAAAATTAAATGTAGAAATCCACATTTATTTTTTTTAACTGGGTGCCTCCATCTTAGCTCACTGTCAATAATTGACAAGCTCTCTGACACACACATAAGCTGACTACACACACCTTCTCTTATGCGCTCACATGCACTAGCACACTACACACAAGCTTACTGACACACACTCAAGCTCACTATAAACTAGCTGACACTGACCTACAGACAAGCTCACACTGACATACACCCAAGCTCACACTGACACAAACCCAACTCACTATAGACAAGCTCACACTGACACAAACTCAATGTGGCGAAACCAACCTCACCAATGGGCATTGGAGAAGCCTGTTTGCCCGCCTGCTGACTATGGCCCTGGGAGATTTGGCCCTTTTAATACAGTATTTGGGCATATTGTATTTTATTATGCTGCTGCTGGCCCTTTAAGAACCAGCTGGGGACATACTGTGACTTTTGGGAACAATGCCCCTTTAAGACTATGGCCCTTGGAAGATATTGCCTGTTAAAGACTATTTTAGTAGATTGGATTTTAAAAGACTTGTTGCCCCTTTAAATTGTATTGGAGCAGTTCTGCAGCTTTAAATTGACCGCCATTGGACAAACGAACACTTCAATGCATTCGACAGTTCGGCAATTTGAATGGTTGTCGTTCGTCTGTTTGAACTGACTTTGACATGCCTGATTCTCTGGAACTGTTTTGGGCATGAAAATGTGCTTGCGGTCGGTCAAACTTGACTTATAGCTATCTCCTGAATGGATTCAAATGATGGGTATGTTTATATTTAAAGTGTGTTGATTAATAATATGTAATTGTTATGAAGATTGAATGTATATTTTTAAAGTTATAGTACATATATAAAAACTGTTTTTCCTGCTTGTGATAATTATGTTAACCATTGTGTACCATAATTAGATCACAGGCAGAGGGGAGGATTTTGTGTATAATTGCTGGGAGTGTTTTCTGTAACGTACATGTGTTTATTGGTTGTTCTGTAAAACCCTGTGGGCAGTACTAAATTTGTGGATTGGGAATAAAAGAGGCTGTATGTGCCAATACAGTCAGTTCTGCTTGACCCTCAAAACGAAGTGTCATCTCGTTACTGGGGGAATCTGCTACAAGGGATTGCTATGCTAGTCATACTCCCTTGCTATATCACTGCTAGGCTCTTGTAAGAGCTTGTTCCTGTCTTGCTCTCTGGAGGAGTCTACAGTGGTTATGGTGTCAGCTGGAGTGCTTGGAGTCCTCAGGAAGCACTAGGAGCATCCTTCAACGGAGGTACCCAGTCGGGGTGCCAGGTGATCCGTTACACGCAACTCACTATAGACAAGCTCACACTGAGCTACACACAAGTTTACTGATGCACACACTCACTGGCATGCATACATTCACTGGTACTCACAGCAAGTTGTTTAGGCAATAAACTCCAGTTTGGCATGGATAGGATTAGTGTGAGAGAATGGAAGCTGCAGCAGGCATTCAAAATGCCCCTAGTGAAGAGCCTGCTGGGACAGATACTGACGCAGGTCTGCCTCCCAGCCCCACTTCCTGCCTTAATCCCTCCTTCTCATCTCCCCTCCTACAGGGCAGAGGGCGGAGCTCATGGATGTCTCACCTGTCTCCCCTGCCCACTCCATGGGACACCGTAAAGTGTTGCAACACATAGTTTGGAAAGCACTGGACCAAGTTTAACACTATGCTAACATTTGTAAAGATGTGACGATTCCACTTTAAACTGTTAGATAACAGTAGAGTCTGATCCAACATGGCTGCTCAGCCAGATAAAGTGACTTTTTCTGAATGACCTGACTTTTTTTTTTTTTTTCTTCCTCTGCTGGTAGCCCCCAGCCCATACTCATGATGAATTCATCTCTCTAGATGCATTACTCAGACCACTTGCTCCACGCCACAGACAAACAAGCAAGCGTCGGGCAAAAGAAGACTCTGCAGTTTCCTGTCATACTAAACTGGCTTTATAGTTTCATATTGAATAGATTTCTCATTTAGTATGCCAAAAAGTATACATAATACTGATTCATGCATTGTCTGCATGACAAAACTGTGCACTAGGTTGACAAATGCAAGTCTTAAGTATCACAAGCTTTGGGTCATTCTGTTCTTTATTAAAAACTAATAGCACGATTGTATCTTGCAGGCTGTTTATTTGGCATATTCTCCAAAGTTACATTTTACACTGTTCAGTCGCCTATTATCTTTTCTGTATCTTTTAATAACAAAACTATTCTCGGAATTTAGAGCTTCTCATGTTGTATTTAGAAGAAGATTTAAATATCTCAGCCAATTAAGTTGTGTTTTAGTTTTGCACATATGGGCAAAGCAGTGCATCACACAGACATGCACAACGGTACTGTGTATGTAGAAACCCCACCTATTCATTGGGTTGTCTAACCACTGTAATATATTACACCCTTTTTAGTGAACGGCTGATGCTCTCCATCTTTTCATTGATCGCATAGTCCTGGAGTCTGCAACATATGGCACTTAAGGTGACTTTTCATGGCTTTCAAGGCTGCCAGAGTCCCAGTGGGACTTTGTTTATTTGACCTGTACCTGGCCCCATTGGACCCTAGGAAAGCAACCCACACTGCTAGATTTACAGAGCTGCTGAAGAAGCATCTTCCTCATGCAAATAACACAAGCAGCTTATGCACAGTCCCTACAAACAGAGCACCACTGTCAATCCACATATAGCACTCCCACAAGCAACCTCTCACATGCAATACCACAAGCAGCCCCACACATACAATGTGCAGTTAGTCAGATAACAGAGTCTGATCTAACATGGCTGCTCAGCCAGATAAAGTGACATTTTCTGGATGACCTGACTTTTTTTTCCCCCTTCCTCTGCTAAAAGCCCCCAGCCCATACTCATGATAAACTCATCTCTTTAGATGCATTACTCAGACCACTCGCTCCACTCCACAGACAAACAAGCAAGCTAGAGCAATTCCACAAGAATAATCTGCAGTTTCCTATGATCTTTTTTTTTTCCTCTGACTCCTCTTCCTTCTACCTACATGTGACGAACTGAACCTCGTCACGGGTTCTTGGAGGGGCCTGCTGGCCAGCCTCTTACCTCAGAACTATGGCCCATGTGTAAGACTTTGGTTCAGGACTGTGGAAAGGCTTTGTTCGTGCCTTTTCCATTGTCTGGTCCGGAATATAGGATTTACCGAACGGATTATACTTATGCTGTTTGTATGCCGGACCAACTACCGAACAGTTGGACCACCCGTGGAGTGTGCAGCTCATTAACCCTATTGACCTCGTTAACAAGCTGTAACCACAACATTCTAAACGGTCTGCTGGGTGGCCATCGTTCGTATTGCCAAACAAGTGGCGGTGGCCATCTTTAGCCGCGAACACATACAGCGGTGTTTTGGGCATCGAGTACATGGAACTAAAATCGTACACTCGATGGCACGAACACCGATGAGACTTCCATCTCCATGTATGTTCGGATCCATTCGATTGAGAAGTACGGCATTCGGTGGGAGCAAACTCTCAAACGAGGGGCACAGACTAAGTGTCCATACAAACTGGTTGCATTCGTATTTCTGTTGTATTGTGAACTCCCGAAAGAGACTGACCGCACAGCCTGATTTCATGGAACTCTTTTGGACAGGAGCTTTGTGTGCGGTCAGTCAACATATGACCTGATTTTTGGATATGTTGGTCACCCAGATCAGGGCTATCAGGGGATGTGACTGGGTTTCCAAGTGTTTTGGGAGTAGTTTCGGGAGGTTGTTAAATTTATGTTTTCTGTGCCTGGAGATAATTGAGTTTTGTACAGTTTCTGACTTAATTATCTCTCAAGCATAGGGGAGGGATTACCTTGTTTTGTGTGGGAGTGTCCTGAACCTAAGAGCCAATGTTAATAAAGTGTCTACTTTGTCATAGTCCCCTTTCAGGTCCAGTGGTGAATGCACCTGGAATATGTTAGCCAGTTGTGGCTGCCATTAAAGGAGTTCCTCCTCACCCTCAGCATAGAGCCTCGTCTCATGTGTGGAGGGGACAGCTATATTCACTCTGGGGATTGCTATAATCCCTATGCTCCATTGAATTACAATACTAGCTCTTGTAAGAACTATCCTGCTATACTCTCCGGAGTAGGAGAGGTCTACCCACTGGAAGCTGGATCCCAGACTTGGGTCCAGGGTGGGTGGAGGACATCGAGAGGCTATGGGGTTTGCGGTGGTTATGGTGTTCCAGTGCTATGCTTATGGTGCTCACAATTACTAGGAAGCAACGATTGGTGAAGGCACCCAATCAGGGTGCCAGATGGTCAGTCACACTACATTTTCTTAATCTTACAACAAAAGTGAGGAGAGTTCAGTTATCATTGAAGAGTTGACTCGCTAAACAGGGCATATAGGAATACTACAGCTTTAAAAGATACTCGTATGAAATTTGGTAACTTTTTGAAGGTTCATTTCTTTTATTTATTTTTTTTATTTCTTTTTCACATAAAACCTTTGGCAGTATGCAAGCAATGGGGGAGTGGGAGGCCTCCAGAGACCAACAAATCTGTGAGACCAAAAGCGAATTGGAAAGCCTCACAGATCCGGTACAACTATTGACAAAGACAGTGGTGTCTCTGGAATCCTGGCACCGCCACCGAAATGTTAGATTCACAGGGGTGAATGAGACTTTCTCCCATTTGTGCTGAGGGTGGAGCCTCCAGGGGCCTTAGAGAGCGCTCTCAATCGCCATGCATAATCTCTGTGTTCTGTGTGCGGAAAACTGCTCCTGCGGCAGCACTAAAAGACGTAATAGCTGTCGCAAGAGACATAACAGCAAAAACTGCAATCTTAAATCATTCCAGACAGTTGGGCACTGCAACTCTTGGGGACTATTGGATCATGTTACACAGAGATCTTCCCTTCTCCGTCCTTGCGAAGAAGAGGAGGCTAGCTCCTATCGCCAAGTGATTACGAGACAACTCCATAAAATACCGATGGGGAGCAGAGGGATCTTTGCTGGTGTAGAGTGGGGACACAGCACATACACTCACCTCTAATAATGACACAGAGACATTCCTCCGCACACTCGGGCTGCCGGAGGGAGCACAGCCGGCACCAACATCGCAAACTGCAAAGAGACCGACAGATGTCAGTCCAGGAGGGAGCAGACTGAAACACAGCAGGGGACCGAGTGCAACCTCAATCCGCAGGGTATCCACCACCCCAGCAATCAGAGTTCCTACCAGAGTCCAAATCTGATTTATTTGACATCTACAGACTTTCCCAGAGGTCTGCCCGTACCGCCACTGGGGACCCACTGGAGCTGTATGGATGATCTTCACTGTGCACAATGGCAAACACCATGCTGGTTTCCCCATATGTTCTACCTTATATGTTTTTTGGTTTTTTTTAACACGATATACCACTTGGCGCACATACCCATACCCATATCCAATGTATTGTCCTGTTAATGTAATTTATGTAGTGCATATATGAATTGGCCACTTGGTTGCAAGGGCAGATGACAGAAGGGATAATGTAAATTTCATAGGAATGTGAAAGGAGGCAGATGGTTTACAACATGGATTGATCCTTTGATTAATCAACAGTTCTGTAAGGTGTGAGAAGTCACACATAAGTGGCCTAGAAGTCTAGTTCCAATGTAAACTAACATATGGCCTCTGCCTTTTTAATGAGTTGATTTCTTTGATATGTTAAAGATCATTAACTTTCAAGAAAAGAGAAAAAAAAAAAAAAAACAAGCCTTGTGTTCCAGTATCATATTTTTTTTTTTTCAAATTTGACAATTTTTATTGTTTTGTCATTTCGTGAGGGTGAGGATACAGAAAAAAGAAGGGAAGGGGTGGGGAAGGGGGTAGTTGCAATTCCATAAAGGGTGTGTACAGATTAGTCGTCACATACATTCTCTATAATCACATTTATTGGAGTACACATAGTAACTGTTAAACCGTACAAGGCAGTGGCATTCGTGCATTGACCTTTGGGATGTATACTTTTCCCGTACCTTTGGAGTAGATTAGAGGGAGAGAACTCGGGCCTGACCTTATGTTTCAGTGGTATCGATTGCCATAATTTTCCCTGGGGGCTTGATATGTGCTTGGGGTCATTTGAGGGTTATTCAGATTGCTCTTCAATTTTGCTTTTGACCTCTAGTGTTGTGTGGAGTGGTCTTACTCCTTGTGATCATTTACTTTGGCAATCCCGTCTGGTGGGGTATGCTTTGGTAAGTCTTCTGGCTTCGTGTGGGTTGAGGTCAGCATGACGTCAGCTCATAGTGGGAGGTTCCCTGTTGTGTCACTTTGTATGTTTCCCACTTATCCCATGCTATTTCCCAGTATCTTCGGTGCTGTTTGTGTGGTTTGTTGGGAGAGGTGGTTTGCCTTCTCATTGTGGATTCAAAGTGGCCCGCGTGGCTTATTTGTTGTATGCACATGGGGATGGAGGGTATGGTTTGTGATAGCCAGTTTTGTGCTAGGGCGCCTAGGGCTACTATATTTATATGGAAGATGAGGTACCTATCTGGTTTAGGTAGCGATTCTGGGATATTGAAGAGCACATAGTTGTCCAAATTGTGAGGTAGGGTGCATCCTGTACTGTGTGTGATAATTTTGGATATGTCTTTCCAGTATTGTTGCAAGTATGGGCAGGTCCACCATATGTGTGCCATTGTTCCTGTGTCTGATTTGCATCTCCAGCATTGTATTGGAAGGGATTGATTATATTTGTGTAGCCGTATGGGCGTGAGGTACCATCTATACAGGAGTTTTTTGGCAAGCTCTATGTGTTTTGAGCATAACGTGAAGGATTTGGGGGTTAGGATCATACGTTCCCATTCCGGCTCAGTAAATTTTTTGTGGGTTTCTGTTTCCCACGCTTTGATAAATCTGTGTTCGTGCAATTTGCATTTTGTGGGTAGTGTTGTGTAGATAGAGGATATGATTTTCTGGGACGGTGTGGGGCTAATATACATTTCCTCAAATTCTGTCATCTTTTGTGCTTGAATGTTAATTGTTTGCTCCTGAATTTGTATGCGCAACCATGAGTCTAGTTGGCGGTAGGAATAATGTGCTATCGTTGGGAGCTTATGTGAGTTCTGTAGTGAGGCGAAGGTTGCTAGTCCTGTGTTGATGAGTATCTGGTGTAGAAATTGTATGCCGTGTCTTTCCCATATTCTGTAGTTAAAATCTGGGATAATGTGTGCTATTGATTTAAGTGGCATGGCTTTGAAAGGATTGAGTTATTTGTTAGGAGGGGACGGACCCCATCCCATATTTTTAGTGATAATGTTGTGGTTGGTAGGCAATCTTGTAGGTGCGGCCGGTTAAGTTTCGGTATCCATACTAAGTTGTCAGTGCTAATATTATTGGCCCATTCTGCTTCTATGTGCTTCCATTGAGGTGCTTGTGCGCCTGGTCGTGTTTGGATAATGCTGCTAAGTACAGTTGCATGATAGTACTGTTTGAGGTTTGGCAAATTCATACCCCCTTCTTTGAGCGGTAACTGCAGTACCTTTAGGGCTATACGTGCCCTTTTGTCATTCCAAACAAATCTGGTTATCCAGCGTTGGACTGTGGTAAAGTAAGTGGTGGGTATATGAATCATAAGTGATCTGAAAAGGTATAACAACTTAGGGAGGATTATCATCTTGATCGCTACCATGCGTCCCGACCAGGATATGAATGATGTTTTCCATTCTTGTAGTTGTTTTTTTATCTCTATACTGAGTTTGCCATAGTTGGCGTTAAATAATGCGGTATGTGCTTTTGTAAACCGTATACCTAGAAATGTAATGTAGTCAGTTCTCCAGTCGTATGTGTAGGTGTTTTTTAGTTTATAAGTGACCTCTGGGGGGAGACCTTTGTAAAGGGCTTGCGTCTTTGAAATATTTAGTTTGTAATAGGACATTTTGCTATAGTTTTCTAGTGTAGAATGGAAGTGTGGTAGAGAGGCTTCGGGGTCTTGTATCGTCAGTAGTACGTCATCCGCGAATAGTGTGAGTTTATGTTCTTTGCTTTGTGTTTTGACGCCTAGGATTAATGGGTGTTGTCTAATGAGAGTCGTGAGAGGTTCTAGCGCTAGTACGTATAATAGGGGTGAAAGGGGGCATCCCTGTCTGGTCCCATTTGTGATCTCAAATGGGTCCGAGAGGAACCCTGCGTTAATGAGTCTAGCAGTGGGTTTGCTATATAAAGCTTGTATTGTGTTCATGAACTCTGGTGGGAATTCGAACTTCGTTAATGTCGCTCTGAGAAAGTCCCAATTCAGCCTATCAAAAGCCTTTTCGGCATCTAGCGACAGGAATAGGCATCCCGTTTTCCGTTTGTGTATGCTGTATAGTATGTCTAAGACTTTCCTAGTACCGTCAGTGCCTTGCCTTCCCTTTATAAAGCCAACTTGGTCTTCATGGACCAATTCTGGAAGAATTGCAGCTAGTCTATTCGAGTATATTTTCGCCAGCAATTTAAGATCTGTGTTAAGAAGTGAGATTGGGCGTAAGTTCTGTCCTTTGTCTGGCATTTTCCCTGGTTTGGGTAGTGTGGCTACATGGGCTATGAGCATTTCCTGTGGGATCGTCCCTGTGTGTATTATGGATTGAAAGGTTTGTTTCATGTAGGGAATGAGTGTAGTTGCGAAAGTTTTGTAATATTGATTCGTGAATCCGTCTGGGCCTGGGGATTTCCCTGTAGGTAGTCTAGCAATTACATCCGTCAGTTCCGTTATCGAGATCTGTTCCGACAGTTTGTGTTTTTGTTCTTCTGTCAATGTTGGCAGCGGTATGTGTTGTAGGTATCCCTCAATGTCTGCGACAGTTGGCTGATATAGGGTGTCGTCTGCTTTTAAACTTTATAAAAAGTCACTAGTTCCCTATTCATGTCTTGTGGGTTCCATAGTTTTTGGTTGTTTTTTGAGAGAATGTATGGGATCTTAGAGTTAGATTGTTTTTTGCGTAACATGTTGGCCAGCAATTTGCTGGCCTTGTTCCCTTTCGCATAGTGGTTCATTTTGAATTTTTTCAGAATGTATGCCGTTTTTTGGAATTGGTGGTCATTAATTTTGGAGGTGATGTTTTGGATTTCCAGTAGGAGATCCTGTTGTTTTGTTTGATAATAAGTTTGGGTCGTATCCCTTAGTTGTATGAGCAGTTTCATAAGTGTTGCTCGTCTTTGTTTATTGAGATATGATGCTCTGCGGATCAACAGTCCTCGTATGACTGATTTGTGTGCTTGCCACAGAATCGGGGCCGTGGTCTGGGGGTTCTCGTTAGTAGTAAAGTAGTGTTTAAGTTCTTGTTCTAGCGTGAGGGTGAAGTCTTGGTCGTGAAGCAGTGAGTCGTTTAGTCTCCATGAACCTTTGCCTTTGTATGTGAATGCGTCAATGAGTGTCAGTATCACTGGGGCATGGTCTGACCATGTGATATCTCCATATATACATTGATGCGTATGTGATAGTCCTGTGCTGGTCGTGAAAAAATGATCTATCCTAGAGTGGGTCTTGTGCACTTGGGAGTAGTAGGTGTAGTCCTTATCCCCTGGATGTAGTGTGCGCCACACATCGTATAAGTTAAATTGAATTAGCAGTTTATTAAGTTTGGCGCAGGCCGGTCTAAGAGATGCCAGTCTGGGTTTTTTTGCGTCAAGTGTAGTGTCCATTTCTGGGTCTAGGGTGTGGTTGAGGTCTCCGCAGTATATTACTATGCCTTGTTGTATGTTGCTCACTTTAGTCAGTATTTTATGTAGGAAGTGCCATTGATTGTCGTTTGGTGCGTAGATATTGACTATGGTGTATGTGACATCATTAAGGTTGCATATTAGGATAAGGTATCTCCCATTGGCGTCTTTAACTATTTTGAGTGGATCAAATGCGACTGATTTGTGTATTAGAATGCTAACTCCTCTAGACTTGTGGCTATGTGTGGAGTGGTATTGGTTCGGGAATTGTGAAGGGTCTAAGGAAGGAGATGTCTGCCTTTTGAAGTGAGTTTCTTGGAGGCAGATCACATCCGCATTATGGTTTTTCAGTTCTGTGCGCAATGTTTGGCGTTTTTGAGGGGTGTTTAGGCCCCTTACATTATGTGAATATATTTTCATTATGGGGTTGGGTAGGGTGGGATTCTTCTCCTATTGTTGAGTATTTCAATATAATGTTTAGTGATAGTCTGCCTCGGTATGCCAGCCATGGTGGGTGCCAGGTGATAAGCGACTTGCTGACTGTTTGCTTGATATGCCTAGGTTTGGGTGTAATGGGTTCTTGATCCCTCTCATGGTTTGCAACTGGGGGTAAGGATAGGTGGGGTATAAACCTGAGTCTCGAGGAGAGCTCAACTATATACAACAATGCCCAGATGTAGGGCTCGGTACTCCTTGATAGTACCTGGGGTGTGGTGAGCATGTACTTCCTGCTCACGAAGGAGGCTACCTGGGCTCCTTCATTGTTTAGGTATTTTCATCTGCCCCGAAATTCATGTCAAACTAGTATCCCTGATTGTTGGTTTGGTGCCTTATCTTAGTGGAGGTACTGAGGCCAGAGGGAGTGGAAGCGCCATTTTTTTATTTTTTTTTATATTGTCCCGGCAGTTGCTACAGTGTGTTGGGGAAAGCTGTCACAGCTTCTTGTACCAAAAATGCTAGTGCGTCTGTGCTGTATTCCGTGTTGGGGTATTTTGGTTAGCGTGTCCCCTCCTTTCCCCCCGGCCTCGTGCTCCTTTTAAATCCAATATACAGTAATAGATTAATAATAATATTAACTTTTTTTGTTTTTTTTTGTTTTACAATCTTAGATAGACATTCAGGTTGTGGTATAGCCGACCTTGCGTCTGCAATTTAGTTTCACTGCAATTCCAGCCGGTTAGGGTTAGTAGGTTATCCAGAACCTTTTTGTCTTAGGTGTAGGTTGGTGGGTGTGCTTATTCAATTAGATAGGGGATAGATCTGAGCTAGATTTGTCCAACTTTTGGCCTTCGGGGTTCAAGTGTGCGTTGGCGTGCATGTAGGTGTTGTCTGTGCAGGTGAAATGTGCGGGTTGAGGTGTTACAAAGTTAACAAAATTAACATAATTAACGTATGCAAACATAAACAGTTGGTTCCTTATATACATTACCAGCCTCTACTCGTTATATCTTATTAGCAGTCCAGAATGGCTGGTATAAGTCCATTGATACTATATTTTGCGCCATTCGCGATGCAGCATGGCAGATTCTCTGTTCGGCTTGCTTGGTGTGGGTAGGTTCCATTCCTTGAGGAGCTTTTCACCATCTTCTGGCGAGGTCAGTATCTTCGTTGCGCCATCTTTGGAGATGAGAAGCTTGAGGGGGTAACCCCACCGGTAAGCTATTTGGTGCTGCCTGAGTATGATAGTAATGGGTTGGAAGGCTTTCCTCCTTCTCAGCGTTGCCGCAGATAGGTCTGGGAATATCTTGATATCAGCGTATTTGCTAGGTGCGTTCTTGTTTGTTCTGCTCTGTTTTAAGATTATTTCTTTAATATGATGGTAGTGAGCGCACAGGATGACATCCCTTGGGACTGAGGGTGGTAGGTGTGAAGGTTTGGGTATTCTGTGTATTCTATCCAAGAGGAGCATGTCTGATGGTGTGTCTGGCGAGAGCACATGGAAAAATTCATGCACGTAGGCCTGGAGGTCCGCAGGGGCCACCGTTTCTGGTATGCCCCGCAGTCGTAGATTATTCCTCCTCGCCCTATCTTCAATATCCATGAGCTTGTTCTCCATTGTGGATACTGTGTCTTGTAGTGCATTCACCTGGTCTATTAGGTGGTTGTGTGCCTCTTGTGTTTCCTCCATTTTCTCCTCCACGCGGGAGGTTCTCGCTCCCAGCTCCCCTATGTCTTTCTTCAGGCTTGATAGGCCTTTTTCCCAGCCAGCCATCATTTTGCTGGAGAACGCTCCCAGCTGTTCCAAAAGAAATTGCTTGGTGACCGGCTCCTCCATAGTCTGGTCGGCAGGGTCTGTAAGGAGGTTGCTGTCGTGTGTTTCCTCCCCGCCATCTTGTTGGTGCTGCTGGTTTGTATATTTGTTTTGCGCGGCGTTTTGACCAAAAAAATTTTGTCTTTCGGTTTTGGAGGCTTGCCGTTTCTGCTTGGGTTGTGACATGTTGGTTGTTTGCTTGTCAGGGTCGTCTATTGCGGGTTTTGAGACGCCTTTGTCGGAGCCCATGTGCAGGAGCTAAAGATTACACGTCCATCTTGCTCCGCCGGTAGCCACGCCCCCCCAGTATCATATTTAAAAGAAAGAAACATTAATATTTACCCACAGAATACTAATTAAGCCTCATTTTTGTTATATTTGGAATGTGACCTGCATAATTTTCTAATCAAGCCCAAACATGATTTGCGTAATTTAACCATAGGGGAAGGGATTGTGATGTCCGCTATATTGGGTCACAAGTAAGGGATGTGACATATCTATGGATTGGAATAATAACAAATTCATAGATGCAATTATTATTTCTATGGCAAGTACATAAGAGGAGATATAATCAAATGTTTCCATTTGGATTGATGCTGGTCTAGAACACAAGGGGGTGGTCACTTATAGTTACTATAGGTGCGCCTTATCTCCACCTCTGGGTAAGGCTTGGTAATCAGTTTATATCTCTAATGATACTGAAGTGTGCATTGTACTTGCTTGAGGGGCCAGAATCTAATTTTAAGTTAGTCACCATCTTTCTTACTAGAAACCCCATAGTGCAGAAGTTTTACTTTGAAAACCTGAGTAAGTGATTAGGACTTGTTATTTTATCCCTTTTTTGTTTTTATTTGTTGTTGGTGTAACTAAAATTTGATTGTCATCTGTATTTTTGTATGCACTGTGACTATTTTTTATTTTTTTTGCTCATAATAAGTATTCCTTTATTAAATTCTGCCTTTGCCTGGTAAAAAAACCACGTTACCTGTAGAGACGAATTAGTGTTTTGCTATTGGTTAGATATTGTGCTAAGTTGTATTTGGTGGGTTTTTATTATTAAGTTACCTGGGGGACCAATGCACCATATATAAATTGTCTTGGTGGTGGCAGTGTTAAAATAGTAATATTTATATGATTATGCTTAAGTGTGGGTGGTGTTAAGGGGGGTTTTATCATTATTTCTGGTCTAGTGCAGACAAATGGTAAACTTTAACCCTTTCACCATCACAACCACGTCACGCACACTCTTGAAGTAGGGTGCGTTCATTACACAGACTTTCAGTTTTAATTCAAGGTGTTAAAAAAAATTGTATGAAACGTTTAGGAAGTGCAACCATTTTCATACACAGTCCCCTTATTTCAGGGGCTCAAATGTAATTGGCCAAATTACCACAATCATAAATAAAATGTTACTTTTTAATACTTTGTCGAGAATCCTTTGCAGGCAATGACTGCTTAAAGTGTGAAACGCATGGCCTTTACCGAATGCGGGTTTCCTCTTTTGTATTGCTTTGCCTTTACTTCCCACATCTTCAGTTGTAGTCTGTTTGTGGGTCTTTCTGTCATAAGTTTTATCTTGAGCATGTGAAGTGAATGCTTGATCGGGTTCAGATCAGGTGATTGACTCGTCATTGCAAAATATTCCACTTCTTTGCCTCAAACTCCTGGGTTGCTTTTGCAGTATGTTTTGGGTCATTGTCCATCTGTAAAGTTAAGCCCCATCCAATCAACTTACATCCTCTATACACTTCAGAATTCATCCGACTGGTTCTGTCACATCATCAATAAACACTAGTAACTAGTGCCATTGGAAGCCATGCATGTCCATGTCATCACACTGCCTCAACCGTGTTGTACAGATGATATGCTTTGAATCATGAGCTATTCCAAACCTTCTCCGTACTTATTTTCTTCCCACCGTTCTGCTACATGTTGATCCTAGTTTCATCTATCCAAAGAACTCTGTTCCAGAACTGGGCTGGCTTTTTTAAAGATGTTTTTTGGCAAAGTATAATCTGGCCTTTCTATTCTTAAGGTTTATGAATGGTTTTCACCTTGTGGTCAACCTTCTCTGTTTGCTCTTGTGAACTCTTCTCTTTATGGTAGACTTGGAAAATGATTTGCCTACCTCCTGGAAAAACTTCACTTGACTGGATGTTGTAAAGGGGTTTTGTTTACCATGGAAAGGATTCTAGGATCATCCGCCACTGTTTTCCATGGACTGTTGCAGAGTTACCAGTGAGGTTTTTTTCGTCAGGATGTACCAAGCTGTTAATTTGGCCACTCCTAATGTTCCTGCTAGCTATCTGATGGATTTTGTTTTCTGAAGGCCTGTTTCACTTGCATTGAAAGCTTCTTTGACCAAATGTTTTGGGTTCACAGCAACTGCTTCCAAATGCAAATGCCACACATGGAATCAATTCCAGATCTTATACCTGCATAATTGATGAAGAAATAGCCCACACCTGTCCATACACATCTTTTACTGTAATTGTCAGTTTACTTTTGTTCCCTTAAAAAAAGAGGGGGCTACATATTAAAGAGCTGCAATTCCTAAACCCTTTCTCCAATTTAGATGTGAATACTCTCAAATTAAAACTGGGAGACTTCCCTTTAAGTCAATATTCATTATTTAAAGGGACACTCCAGGCACAACTGTAACTTGAATTAACTTTGGCAAACAGCCAAAATAGCAAAACATGTGTCCATGTACAAATATTTCCAGACCTAACTGTATGTAGTACTTTACAATTCTCTGTTCAGTGAATAAATCCCTGAAAGTATATTTAAAATCGCATGTTGTAGGAAAGCAGTAGGGACTGGGGCTGTGCTGCTTAGAGCACAGTACCCTGAACCTGCTAGACCACCAGGAAAAATAAAGATTCTGGGCAGCATGGAGTCAGGCCCAACTGCAGTTCCGACATCTTTTTTTACACTAGTGCCAACAACTTGCATCATATTTGAATTTAAATACTTGCAGTATTTAGTCCTGTCAAGTTGTAAGTGCTACAAAAATCTGCAAATAATTATTCTGTGTTGTACAAGAGTAGGTGGATGGGGAGGGCAATTGCAGTTGGTGTCACTGGTTTGTGATTTGTCTAGCCATTAATAGTGGTATTCCACAAGGGCCTACAGCAAGCATGTCAAACTTGCGGCCCACATTGGATATATTTCTGGCCCACCTGGCCTGGGGCCACTTTGTATTGTGGCTGCGACCAGCTGCAAGATAGGAAATTATATTTCCTGTCTGATTCTTGTATTACCTCCCATGACCAAACGCGTGATCCCGAAGGCCAGCCACTACCCTTCCCTCCTGCTCGCTGTGTCAGAGGAGCGTCTGGCCTGCTTGAGCAGAGAAGAACAGGGCTGGAACTGGAAGACAGGCGGCTCATCTTAAGGTAGGGGAAGAGGGGCTTGGAGGACCTTATTGTGTAGTGTGCTAAATTGGGGAGTGGGGCAGTGTAATCATTTGAGGGAGGGAGTGGGCAGTGTTTTAAATTGGGGGAGGGAGTGTATTAATGTTAGGGAGGGGGCACTGTATTAATTTGGGGGAGGGAAGGGGCTAATGTATTAAATTGGGCAGAGGGGGCAGTGTATTAATGTGGGGAGGGCAGTGCATTAAATTTGGGAAGGGAGTGGGGCAGTGTGTTTAAATTGTGGGGAGGGCAATGCAGTAATTTGAGGGAGGGAGGGGGCAGTGTGTTAAATTGGGGTGAGGGCAGTGTATTAATTTGGCAGAGTGAGGGAATCCGTGTATTAGAGTGGTGGGAGGGGGGGCCGTGTATTAAATAGGGGGAGGAGAGGCAGTGTATTAGATTGTGTGGAGGGCGCAGTGTATTGGATTTGTGGGCAGTGTATTCGAATGGGGGTTGATGGCCGTGTATTAGATTGGGTCTGCATGGAGGCACTGAATTCGCCGCGCAGCTTTTTGCCACACTTGCACAATAGCCTCCAAATGCTTTCCTATGGGTAAGCAGTGGATTGGCTGAGATCATCAAGTTTGATGATCTCAGCCAAAGTGGAGAACACAGTCATAAGTCTTCAAAAAGATAACGTAGTTTTTGTTGTTGTTGTTGGGTTTTTTTTTTACAACTGTGCAACAGCATACGTTCACCATTTCAGTCCTATTACCAAACTTTTCTCAATATGTCAAAGTAATTGCACTGAAACATTGGTTATATGCACATGCACGTCTTCTAAATTTGTTCTTTTGTTTACTTTGAAGCCTTAAGAGTGTGAAGACGTCCAGTGTCAGGCAACATTTTTATACTGTACTTTTCGAAATAAACCTGCGTTTTTATGAAAACTGAAGTTTTTGTTTTTTTACATCAGCTTAAACCTTGTTTATTTGGGCTGTGTTTGCCTTTGAGTTTGACATGCTTGGCCTACAGGCTCGCCAGGATAAGAGTCTGCCCATACACTGAACAATACCTAGGTTTTTGCTTCTGGGCTGAAATGCCCTGCAAATCTTCAAAGATACAGAGCCAATGTGTTTAATCATGAGCTTGTTACATTACACATTGTCTTGTTCCTCCCTCTACCATGTGACAGAGCCTCTCTGTGATGTCACTGGTATCCTGGAGGTTTCCCCCAGATTCCAGCGCCATCTTGTTAATGAGGGTGTTAGTCGATGTCAAAAAGGAAACTCCCTAGCGGCCATTTGAGGTAAATCACATAGAAAGTTGAATAATGCTGATTGTAGTTATGCTGAGTAAATAGGCATTTTACTAACATGGATTGGGTTAATATTTTTGTCCACAACAGTCCCCCCTTAAAATGACTATTTACAAAAGAGAGAAAAGGACAGACAACTTCTAACTAACCCTAATGATGTCCCTAATTGGCTGCAGCTCATCTGTCTGAACAGGCCTCGAACACTTCAATGCGCAGGTATCCCGCAGTGGCTAACCCACCACATCTCCACATCAGACTTCTGCCCGTAGAGACAGATGCTATCCCTATGCTGTCCCTGCATGGAAGTAGTTGTCTGTTTGAGGTGGTGGGACTGAAGAGGTGTGTGTGGGGTGTCACAGTCCATGTCGTCAGCATCCTGATGTAGAAATGTAGGTGTAGTGTGTTCAATAGTCTGTCCTACAGTCTTCTGTAAATATTTCTGCACACAGGGCATTACACAAGAAGTCAGGAAGATAAGGAGAACTACCACAGTAAGAACTGCCATACCTACTTGAAGGAGAGTTTTCTGCCATCCACTCATCCATCCAAATCATTTATCCCATAAATTGGGGACTCCAGAACTCCTCTTTAATTCGTCAGAAAGACTTTCCAGTTTCTCTATAGCCAGGGTTACCTTACTGTTAGGGCCTGTGTTGTCTGGGATAAAGGTACAGCATGTCATAGTATCGGGGAGTATCTTACACACGCCCCCTTTTCTGCTAGGATCATGTCTAAGGCCATTCGATTTTGAAATGTCATTTGGGAGGTAGTCTGTAGTTGTTCTGCCAAACCCTGGAGGGCATCTCTAGTATAATTGAGAAATCGTTGCTGCTTATAATAGATATCCAATTAATTGATCCAATTAACATTCTTGTTAGTGGCATTGAGTGGGATCAAGGATTCGAATCCTGCCGCCACCTCATCTCTGGCCTTGAACTCATTTGGTACCCCCCTTGGTACTCCATATATGTGTGGGTCGAAACTACCTCGAATGGGGGTTTCTCTGTTTACTCTAAGATACGTATGTGGTGAATCGTGTGGGCCTTGGTGATTATCAGAAATTATATGTATGGGCATGATAACTTTGGACAGAGCACATTCTGCCCACCACAGTCATTCTTGATCTAAGTTGCATGTCACCACATAGCCAATAAATATTTCCCACGGACTTAACTTGGTTCACTAATAGGGCAATGGGAGGTTGCAATAGCCAGATAAGTGGTACAATAGCCAGAAGGGAATTTACCTACAACTTGACTTGTGGCTCCATGTATTGTATAGCAAGTGTAGTTACCTGGGTACACGGTCACTCCATCAGGTGGCTTGGTATAACCTTGGCTTATTGGGTAAACCTTTTTCCATGACTCACACACTGATGAGTTCACTGCTGTCTGCGCATAGAGGCTTAAACACGTCCTAACATCGGGGGGGGGGGGTAAATTTAAAGGCACTGTACCCAGATGGGGCCTGGCCCCACCACAAACTTAACAGTTTTGTTGTGAGAATTAGCATTATACCTCATCCATTCAAGCCATAGATTAGTATCTGAAAACCCGGTCTCCACAGCCATAGTGTCTTCAAATGTTAGGATTGGCAATTGCCACCATGTCTTTAAGGGTTTTAATGTGTGGTTTTAGAGGGTTAATGGTCATGTGTGTGGAGCCTACCCAGTCAGGTGATGTAAGCATGTCTTGTAAGTAGAAGGTCCCTAATTTGTTATGTGAGCCACCCCCTTTCCAATACATTCCCATCACGTACTCCCCGGCGTCTCCTGGGCTAGGATGTTCTATGTTTAAGGTGAGCTTCGTTGGGGTAGACTCTGTCGGCTTACACAAGGTCATTCTGTATAAAAAGGGTTTCCCATTTCTGTCAACTCTATCTAGGGCACTTTGTGGTCTGTAGCCCAATGGTCGGCCCCGTATTCCAACCTGCTGCTTTCCAGGTACTACAGTGATGTCCCCAATGCCCACCTGTGACACAAGTATATGGGTCCTTTTTGTTTGGTATGTCTTTGTATATTGCTGAGTGTTGTGACTGTGGAAAAGTACAAGAAACAATATCACAGTAATCACAAAGGTGTAAGTAGACACGTGGGTTTTTAAGAATTATACCAAAACGTGTAAACATGATTATCTTTGGTAAAAGCAACTTGTTGGGCCTTTAAGAGGCCTAGCAGCAGATATAGGTACGGGAAACTACTGCTTTGGCGGGATCTGCTTCCTCTGGATCAGGGATTTTCTTGCAGTGCGAGGCGTGTATCCAGGTATTCTTCCCAGCCAACTTTACAGAGGTAGATGTAGTCAATAGGACCTGGAATGGACCATCGAACCTTGACTCAAGAGTGTGTTTTCTTAGAACTTCTTGACCATGACCCAGTCACCAGGAAGTAACTTATGTGTGCCCGTATCTGTCTCGGGATCTGGAATAGAAGAAAACACTTGCGCATGGATTTTGGTCAAGGCATGAGAGAGTACAGTTATATAATCTACCATTGCATCTGACTGAATTTGAAGTTGCTGAGGGAAATAACAGCCTAACCTGGGTGCGGTTCCAAACAAGATTTCATAGGGGGATAGATTAAACTTCCCTCTTGGGGTGTACCTTACACTGAACAATGCTATAGGAAGACTCTCCGGCCAGGGTAGGTTAGTTTCTTGGGACATTTTAAGCATTCTGGCTTTCACAGTACCATTCATGCGTTCTACCTTACCACTCCTCTGTGGGTGATAGGGTGTGTGGAATGCAAGGGTCACCCCCAGTGCTGCCCAGATCGCCTTGGTTAGCAACGCGGTGAAGGATGTACCCTGGACACTTTCAATTACTTCAGGGACTCCGTATCTGCAGATGATTTCGGTAAGTAGACGCTTTGCCGTGGTCTTCGCAGTAAGATTAGCGACCGGGAAAGCTTCTGGCCATCCTGAAAACATATCCACTATGACCAGTGCGTATTCATACCGGCCACTTTTTGGCATTTGGATATGGTCAATTTGGATCCTCTGGAAAGGGTACTGTGGTTTGGCCAAATGGTTTGGTGCAGCTTTGATTATTTTCCCTGGATTACATTTAGCGCAGATAGCGCAGGATCTGCAGTAATTTCGTGTCAAGGTAGTGATTCCGGGTGCTTCAAAATATTTATCAATCAAAGAGTTCATGAGGTGCTTAGATAAGTGGGCTGGTCCATGGGCCCACTGAACAACAGCTGGATACATATTCCTGGGTAGGCAGAATTTGAGATTGATTGTGTATACTTCATTCTGAAGGGTTGCTCCTTTGTCTTTCCAGCTTTGCTTTTCTTGTGGGGTGGCGGCCTGTTATTCCCTTAGGAGCTTGAGATCGGTGGGTAGGGTTTGCATGGTGTAAATAGGAGTCTTTTCGACAGACACTCTTCTGTCCACTTCCCGACATTGGCGTGCCGCATCCTTAGCGGCCTGGTCGGCTAAAATGGTGCTTCTTCTGAATTTAGTTTCCCGTGGGCCTTTACCTTCAGTATGGCCACCTTTTCTGGAAGTAGTAAGGCATCCATCAATTCGTTGATAGCTGCGCCATGTTTCACAGGAGTACCTGTTGCTGTAAGGAACCCCCTGGTTTTCCAAATTATGCCAAAATCGTGTGCCACTCCTAGGGCATACTTTGAGTCTGTATAAATATTGACACGCTTCCCTTCAGACATCTTGCATGCCACCATAAAGGCTATTAGTTCGCCTTCTTGTGCTGACTTAGATGAGGGGAGTGAAGATGCTTGGAGTATTTGGTCCTCAGTGGTGACTGCATATCCGGTATGATATTGGCCCTGCTCATCTGCGAATCTAGAACCATCCACAAACAGAGTGTAATCAGGGTCCGGTAGAGCAGCCTCGTGCACTGTTGGGAGGTGGGTTGTTTCCATTTTCATCTGTTCAAAACAATCATGGGGGCGTCCGGGTCCAGTTCTGTAGGAGGAATGTCCTCACATATCTCTGTGTGGTATCGAGGGTAACCAACGGTTTTGCAATTTATGACCCCCGTCACTGTGAGTTGTTCTTGAGTTGCAGTATTCCATGTCTTGGAGACTTGGTGAAAGAAACATGAGGAACAGCCACCTCCCAATGGTGATATAAATGTGATACCTCCATAAGCAGATAGACTAGGATAACAATGTTTCCTTTGGAGTCACAGAACAGGTCTGTCAGTGTGATGTGTATTTCCACCAGTCTGAATAATTCTTCTTCATAGTATGGGTCAGGACCTGGGGTGTCCCTGAACCACAGGGTGCAATGTAAGTGGCTCTCGGGCTGTTCATCATGTGGAACTGTGGGCTTTTCTAATTATAGTTCCATGTGAACATCAGGATTTATGCCCAGGCTGTACCAGTATTGCGGCACTCACCCCTTTGGAGGTGGCAGAAGATTGGCTGGATTCAAGGAGTAACATCTTTGTAAGGTGACGTTATCGGGCAAAAGGAGGGAGGTTTGAAGTCGGAGATGTCGCTGGGAGGAGAGATGTTTGGGCTGGACTTGATTCAGGATTGCAGCGATATCATGAGGAGCAAGAACTGTCAGTTTATGTCCGACAACAGTCGTTAGTCTTGTCCAGTTGGGCACTTGCAGCAAAAACAGCATGCAAACAGGAAGGACCACCTCTGGCCACGGGGTCAAGCATGCAGGAGAAGTACCCAATAGGGCGCTGACGGGAACCATGGGATTGAGTAAGGACCCCTGAAACATGGCTCATCTTCTCTGAGAAGAAGAGTTTGAACGGTAGCTGGTAGTTTGGGAGGCCCAAAGCAGGGGCAGAGGAGATGGCTCTTTGAAGAGCATGGTAGCAAGAACGGGCAATAGAAGACAATGAAAAAGCTTCAGTCTTTAAAGCATCGTAGAGAGGTTGCATGAGTTGAGAAGCCTCAGGAATCCAAGAACTGCAGTATGTGATGAGGCCCAAGAAGGCATGAAGAGCTTGATGGTTAGATGGAAGGGAGAGATTTGTAATGGCAAGTATTCTGTTCCTTGTTAGGTGACGGGTGCCATGGGAAAGGCAATGTCCCAAGAAGACTACAGAGGGCTGGCACCACTGGAGTTTCACTTTGGAGGCTTTACAACCTTCTTCAGCGAGGAAACAAAGGAGATCTTCAGAATTCTGTTCTGCAGTTGGAAAATTATCCGCACAGAGAAGTAAATCATCAACATACTGGAGCAGGATCACATCTGGGTGTGATTTCTGCCAGGGCTCTAGGACAGATGACATAGCTTTGGCGAACTGGGTTGGTGAATTTTGTGCACCTTGAGGCATAACAGTCCAAGCTTACTGTTGACGATTGTGTGTGAAGGCAAACCGATATTGACAAGAGGGATCCAAGGGTACGCTGAAAAGGGCATTTGCAAGATCAACCACCGTGAAGTATTTGATGGTTGGAGGAACTTGTGACAACAATGTATGTGGATTAGGGACAACTAGGGACAACAGCAGTGTCGCGATTTGTGACTTCATTAACAGCGTGGAGGTCTTGGACCATACAGTATTGATCAAGTTGACCTTTTTCAGTTTTCTTCCTTACTGGAAATAGAGGCGTGTTACAAGGTGAGACACATTTGACCAGAGCACCTTTTGCCAACAGGCTATCAACTTGTTTGGAATGGTGAGTGCAGATTTCAAAGGATACTGTGGTCTTTGTGGTGGACTGGCTCCCTCAATTAGTGTAACTACCACTCGTAGGCGTCCAATGTCATCTGGGCCCGTAGACCAAAGCTTGGTTGGAACCCTATCCAGGGCACTGGGAGCTTCTGGGACCCTTGCCTCCTCGGTGGGGGATGTCATGTGTAGTAGTAGAAATAGAGAGCAAAGGACAGAAGTATCTTTGCGAGAAAGGGGGTTAGTAATTGAATCTGGCCATCAGCAGTGAAGGAGATAGAAGCTTGAAGGCGAGACAGAACATCTGCCCCTAGAAGGTTAATTGGACATGTGGATGAAACAACGAACCGAGAGAGAATATCAGAACCAACCCGCAAGAGCTTAGTAAATGGATTATTTCTGGGGGTACCATCAACACCTACACAAAAAACATCATCTGTGTCGGATAGAAAAGATGGGTCAGCCCCCCAACCGAAACTCTTTGTTGAAACAAGTGGAACTCAACTGGAAATACGAAATGATATACGCACACCAATTTGGTATGAAAAAACACTTACACCATGCCCACAATAGGTGGACAGAATACCTAGCTACCTCCGCGACGGGTAACGCCCAGGGCCAAGCACAGGCCCACACAGCAATGGCTCCCTCCCCAATAGGAGCCTGTCCCCCGCCCCCCTTCGTAGACCCACCCCCCCTCATATGCAAAAAGTACAGTATATGTCTCCGAAGTCAGTTCATGCACCCTAGAAGCAGAATGCACAGCACGAACACAGTAGGGTAACAGGTTCTGGGTTAAGGCAATGCACTATGGTTATGAACAGACCTGGTAGCCCGCTGAGCTACCACAGATATGGGTATCCACATAGGACACTGAGTAATACCCGGTAAAGAAAGCTGACGCATGATATGTACAAACACATACCACCCTACCTGTCACTACAGCTGTTCTGAAACAATACTGGTGCACTGTATAACACTGTGAATGCATGTACTGTACAATAAAAATTGTCAAATTCAAAAAAAAAAAAAGAAAAGATGGGTTAGGCAGGTCTTGTTCTCTGAGAACACTGCGGGCTGCACATGTGTCAACTAGAAAGGTAGTGAGATGACCCTCAACTAGAAGGACAACTGTAGCTAGGGGTCCCCCCTTGTCCCCTGTAGACACTGCTATGACAGGGGTGTTAGACACAGGTTTGCCAGTTACCTATTGTTCCAGGTCTAGATGAGATTGATCAGGGCCAGTGTATTGACGTGCTGGTGTGGTGGAGTGGCTGGCCTGATGGGTTTGACGTGTAGGGCGATAGTGATTCGGTGCTGGGTGTTAATCTTGTTGGAAATCATCCGTATCATAACTATCAGGGGAAGGGTGAGCATAGCTGCGTGGTGGGGGGTGAGTATTAGATTGAGAGGGTTGGTAGACAGCTTGGGTATATTCCTGAGGAGGTTAATACGATGCATGTGCCTGAGGATATACCTATGGTGGGTAACCTGATTGGAGACCACCATACGTAGCCGTAGGGGCATTGGGATACATAGGGGGTCTAGTGGTTGGCTGTCTAGTCACCCTGGGATGTGGGCAATCTCTCCTGAAATGGCCTGGTTGGTTGCAATTAAAGCATGCCCTGGTCTGAGGCCTAGGTGCCATGGGCTGTCCCTGTGCAGTTGGCAGAGTGGGTAGCGTGGGATAACCTGGAAGCACCTGGGTGGGTCTCGTGGTAGGGCTGGAAACAGAAAACATAAGAGGATTAATTTTCCTGTAGAACAGATTCCAGACCCTTGGCAACTAGTAAGAGAGTGTCCAAAGGAATGATTCTGTATTCAGGACGTGAGAGCACTAAGCCTTTCCTGATGGCCTCTTTAAGGCCGGCAACAAAGGCAGCTGATAACATCTGGGTATGCGCTTTATTATATACACTGAATTCCGAGATCGGAGAAAGTTTGAGTCAACCGTGAATGATACTTTTCCACAGATTCGAGTTTGTCTTGTATAATATCATTAATACAAGTGGCTTGGTCAGCAAGTTTATCATGGGCCCATGCCCGAAGCTGTTCACAGAATGTAATACCTGACTGGTAATCCATATCAGTAGTGAGTAGAGCGTCATTAAAGCTCCTTTCCATAATGGGCCAATAGGCATCCCCTGCCTTGATTTCACACAAACTATACAGATCACGCCAAGCTGCTGACTAAGTCTTGCGAATCTGGGCAATCCTCCGGAAGAAGGGCATAGGCTGCATCTCAGGGAAAGAGGTTACTAGGGTTGCAGCTTGGGATGGGTTGAACGTGACATACATCGGGGGAGCCCCGTCCACTAGTGGTAAAGCAGGGGTTGCTTGTCTCTGAGAAACCCTATTATTTGAAGGGCGGAACGGGCTAAGCCCTTGAACATTGTCATCTTCGGGGGGAACCGAGAATGGGAGACCATGGTAGCTAGCAACATTTAGTGAATTAGGGTCTTGAGCAGCTGGAGCATCGTAGCCGGGAGTACCGACAGCGATGGCCTGGGGAGTAGCTAACTGGGAGGTAGTGGGATGGAAGCCTGACGCGACAGGGGAAGCGCCTACAGCAGGGGGCTGTCCCGACACGATAGAATCATTAGACCCAATGATCATGATTGAGTAGCTGGGAGTGGCCATGGAAGAGGCAGGAATAGGAGCCGGACTGGGTGAGGGGACGGGCTGATTGGGCTGAGGAAGATGAGCGGAGAGGGCGGAGATGAGTGACGAAAGGTCTAAGGAGGGAGGGATAATAGGACTGGAGGCAGAAAGAGGAGAGGAAACTTGAACGGGGTCAGAAGGGGTGGCGAGGAGAGGAGGGGGAGGAGCAGGAGTAGAGGGATTAGCAAGAGAAGCAGAAAGGGCGGAAATGAGTAGGGAGGGAGGGACAACAGGAGTGGAGGTGGGAAGAGGAGGGGAATCTGAAACGGGGACAGAAGGGGTCATCACCGAGGAGAGGAGATGGAGGAGCAGGAGTAAAGGAATAGCAAGGCGGGGGGATACGGCAGAGTGAGATGCAACAGGGGGAACATCGAGTGAAGATAATAATAGGAACCATCCTCCCCGAGAACGAGGTACAGAGGAGTGGGGACAGGAGGGCTTATGACAATTGGAGGTGGCGACTGGGCGGTGACTGGGGAGGCGGGACGAGATTCATTCACTGTAGTCTGGGCGCCTTCATAGGGCGGTGGCCGGGGAACAACAGGGGAGGTTTCATCATTACAAACATTTCTGTGATATACATAAATCTTTTGTCCTTCAAGATCCATTTCTTCCTCTGACCAGCCCTCCAGCTTGAGTCCTCTTGCTACTCGATACCAAGCCTCCACAGCTTTCGTCAACCCACTATCTAATAGCAAGCCCTCTTTATCAATGAGCAATTTCCTCTAAAACTCTGGTTGTAATCTACCACTAGGTGACATTTGAAAACCACAAATCTTTGCTATCTTCTTTAACATAGCCTTTCCTCCTGCTCTCTCCTTAACAATATCACAAGCTAAATAGCCTTTAGAAGGTCTGGCATGTTCTTGTCCCATTTTTACCAAACAAGGCTTCCCCTGTGAGAGGGACAGAGAAAGAGAGAGAAAAAAGAAGGAATGTCTACAGTGCTCGACTGCCACGAGGAATTGATTCCCATGCGTCTTCCCCAAATATAGACTAGTCACTGGATCCGCCCACCCGAGATGGTGGCCACGAATCTGTGGGTGACTAACACAGCTCTGGGCAACAAATACAGAAGAGGTAGAGAATAAGGGAAAAGGTGAACGTGGAGAGACTAATCAGAAGACATTTACATGAGTCACAGATATAGAGATGTGCACATAATCCGGAATCAAAGACAAACCACACAACATACACACACAGGACTAGGGTACCCACACTATGACTACAACTGAATAGGAAACATAATATAACAAGGAACAGTAAAAGTACGAGCATAATACCTACACAGTAAATGAACCCTGTTCTACCCTGAACAGTACAAAATTCCCAGCCTTTTTCTTGGCAGAGGCGTTCCCTGCCCGCTAGGCAATCAAACTAAAATAAATCCCCAGCCTTTCTCTAGGCGGATGCGTTCCCTGCCCGCTAGGCAGTCAAGCTATAAAGATTTTTTTTTAAAAGCAAACACCACACACCAGCCGTCTCACACGCGTACATGCACTCAAGATGCAGATAGGCAATCGACAGGTTTGTTTTAAATGGCACCGGATAAGAGATTACCTGTCTTGTAGCATTCTGGAAGCCGGAAGTGGACACAGAGACAGACCGACACAAAACAGGAGAATACAGGCAAACCTCCGTATTAGGAGGTGATCAGGCTCCGGTTGTCCCACTTTCCGGAGGTCCGCTCCGGTCCCGTTTTCCAGCCGTCCGAACCGGCGAGATCCGGTGCCCCACGTTGGGTGCCAAATGATGTGGAAATCAATCAATAAATTGTTTATCTTGCGTATCTGCCCCAGCCAAATTAAAGACGTAATGCGTGCACGCGCCTAAAGTAATTCACACCAGACACAAGTTTCGGGTTAATGAAAAACTTGAGGAATGTTTATTCTGAGGAGTGGTATGTCCCTTATAAAGCAAAATTACATCATATGCATTGTCAGAGATAACATGAAATAGTACCTCCATAATTGGTTAGGTGTAAAGTGGTTCATTTAGTGCTCTTCCTACCGGGTGTGATGTCACTGATATCCTGCAGGTCTCCCCCAGATTCCAGCGCCATCTTGTTAATGAGGGTGTTAGTCGATGTCAAAAAGGAAACTCCCTAGCAGCCATTTTAGGTAAATCACATAGAAAGTTGAATAATGCTGATTGTAGTTATGCTGAGTAAATAGGCATTTTATTAACATGGATTGGGTCAATATTTTTGTCCACAACAAACACGTTATCATGTGACCTAACACAACTTTCATGGTAGGGTTACATAGTTATATCAATATTTATAGTAATACATTTTATATTCCATGTTTATGAGTTAAATAATAGTCTGTGTTTGCTCAAATATTACAAAAATGAAAGTTGAGCTACAGGGTTTTGTTACATTTTATGCTTTTTATTTTGAATTTTCTAACTTTCCTGAGTATTATTGTTGGATATATTTAAATTAATGATTAGTGGACCATTTTTCCATATCTATCAACTTTAAGTAATATGCATATCTAATTAGTATGCTACATATAATATGTATGTTTTGTTTATATTTTGTAGTGTACAGAAGGCTCGATGGCTCCGTAGAATGTTGCAGTAATAATAGTCTTACTGACTTATGTTTCTCATACACCAATAACATGCAGAGTCAAACGGTAAGTTTGTATGACGGAACCCATGGGACTGGTTGTGCTTGTACATCTACAAGAGTACCTGTAAAAAAATTATTGTAAAATTATTACCAAGTTATCTACTCTTTCCTAGTCTTTCCTAGGACAGCCCTTATTACGCACCCACATCTTAATTTTTATGTTTTTGTTTTATATCTTTGTTTTGTTATATAACAAGCAATGTCATTATCTGTAAATGACAATCACTATTCTGTTGCTTACAGTATGCTTGTGTGCCAGCAAGAAAAGCTATTCAAACAAGCATAGAATGTCGATCGAATTTAGACTGCCAAAAACAAGCAGCATCGAGTGTGTGTGCAGTCCCATCGATTGAGAATCAAACTCGCTTGATAAGGGTAAAACACCCACCGGAGGTGGAGATGTTATTTATAGGATATCCTATGCACCTAGAATATGCAGGTAAATGGATTTTAGCTATGCTTCAATAGAAATGTATTTTTATTCTTCAAAACCAGTCATGGATTTGGGGTAATAGATAGATATTCAGAGTGACACCATATATTTCTGGGAGAATTTTGACCACTGGGCACTCAATATAATGAAGAACAGTCTTGATATTATTTGTTGTTTTATCCCATTTGATTTGTGGAATTATGCAATAATTATATGATTAAAAAAAAAAAAATTACATACAAAGTCTGAATGCACACATCCAATTATTGAACTTGAAGAAATTGATTCTGTTTATTCTGCCATTGTTATGAATCAGCATGTGATGGGAAGGAATCTAGGTTAGTTGGGGTAATGCACATGCACAAGAACCTGTTTTGCCTGCTTTGTTACAATTGTTTGGTTTTGATGAAAAGCAGGGCTGCTTTTCAATTTGGGGCAAAATTGAATTAACTGTCTACTAGTTACAATAAGAAAGCATGACTGGAATTCCAGTTTGGAAAAGAAAAACGCAAAACAATTGAATTGATTTATTTATTTTTAAACTACATCATAAACACACCAGCATAATGATAGGTATGGCAGTTCTTCCTCACAGCTATATATCCAACACAGCTAGTTTTGCTTAGCATTTGCAAATGTAATGCTAGTTTTCTGTAATTCCTAGTTTTTAATAAATGAGTTGTTTGCTTATTATTTTTACGCAAACACTATATGGGACTGGCAGAACATTATGTTGTAACCTTCATTGTTGTATGATTTGGAGTATAAGCATGTATCTTTTTCTTTACAGTGAGTCTAAGCAGTTTCATTCCAAGATACAACTTTCTCAGTATACACTTTCCACTGGTCATAGAGACCTTCTGCAAGTATCCTTTTATAGTGGTATAGTTAAAGATCCAACATTAAAAAATGCATTCAGCAGCAGCCTACCGTATTAATTGTATTTCTGTAGTATATATTCACAGTAATAAATATATAAAAGACAAAATAATCCTTGCACTCACGTATTCCTTGAATATTGCCTGGTGCATGAGCCAGCGGACAAGCGGGCTATAGAAACCAAAAAAATGATGGCTGCACTCCTCGGACTTCTTAAAAATCAAAATACTTTATTGCAAATCCATTAAAAAATGATCAACGTTTCAGCCCCTATCTGGGCTTTCTTCAGGATAAAAAAACAACACTACTAGAATATTAGTACAAACAATTACTTATATATCATAAAAGGAATTGGAAGACTTACCACAGCTGATGTCCACGCCCGCCCGGCGTCCCAATGAACACTGCGCATGTGCATACCTATGCAATCAGAGCAAACAGTTGTAAACCAGGAAATGTTGCCTTGGTTACCAGGCAATGCTAAAACTAAGCGGTGAGCGGCGGGTAGAGTACCCGCCCACTGAAAACACATACGCCTACCCGGCGTTGGCACGTACAACGTGATGACGTCAGATAGTATCAATTACCTGGTAAACGTCTCCATAGAGACTGTTACCTTAGAAACATTGCGTACAAGGGACCCCGGACCGGCAGGGCTCACCCAGTGGCCGGACAAGGAAAATAATAACAAATAAATGAATAAATAAACAAACAATACATAGAGCATCTGGCATAAGGATACAACATCTGGCACATATATATAGTTGCACAAATGACCCAATATATTGCATCAGATAAACCAATTAAATCAATTTAACTCTCCTAGCATTTAATAATAAGAATTAAGTGAACTACTATAAAACCACCTTATTAGATTATAATAGAGAATATAAAGTGCTCTACTTGTTAAAGAGAGTTATCAATATGATGTAATAAACAATAACTGAAACTCTAGACTATGTGTATTAATAGTGGATCTGTATGTGGCAATGGTGGGTGACATGGCTAATAAATACAATACATTAAGTGAAAAATAGCTTAAATATATCAATACATACCATTGCTGAAGGAATATCCCTATATTAAAATTTAAAGTGACCTGTGCTGAAAAAAGTTAGAATAGAACTAGATCTAAATATTATGCTAGAAATTTTTTTGGGTTTGACAAAAAATACTCATGAATTATTTCAAGTGTACGCCTATGCTGGAGCATAGTTATGCCAGATCTTGTACTGTTCAAATGAAACTACGTATAAAAACTGTATCAAAAACTGTATCAAATATTGCCACATACAGATCCATTATTAATACACGTAGTCTGGAGCAGGGGTAGGCAACCTTTTAGCAGCACTGTGCCGATATAAGATTGTGATGTCCCGTAGCATGTCGGTTCTATATTTTTAAATTGAGGCGTCTATGTTGCCGTCTTCTGCTTGTGTTATTTTTACTGTAATTGCTTTGTATCATTGTATTTGTGTGTATATGAGCTATTATATTGTATATGTTCATTAGTAGTTTATGGTATCGTGTATGATACCTATGAATGTGGGCTGTGTATGAGAGCTGATTGTGGAGTTGTGTGTGTGAATGGAAATGTCACATTGTGTGTTTGGTTGTGTGTGTATGTGAGGGGCTGTTTGGGGTATTGCATTTGAGAAGCTGCATATGGGGTTGTGTGCATGTATGTGGATTGTTAGCGGGTTACGTTTGTACAGATTGTGTGTATGTTTGTTTGTAGGCTGTTCGTATTATTTGTATGAGGGGAGGCTTATTGTGCATTTCTGTGTATATCTAGCAGTGTGGGTGGCTTCCCTGGGTTCCAGTGGGGACCAGGCTGGCCAGGTATAGGTGAAGGACAGGAGCTACAACAGCAGCTGCAGGCTTCTCTACTACAGTGTGGATTCCCATTAACAAGTGCTGGGAGGAATTGAGCTGAGATCACTACCTCTACATGCTGCAATGCATAAATTGAGGATTGTCCTTCACCACATCTTCGTATTAGCAGATATCTGAAGTTTTACTGGGACTCCTGATAGGCCAGAGCCTGTTTGGCTCCAGCAGCCTTGAGTGCCGTGCAAAGACACCTCGAGTGCTGTGCATGGCACTAGTGCCGTAGGTTGCCTACCCCTGGTCTAGAGTTTCAGTTATTGTTTATTACATCATATTGATAACTCTCTTTAACAAGTAGAGCACTTTATATTCTTTATTATAATCTAATAAGGTGGTTTAATAGTAGTTCACTTAATTATTATTGTTAAATGCTAGGACTGCTTAATTGATTTAATTGGTTTATCTGATGCAATATATTGGGTCATTTGTGCAAGTATATATATGTGCCAGAGGTTGTATCATTATGCCAGATGCTCTATGTATTGTTTGTTTGTTTATTTATTCATTTATTTGTTATTATTTTCCTTGTCCGGCCACTGGGTGAGCCCTGCCGGTCCGGGGTCCCTTATACGCAGTGCGCAATGTTTCTCAGGTAACAGTCTCTATGGAGACATTTACCAGGTAATTGATACTGACGTCATCAGCCGGGTAGGCGTATGTGTTTTCAGTGAGCGGGTCCTCTACCCGCCGCTTAGTTTTAGCATTGCCTGGTAACCAAGGCAACATTTCCTGGTTTACAACTGTTTGCTCTGATTGCATAGGTATGCACATGCGCACAGTGTTCATTGGGACGCCGGGCGGGCGCGGACATCAGCTGTGGTAAGTCTTCCAATTCCTTTTATGATATATAAGTAATTGTTTGTACTAATATTCTAGTAGTGCTTAAGTGCTTTATGTGTGATGAGTGGGTTTTTTTGTATTTATTTTTTTTACAAAAAGTGCACATTTTAATAGAAATTTGCACTTTTAGAAATTGACCTTGTTAAACCCTCCTGGCGGTCAATCAGGCCACAAGTACTGTTACTTCCTGGTTTGATTAGCTCAGTGGAGCTAAACCCAAGAGGCAGCAATTGTCTAAAGCACTGGGCTTGCAAAGACTTCTCATTTAGCTTTGGTAAGTATGTGATTGGACAGCCACAGAACCTCTGGGCAGTGTTTGAAGGGAAGTGTTTTTAGATATACCCCCCCAATGAACAAAAATTTATAATTAAATGCATATGGTTTCATTGGGGTTTATCTACTAAACAGTGACTTAAAAAATAAATTGTATTTTGGACAGTGGAGTGTTCCTTTAATGTAGTGGTTCTCATGTCAATAGCACACCCCTGCAGTTTTAGCACTGTAAATATTTTAGAGAAAAGATATTGCTACCTAGTAACACCTCTAGTGGCTGTCAATCTGACAGCCTCTAGTGGGACTTCCTGGGTTTGCTCCTGTAAAGATTACAGGACTGACGTTCTGTGTCTCCACGCTCTGAATAGATATGCTGAACTTTCTCTATTGAGATGCATCAAATCAATAACTATAAAAAGATGCTGACTGGTGTAGCATGGCTTTTTAGAAACATAGAATGTGACGGCAGATAAGAACCATTCGGCCCATCTAGTCTGCCCAATTTTCTAAATACTTTCATTAGTCCCTAGCCTTATCTTATAGTTAGGATAGCCTTATGCCTATCCTAAGCATGCTTAAACTCCTTTACTGTGTTAACCTCTACCACTTCAGCTGGAAGGCTATTCCATGCATCCACTACCCTCTCAGTAAAGTAATACTTCCTGATATTATTTTTAAACCTTTGTCCCTCTAATTTAAGACTATGTGCTCTTGTTGTGGTAGTTTTTCTTCTTTTAAATATAGTCTCCTCCTTTACTGTGTTGATTCCCTTTATGTATTTAAATGTTTCTATCATATCCCCCCTGTCTCGTCTTTCCTCCAAGCTATACAGGTTAAGATCCTTTAACCTTTTTGTTGCATATGTGCACTAGCCTCTCAATGCTTTCCTATAGGAAACCATTGGATTGGTTGAGATCATCAAAATTGATTGTCAGCCAGGGAGGCAAGCTAGCCACGGAGAGAGCCGCTCTGCGATGTACAAAATGTTGGTATACCTCATCTTTTCGTGCACTCTGAGGGGGCCTGGGCTTAAACATTGAACAGATCTCTATAGTGTTAGGAATAAATATTTGTATTCGTAATGCTATAATGTTCCTTTTATTATTGCGAAGTATTAAACTTTAATAAGCTTTCCTAATGATTCAATTTGGAAAGTTTTTCTAACTGTATTAAATTACTTTGAAAGCTTATTAAATTGATACCTAAATCTGAATTACAAAATTAGCCGAGTTGGACAATTTTATCAGATTAGCTCTTTTAGTTTATCTTTTAAGTTTAGTGAATAAGCTTTTGAAACTCTAGGATGTATTTGTTCTGACTATATTTTTATTCATTCCAGTGATTTCTCCTTAATGCACCCAGATATCTAATTTCTTTATCAGGAGCTCTGGCTGTGATCAATGCAGTACCATGCTTTGCTTTGGATGGACAATGGATACTTAACTCTTTCCTTGAAGCTACCTTAAGCTCTGTTATATTAGAAAAAGAGAATAGAGAGCTCTTCGGTTTCTTTATCCTGTTAGCAGGCAGTGCTTTGTTAACAGCCAATGTGGTTCTTGGACTTTGGATGGTCACAGCCCGGTAGCCTTATCTCTCTTCTTATGGTAAAACAACAAATACCACAAAAAGGGCTGATAATAACTGGCTCAATTCAATTAGATCAACTTGTATTGGTATCCATTTTAGATGCAGCATATAAACCATTCCACTTGTTATTGTACAATCCATCCAGTTTAATAGCAGGAGAAAAAAGAAAAGAACAACCTTTTGGCTTAAAGAAATAGTCCTTCTTCTTTTGAACTGTTAAACTAAATGAATAAATAAAATACCTCAATTCATCAGTCAACGAAGAATAGAAAAATGCTAGAAGAAATGTGCCAATAATCCATTATCAGATTGATTGGGAAAGATAATGTTTGACCTTGACTAGAAGTATTCACGCAAAATAGTTTTTGGGGGTGGTGAGATTTTTATCCATTATCTTCACGAAGAGGATAGAAACCTGTGGATGTTCAATGAAACCATTCACACTGCATACACATTAATCAAACTGTAATTGAAAGTACAGTGTTTATTGTACAGTAAAATCACAGGGACACGGTCTGAAGAATCCTGATGCAGAATGAACACTCACTGCCTGATTGTCTTCTATGGCATTAATTGTGATTATTACTGTCTGTGAGCTTTATTCAGCATCAGGAAATAAGGCTAAGAGAGGATCTAATGCTCATATGGTGGAAGTAGAAAATACGAGCTGTAGGGACTTTGTTAAACCAGATTTACAAAATTAAGGTTATGTGCTGGGCCAAGGGTAAACAACCCATTAATAAACTTATTGAATTAGAAAGATCGTTATTATCATCAATAGCCTTTAAATGAAAAAGGATGAGGAGTATGTTGAGACAGGCGATAGGCAGTTGTTGGTCCTCCAGCCTTTTGTTTTAGCTGACTTAGACTCTTGGAAGTCTTAAATAAAAATTATAGCTACTCTTTATGTCATAAGTTGGTAGATACCTGGGATAATGCATTATGTTTTGTGAACTACACTTCCCATGATGCTCAGCTAGCCTTAAAGCTGGCTGAGCTTTATGGGAAGTGTGCTTCACAAACATCTGGGAAGCTAAAATGATCTATCACAGACACAATATGAAACTCTAAGCACCACAGTCAAGGCGGTTATTATACATGGGATCTTTGAGTGCTGTCTCTCCCTTTTCAAGTAATTTTTCAGTGGTTTGTCAAAAACAGGGTCCCAACGGACTAATGCTGCCTTAGATGCCATACTTCATACTTCCTCATTATCTTTCCAGATTTGGATAAGTACACTCTAAGCCAGGCATAGGCAACCTTCGGCACTCCAGATGTTTTGGACTACACCTCCCATGATGCTTTGTCAGCATTATTGGTGTAAGAGCATTATGGGGATTGTAGTCCACAACATCTGGAGTGACGAAGGTTGCCTATCCCTAAGCGCTGAGCTCTACTTTGACATTTAGGGACCATGCAGTTATTCAGTGTAACGCAACATGACAACTTGCTAGGAAACATGGATTCAAATGCACTATTTCAAAGTGATTTGTACGATATGGGGAAATGCACGGTGTGAATATACACTGTAGACTGCAGAACTGAATAGCAGTAGTAACATGTAGTTTGCAGCAACATACCATTTCCTCTCACCAGTGCCAGATCCAGCAGAATACTCTTGGTTTTAGGATCCTGCCACATCATCCCCAGTATGTTCCTTGTTGTTACCTGTATTTTGATTTCCCCATTAGATGTGCAGACACTGCACAAAGTGCTCTCACGGCATTCATACCAAGCTCACAGCACTTCAGGAGTGCTTTGTGCATGGACATACGATAATTGTTTTATGGGAACTTATACCATCACCGTTAATTGTGATGTTTTACAGGGGGATGAAATGCCATCACAAATCTCAAATGAAACAGAGGCTTTTTTCCTCCTAACAAATGGTTCATCATTATGTATCTTTCGTTCTTTTATGTTCTATGTATATCAGGAGCCTGGTGGGACCCAGGTAACGGTTTGCCCTATTAATGGAAAGAGCAGCCAGGACTTTTATTTCCATTTTAGAAATTTCACTTTTCACCCAAAAACGCATTTGTACAAAACTAAGAGCAGTGTACACTTGCAGTATTAATTAGATGTCCATAAATATATAGTATTTCTTCAGTTTAAAGAAAATTACCACAATGCTTCATAATGCCTTGGAATCCTTTTGCAAAATTTTGGATCCTTTGCCAACTCATTTTTCTGACCTACCAACCTGCACATTATCCCCAACTGATACGCATTCCTGCAAGATGGTTTGCTCCTTTCCCCCTCTCCCCCCTCCTTTGCTCATTTTCATTCTTTCTCATCTTGCTTTTTAATTTTGTTTTCTTAAAGTGCTCTGTCACTTTCCTGGGTCATGTTTTGAAAAGACCTCCAGGTGACATCTCTGGGAAGTGTTTGGCAGCCAGTGACGGTAAAGGTAGTTCTATGTACCCTAAGCTCTCCTTCTCACAAACTTTTATGTTCTTTCTTCAACTTCTGGCACTTCATTCTGTAGAACACCACATCACTGCTGTGCTCTCATGCATGCGCTGAATGAAATTCCAATGAAGTCAATATGAATATTTCATAAACAGTTTATTTATGAAATACTCAGAATTTATATTGTGGTGACAGAGCCACTTTAAGTACGTGTGTTTTGTTCTTGTTATTTTAACTGATATTTAAATATTGTTAAAACCGGTAAGCCGGTGTGTGTTGTTACTTTTTCAACCTAATGTAACAATGGAACTTGGCTTTGTGGATCCAATGTAAAACACTTAAGATACATAGTTTTACTTCAAAATAATTTAACAAGTAGATTTTAGTGACGATTATTAGAATGCCCTAAAGCACAAGTCACAAAATTTACTGTCCGTTAATGTTAACATAGTCTTACACTATTGTCTGTTATTGTTATTGTTCTTGTTTTTTATATTATTTCAATGTTATAAAACCAAAGCTATAATTTGATAATTGTGTTTTTTATTTCATTTTTTCATTTGTTTGTGATATTAAATTAGTTGCAAATATTGTTTTCTACAAAACCGTATTATATGTTCATATTTCCATTTTGACTTTAAAATGGATGATCCATAATTTTGTTTTTACCTATAGCAATATGTATTAGATATGTCTTTGTGGTAAAAGGGTTAGTGATGCTTGTGTAGCTGTCAAACCTGTGGCTGTATGTTCAAGGTATAGGGTACCTGTCTTGCGGTTAATTACATTTTAAATTAAATAGGTTACTCTAAGCACTATTAACACTACAACTCATTGTAATGGTTACAGGTGCCAACTTGACAAAAACAGGGTCTCTCCCAATACCTAAAGCCTGGTTCCTCTCCTGCTGTGAACTGAGGAACTGAACATTATCTGAATTTTCATTTCCACTCAGGGGGTGTAACAAACACCTCTGCCAAATAAATCATGAACCAAGTGGCTGAGGCTCGTGGGCCCACCCATTTTTAAACAGTAATGCCTGGGTAGACTGAACAGGATGTTACATCATATCCTTGCAAAGCATAGCTAATTACACTGTCACATCTATATTGCGAACTTGACCATGCTATACTAAGCTAGGACAAATACGTAGCTTAAAGTTTATTTAGATAGGGAGCATAGGAATAATGGAGAAAATGGGTTATGGAGAGATAAACGTTGGATGGGGAGAGAGGCAAAAACTAAAAAAATTATTGGACAACAGAATGTGAGGATGGAAAAAGCAAACAACCAGTGATATACCACGCTGTCCTGTACATTACAGTCAGACTACATACAAATGCACTGCAATTCTACACCAATATACACTATATTCACATAATGCCACACTACACAAATACACCCTTATAATCATATAAACCACCACATTACACTACACATACACCCGCACAGTCTCATACTTTGCTACCTTACACAAATACGCCACTACATTAACACACACTACACTACATATTCACTCCCGCTTTCACATTGCTATGCTACACAGTTACACCCCACATACACACATTGCCAAACTAAACTACACAAGCACCTTCCTGTCATACTACACTACACATGCAACCCCACATTTGCATATTTTGCCAAGCTACACAAATAAACACTTTTGTTCACACATTTTACACATTCAAACCCAAAGATGCACCCAACATTCTTTCACACAGCTAAACTATACAAATGCACCCTCACTTTTACTCACTATGCCTTAACATTCTCATACCGTGCCAAATACATACACCTCCATGTTCACATACAGCACGAATGCACCCCTACATTCACACATACTTCCACACTACACAGATACACCCCTACATTTACACACTATCATGGGATATTAATACACAACCAAATTTACACGCATGCACAGGCATTTTTCTCATAAAGAGATTTTGTCTAGATTAATAAGTGTCATGGTTTGTCACCATAGCTGTTTTTTTTTTCCATTTGGTCTACATTTCACTACCTATTTGCCACTGCAGTTTGACACCTATCAGTTTGTTATAGTGTTTAGCATGAATCTCTGGGGGGCCTGGACTCCTACTGACCCACCTGTAGCTATTTGCCTCATCAGTGGCTCGCTTAACTGGTTTTAAAGCCATGCTTCTCATCAACTTCAGGGTCCGTTTTTGTTTCAGGTACTAGTGGCATTCTATCAATTCCTGACTCTCTAGCTTTGTACCTCTATTTTGGATTATCATTTATGCTTACTAGCTGCCAGCCCTGACCTGTGGATCCTGTCTACAATACATTTACATTCCATGAGAGGGGAGAATTTGACTTTGAGATAGTTATAAATAAACTCAGTGCCCATTTTGTGCCCTGGAGGAATGTAACTCATGAGAGGGCCTGCTCCTATGAATTTTGGCAAATACCTCTAGACCTGGGGAGACACAAGCTGGCTACCTTTATTACACCAGTAGGTAGGTTTTGTTTTTGCAGATTCCCCTTCGGGATATCTTCTGCCCCTGAGGTCTTCAAAAGTATGATTAGTTCCCTCCTGAATAAACATGAGGGCACTGTAGTAGTTATGGGCGACATCCTAGCGTATGGGTCCACTCTAGAAGAGCATGATCAGCGAAATGTGTGCTGCAGACAGTAAGAGCAACTTCTGACATAACTGAACTAAGACAAATACTGAATTATTTGGGAAAATGTAAACCATAATTATAAACAGTGTTTCATCCTATTACAGAATTGTTAAAGAAGGATGGTGCTTGGACCTGGGGACCTCCACATGAGGAGGCCTTTGCACTGATTAAGTCAATGTTAAGGTCTGCCCCTGTGCTAGGGTTATATGACTCTACTAAAAGACAGTGGTTAGCATAGATGCTAGCAGTTATGGCCTAGGAGCTGCCCTGTTGCAACTAAATGAAGGCAAACTACAGCCCATCGCCTACTGCTCTCATACAGGGACTGCGGCAGAGACAAGATATGCACAGATTGAAAAGGAGCATCTGGTTGGAGTTTTGGCCTTTGAGCGCTTCCAGTGCCACCTGGTGGGCTTCGAAGTGGTCACGCTGGAGACTGACCACAAACCACTGGTTCCATTGATAAACATGTATAACTTTGACAAGGCACTTCTGAGATGCCAGAGACTTGTAATTAGATTATTAAGATTTAATTTTCAGGCAGTGCATGTGCCGGGGAAGCAACTGGCTGCTGCTGAAGAGTAGTCAACAGAATCAGATGTTAAAATGTATGTGGATTCAATACAGGCATCCAAGTCCATCTCTTAAAAATTTATGATGTCCATTTGGGGATTCTAAATGTAAAGAAAGAGCAACCTTGGCAGTGTGTTGGGCTGGAATCAGCACTGACATTGCAGAATACATATCAAAATGTGCCTTTTGTCGTGAACGTCAGCCTACACAGAGGAGAGAGCCTGTAATATCTACCCCGCTGTGTCTAGGCCCCTGGGAGAAGAAAGCTGCAGATTTGTGTAAACTCAACAGAAATATCTGTTTCCTGTAGGCTACTACTCCAGGTATCTCGAAATTGCATCCTGAGGTGGGGTATAACATTGGAGTTGGTGAGCGACAATGGGATGCGGTTCGCTCCCCACAGTTCAGATCTTTGAATAGAGAGTATGATTTCCTTCACTCTACTTCCAGTCCACTTTATTCTGAGGCCAATGGGATGGCTAAGCAAGCCGTTCAAATCAGCAAGTTTGTTTTGAAGCAACCAGAACTTTACTTGGCTGTCCTAGTGTAAAATCTGGTTGGAATCGTCACTGTTAAATCTTCTTAATTTCTTCTTGTCTTCAGTTAATTGATATATATACGTCTTTTGTATATATAGTCTTGGGCCAAATATAATGCTCGCCACAATAATATGTCTATATTATTGAAAAGTACTAATACGCAATCTGACTTACGGTTTCCTCAGGTTTATTCTTACGGATACATAATACAACAACAAATGATGTTACAGGATAATGGACATTCAACAGCAGATGGTAATTGCTGGACTTCTTTACATTCTTACATCTTTACATCGAGAGAGAGAGAGCCAAGCCAAGAGAGAGAGCCCCCCTGTCTTCTTGTCCAGTTACTATATAGAAGTGCTCATACTAACGTCAGCGTTTAACTCTAGCCATATAAGGACAAAACCCCCAAATCCACATTCCAGAGCTCTCGGACAAAGAAAGCCTTGTGACTTATACCATCTGTTACTTATGTCAATCCACACATTCATATACAATCAATAGAAACATTGAATATGCAATATTCTACATTCCCTCTGTTAATTGTTTGTCTTAAAACCATAACACAATGTCACTAACCTGTCCATTCATACATCACTTGTGTCACATTCATTGAGCATAGAACAAGATGTGATGTAGAATTATTAAAATCTTTATTAGAACCTGTATTGAATTATTGTACTAACTCCATTTTGTTCACCTTACATGACAGAATTTCCTGACAGTATTCAGTATAATGAATAAGAGATTGTATTTTCTCTCTCTAAGGACATAACTAGCCCCGGAGTTAGCGGATCTCCGTTGACTTGCAACATAGTATAATCCAAGGCCAGGAGAACAGCGACAAAATGAAATGTTCTATTAATAAAAGAACCTTGGAACAGACCACGAGACTGACATCCCTAACTACGTAAAATGACGCCCAAGCCCCCCTTTCCACCGAGTAAGCCTCGTGCTAAAGAGCAATGGCGACGACATCCCATGATGGGAGGGTGCCTCACTAGTCACTCAAATCTCTGAGCCAATTAATAATATTAATGGGTGGACACTGACATAGCCACTTAACATTTAACCCATTTAATGATGTTTATTTGTTATTATCTGATATTCAATGATGATGTCATTTTGCATATAAAAAGGCCTGCGTGCCCGCTTTTTAACTAGATGCTAATAAATTTCCTGAAGTGTTTTTAACCTGAACTGCATGTGTCAGTGTAAACTTACTTCTGCGTATACGCAATTTATTCATCTCAGATTTGGACAGGAACAGATAGACTTTTAAACATTTTTGTTTATTTCTAAATTAATCTACATCAATCTGGCGTCCATCCAACGTGGGGCATCGGGCTATGGCCTCCGGCCGGTAAGCCGTCCTAAGGAAGACGCTGTTGGACGGAGGAATCGGGGGGAAGGAAGAGAGACTGATCACCTCTGAGTACACGGTAGAGACTTCTGCAGGAGCCACCGGTATGTTCCAGCCCCTTTGATTGACCCGTCCACGTGTCTGTGACTGCTTCCCGGGAGGGCATCAAAGACAGGTAATATCTTGCCCGGTGTCTTGTTACCCATTTGTTTGTTTATTTCTAAATTAATCTACATCAGATGTAGTCACAACTTTCTATTATATGAGAGTTCTTAGAAGGTCGAGTTTCTATTCCTCATACTGCTTACTTTACTTCAAAACTCCCTCTGTTTCAGCTATGTATTGATATCCATATCCATGTTACATCATAACTACTCGAACATAATATGTACATATATATAACAATAAATGAATAAAATAAAATATTTACAAATGTTGATCCAATAAACAATAAAGCAATCAGAAAGATCTACCTGCTCAGGTACAGTCATATCTTTGTAGATAACAAAATCAAGATGATAACTTTATAAATAATAATAACTGTGTATCATATTATTACAGATACATATATAGTATAGTATTTTCATTCTCAATACCTGATATTACTAAAATACGAATACATGTATTACTATAATATCCTGTCCAATTAGATTTCCATGAATCATATGGTTTCTAGCAACCTTAAAATCTTTAGGTCATTTGTATTCATGAATTACATTCCTATACAATTAATACCACCTAGTGATGATTGTATCAGTACTTTACAATCATAGTATTTAATTTGTATATTCAGTAGGCTCTCACTACCTGAAATATATCAACACTACTTATAAGTCTCATTCAAAGGATGTGTTATCAACCATTAAGTTCTATAACAATTCTTCAAATAATGTTCATGGTGTTGACAATACTTATTGTCCTAGAAATTCTTCACCCAGAAATCTTTCTATCATAGATTTGTTTTTGTTCACATAATTATAATTTTGACTAAAATTCCACCTTGTAGTAACAAACTTTTCATTCAATCGGAGAAAGGTTTACTTTAAAAGAACTTGGAAAGAATAATTTAAATTCATTAGCATCACTCTCTTCATTAGCATTGTGATGACTTATTAATGTAATACATCTTAAAAGCAGGATTGTCCTAATGTTCTGACCAATCCATATTCCTTAGTACACTTCAACTGACTAAAATAAAATAAACAAAACTTGGGGTCATACTGCCCAGAAACTCTTATTCCTAGTCTGTGTCTAACAAACTCAGGTTAATCTTAAAACAACTTAACAACGTATTCATTGGATACCATCATATCCAGAAACCTATTCTCCCTAGTCCATACCTTTATAGACTTAGGTCAAATATAATTGTGTACTATACTCTTTCCATTCAATTTAATTCCTCTTGGATCTCTGAACTCTTATATCCAAGGCATTCTTAATGTATACCATTACTTAATATTAATCAAAATAAATTATCCTTCCTTGGTTTTCTTCTTTATGTTACCATTGTTTGTTTTACTTCACCTAGATATAAACAAATTATTCATTATAGTTAATCTATGAAATACTATTGAACTCAATCTTTGTGGTATTAAGTAACCATGATCCTTATTTTATCAACTTCATATTTTATCTACCTCTGATACTTCTCATCCTATGTATAGGTCATAATGTAATAGTTATCTTCATAATACTATCCTATCATAATTTTACTCCATGTGTTATATAGTTATAAGTACTCTCTTTTGGTATTAATACACTCATAACTGTTAAATAACTTTTCATTGTCTCTTTTCTTCTTTGTTAATATTTAGGAATTGTTATGTATGTTAGTACCAATCTTTTATTTCTTTGTATGTCTGTTAATCTTCTCTATCGAATGAACTCTGTAGAATCTTCCATCACAGTTTGCAGATCAGATGAAAAGTCTCTTTCCAACAGTCGATGTCTAGTTGTCTGAAGGAATGCTTTCCTGATTTATTGCCACAAGGATCTGTCATGCTTTACCTACATTGAAACAAAAAAAAAAACATGTGCAGCATCAATACAATGGCTTACAATGTTTATATCTCATTATTATTATACAGTTTAACATTGAATTACATTGACTACACAAAACATACTAATTTCTTCTCATGAGATCTACCATCTAGTGGTCATTACATTTATGCCATTTGATGTATAATCTTTACATTTCCTTTGTATTAAAATCTTTCTGAACATTTAAATTTGCCAAACTTTTTAGTCCTAGTCTACAGGGCAACCCCAATTAAAGCCACAGGATGTAGCCCTGCACAGATGATGTTAGGGTGCCAGATTCGTACCACGTTGCCTTCTGTGGGGGGCATTCCAGCCTGCCTACCCCTAGTCTTCCAGAGGTCATTCGGAGGAGGGATGAGGAGGCAAAGCGGAATTAGATATTTTGCACTCTGCATGCCCATTGCCTGAGCTGTACCCCGGCCAATGTGTCAGTCAAGTTGTATGATGAAAAAAGGTGGAAGACACCGACTTCTGTATTAGTGTGTTTCCCCGAGCCAAGGTCCTATGTGATCCGCACATAAGGCGGAATTGTTGCCCGCCAAAATAGAAGACACCTTCAGCCAGTAGCCAAGGGGTTAGGTGCTGAGAATTTGTGACCGCAACCAGTATAATTCCCGGTCAAGAGAAGTGAGACAAGAGTCTGGTAGGAATATATTGCTGCCTCTCGTAGAGTCTCACCCACTCTCACAAGGATTTAGGTAAGGTCTCTGCAAAAAGACTTTGAGTGGTAGAGTTGTAAAGTACTACCAAGATTAGCACTGTAGTTAGAACAGTGACTTGAAGAATGGGCAGAATAATCCCATAGTCACTGTAGACTAGGATAGTCTATCCCGATGTCCAAGATAGTATAGTTATTATGGTATAGTTATTTTTCTTCTGTTTATTTGTTTTCTTTATTTAAAAAAATATATATATATTGTTATTGTAACGGATCACCTGGCACCCCGACTGGGTACCTCCGTTGAAGGATGCTCCTAGTGCTTCCTGAGGACTCCAAGCACTGCAGCAGACACCACAACCACCGAACCGGAGGAGCATATGAATGCTCTCAAGCATATGAATGCCGTAAGCATCTGAACAGGAAAAGCATACAATCAGCTTACACTCCAATCCCCCCAATAACGAGACAACACTTCGTTTTGAGGTCAAGCAGAACTGACTGTACTGGCACATACAGCCTCTTTTATTCACAATCCACAAACATAGTACTGCCCACAGGGTTTTGAAATACAACCAATCAATCCGTACAATACACACAGACACTCCCACACAAAATCCTCCCCTCTGCCTGTGATATGATTGCTGAACACAATGGGTAATATTATCACAGGCAGAGCAATACAGTATTATAAAACATATCACAGGGAGCCCAAAATATGCAATAACCAGGGGATCTGGGTGAACCACATATCCAAAAGTCACACAGATCCGTTCAGTAGTTTGGAAGATACAGTTTAATGCAGATTCCGCAGAACATATACAGATTATATGAAAAATAATTTCTGTATAATGTGTCTCCTGTTGTATAGTTTAAAACTACTGCACAATGTCTTTGTGCACCAAATACCGGCGAGATGGCACCATGTAGAAAAGTCCAAACAGTGTCTGTGAGTTAAAATGGCCGCCATCCATTGTTCTCACCATGTGCCTCTGATACATGAAATGGTGGCCACTCAGTAACTCCACAGTATGTCCCCAGATGGTTCTTAAAGGGCCAGCAGCAGCACAACACAAATCCATTATGCCCAAATCATGTCTTTAAAGGGCAATACATCCCAGGGGCCATAGTTACATGGCAGGAGGCTGGCAATCAGTCTTCTCCAATGCCCAGTGGCGAGGTCGGTTTCGCCACAGTTATTAGAAAGTGTGATGAGAGCCTGAGTGACATCACAGAAAGGGGGCGGGGATAAAGGTGGCTAGGGTAACTAATTGTCATTTTTCAAATTAATGCTGCTGCTGGAGATGGTGTCTGCCCTCATGTTAAGCTCTGCAATAAAGCCTGATAAAGACCTGGTAGGGTCGAAACGTTGCCGCTTTTGCCTCAATAAAGCTGCTATTTTTGTTATTTTGGAGTGCCTGAACTGTTATTTATTCTGCATATCTTGGAAGGGAGGCCTGGACAATCCTGGCTTCAGAGCACCTGGGCTATTTGGTGAGTGTGGTATCCAGTACAGCTCTTCAAGATCTGCAATAAAGACATATTGAAACCAGCTCACCGTGTTATATGTATTTCAAGAAACCCTCATATGGATCTCTCCATGTCTTCCAGTTTGTCCTCCCACTAATCTCCCCCATCCTCCACTTGCCTGCTTTGCAGTCAGTCTGGAGGCAGGGAGCTGAAGGCTGAATTTGCTGTGTAGTGTAGCCTTTTTCCACACATAGTGACCGGCGACTGTATTGCAGGTCATAATCTCCTTCAATACTGCGAAAAATATTTTAATTGCCAGTGGTAACCCTAGCTTACATCTTCACTCCTTTAGTACTCTGTTAAACAGACATCCAGCTGCACCTCCTGCTGCTTATAGTCAGATATATGGCTCTGTGAAGCACAGTCCACAACCCCTGTATGGTAGAGTGCTGAAGGGCAATTGCCCCCTACCAACTTTGCCAGCCTGCATCTACCAATATCATTATTATTATTATGATATTTATATAGCGCCATCAAATTCTGCAGCGATTTACAATGGGTGGACGAACAGACATGTAGTTGTAACCAGACAAGTTGGACAAACAGGAACAGAGGGATTGAGGGCCCTGCTCAATGAGTTTACATGCTATAATCTGTCAAAAAAGACATTGCTATGGTAAGAGTAGGGTTTGATGCGAGATGGAGTGTGTGTTTTTTATAAGGTATGAGGAGGTAAATCACCCTAACACTAACCCACCTCCTGTTACTTTATAAGAAAAGGATAATTATATAGTTGCAATTTGTTGGATTGTGTATACGCAAACTTATTTAAAGATTTGGCTTATGTAAATGGATAATAAAATGGCGCAATGCGTTCAGTGATGCATTAGCTGTGAGTCAGTTTCCAATTTGTTTCCCTAAGCAAACAAAAATGTGTATTGGGCAATCAAAATGCTGATCAGCTTTATTCATTGCTTTGCTGTCATTACATTATTATTTACAGTAACACATAGCTAATCTATTTTGTATACTGTTTTACGTATGCACAACATGAACTAAAAATACAAAACAAAAACACTACCTATACATACTAAAATTGTCACATGATATGTGCAGTTTTAATTCAGCAATTAAAGTAAAACTACATCTGTTTTATTTACTTATTTTTTGACATTTCTCAATGGCTGACTAGCTATGGGATGTGTTTGTATCTTTTAGAACAATTTTTGTTTTTAACTTATATCATATGCATGGCTGTCAGACAAAGTCAGAGCATACAGTGTAAAGACCTTAAACTCAACTGGTGGCGTGAGGGCACAATCAGTCCCCATACCTGTAAGATCCATTTCCTTGCCTTTGACACCAACCACCTGGCAACTCTGCATCTTTTATTGGTGTAACTACAGAATGCCTTGTTCCTCCATCACACCTCAAGCCCATGTATACGTACATTTTGGTGTTGACTGATTGGCACAGCAGTGATGTAAGGGGCTTTGTCTACTCCTCTCGCTCCTGGTTAGTTGCTGTTTTGTGATTCTGAGACCTGATGATTGATTAGCTTTTTTGAAACAACTTTGTTCTTACATTACCCACTCCATTGTAATCCTTACCCAGGCTTGACGTACAGTGTCTGTCTGGTATCTGTGACCTCAGCTAGGCCATAGCTATGGTTTTCACTCGTTCTGGAGTACTTTTCTAAGCATGGCCACACTGTGGACTGCAAAATAAGGTAAAAAAAAATTAAAAATATGCCCCTAAACAGCTAATCATTTAAAATGTGACTATTCTGGTAGTTACAAGCTTGGAGCAATGCTACACTTTTATGAAAATCCATAGAGGATACTCACTGCTTTGGTGTTCAAAATCACATAATCAACGTAGTAGCATCTAGAGTATGACTATAAACCAGCTTTATTGGTGTTCCACACTAAAAACCAGTAATATGGCTTCTATTCTTTCTTATACTTTCTTTGGTAGGGAGCTGTCCTATGCTATGTATTTCTTGGAAATACAGTGTCCTTGTATATGGAATGTCAAAGGCCACGAGAGGTGTTATCAAACCAACAAAATGGTTTGAAGGCAAGCGTACTTTATACTTACCCGTATAGTTTACTACAGTGAAGGGTTATGGAAAGACAGGAGGCCTCATATCTGCTTTACTTTCTTTACTCAAACCTCCCAGCAGCAAAGAAATGGTTAACAATATAGATAAATCAA